ACAGAAGTATGAATATGGAAATGGAGGCAAGGAGATGGAGTGACTAAATGACCTAGGAGGGGGAAGAGATGAAATAATGAATTCATGCACTACAGAGTGAGTCAATGGTCCATCTGTGCTTGGTTGTCTCCACTGAGTCCTGAGCACCAGATAAGGCATTTACTCTCTGACCAGATTTCCACAAAATTCCAAGTTCTTGGCATCTCCCCCTTCTTAGCAGGAGTCACCTGTGATCCCATATCCACCAAGTTGGTCCTCCAGAGTGTTCAGGGCTGGCAGGGGCGGGGGATGCACGTGGGTCACGTTCCAGCTCAGAGCTTAACCCCCACCCAATCACCCTTCTTCTCACTTACCCTGGAATTTCTGAAAGTTGTAAGCCATTTGGGACTCTGGAGAAACAATTTCAGGGCCAAGGCTTTTTGACCAAACTAGTGATGTGTCAGGATTGTTTCAAATTAAAATTGGAGCCTTGAGATGCTGCAACTAATCTCCTCGCTCTTCACCAAAAACCCAACTTCCTCCAAAGCCCATAAAGGAGGTCCCCTCTGGCTCCAGCAGACATGGATATGGCCATAAGAAAAGACTCCCTGCGCCACTGTGGTTGTCAGCTCTGTCAGGGATGGTGCATTCTGGGGCTGGTAACTGTTCCCGCACCCAGGCTGTAGAGCCTCAGAAGGCATTGCCCTTCTTTGAGACTAGCGTCCTCTCCTATAGGGTATGACACTACTACTTACTTGTCGGTGTGTGGTAAGCACCAAATAAGACATGGGAGTAAATTTTTATTAACTAATGTCACCCCAATAAATTCAGTAAGAAAGAAAGGACATGGGATTAAAAGGCCCAGCACAGAACCAGGCAGGTAGCAGGTATGCAACATATGTAGCTACGTGCTCACAGCTGATACTTAAAAGTTGTCTCTTCCCACTGAGCCAGGCCCAGTTGGTCTCCTAGGGTTTTCCCTTCCACAGTAATGTGTTGTTTAACAATCAGGATAAGGATATGCTCCGAGAAATGTCATAAGGTGGTTTTGTCATGGTGCCAACATCAGAGTGCACTTACACAAGCCTAGATGCTATAGCCTTCTACACACCTATGCTACAGTGTCCATAGCCTACTGCTCCTAGGCTATAAATCTGTATAGCATGTTTGAACTAAATACTACAGGAAATTATAATGCAACGGTGTTTGAATCTAAACATAGGAATGGTACAGTAAAAATATGGTATAAAAGATTTTAAAAATTATGCAGTATACAACATCTGTAGAGGGCACTTATCATATTTGGAGCTTGCAGGATTGGTAGTTGCCCCAGGTGAGTCAGTGAGTGAGTGATGAGTGGATGGCAAGGCCTAAGACATTATACTGTATACTACTGTAGACTTTATAAATACTGTACATTTAGGTTATACTTAATTCATTTTAAAAGTACTTTTCTTTCTTCAAAAATAAATTAAACTTAGCTTACTATAACTTTATAAACTTTTTATTTTTTTTAACTTTTCAGCTCGTTTGTAATAACACTTAGCTTAAAACACAAATATGCCCTGGCTGGTGTGGCTCTGTGGACTGAGCGCCAGTCTGCAAATCAAAAGGTTGCCCATTCGATTCCTGGTCAGGACACATTCCTGGGTTGCAGGCCAAGTCCCCAGTAGGGGTATGAGGCAACTGATCAATGTTTTTCTTCCTCTTTCTTCTTCCCTTCCCCTCTCTCTAAAAATAAATAAAAATGAAATCCTTAAAAAACTGTTTTAAAAGATTTTTTTAAGTAACGAATTATTTATTTTTTAGAGAGGGGGGAAAGGAGGGAGAAAGAAAGGGAGAGAAACATTGATGTGTGAGAGAAATATCTATGGGTTGCCTCTTGCACACCCCCAACTGGAGACCTGGCCCGCAACCCAGGCATGTGCCCTGACCAAGAATTGAACCAGTGACATTTTGGTTTGCAGATTGGTGCTCAATCTGTTGAGCCACACCAGCCAGGACAAAAAGAAAAACTCTTAAAAGAACCCATTTTATTTATTTATTTATTTTTAGAAAGTGGGGGAAAGAGGGAGAAAGAGAGGGAGAGAAACATCAACGTGTGGTTGCCTTCCACGCGCCCCTCACTGGAGACCCAGCCCACAACCCAGGTATGTGCCCTGACAGGAAATCAAACCTGCAACCCCCTGGTTCCCAGGCCTACGCTCAATCCACTGAGCCACACAAGCCAGAGCCCCCGCCCAAAAAAAACTTTAAAAAAGCCCACGCAAACATGTTGTACAGCAATATAAAAATATTTTCTTTCTTTATATCTTATCCCATAAGCTTTTTTCTAGTTAAAAATAATTTTAAACTTTTAAAACTTTTTTGTTAAAAACTAAGACACTAACACACAAGTTAGCCTAGGCCTACACAGGGTCAGGATCATCAATATCACTGTTTTTCACTTCCACATCTTATCCTGCTGCAAGGTCCACAGGGGCAATAACATCTCCTATGGCCACAATGTCTTTAGAAAACCTTCTGAAGGACCAGCCTGAGGCTCCTGAGGAGGCATCACTCGCTTCAGAAATATGTTCATGGTAGTTAACTTGGTTCCTTCATTTAAAAAAAAAAAGATTCTATTTATTTATTTATTTTTAGAGAGAGGGGAAGGGAGGGAGAAAGAGAGGTAGAGAAACATCAATGTGTGGTTGCCTCTTGTGCACCCCTACCAGGGACCTAGCTCACAACCCAGGATTGTGCCCTGACTGGGAATTGAGCTGGCAACCCTTTGGTTCACAGGCTGGCTCTCAGTTCACTGAGCCACACCAGCCAGGGCCACTTTCTTTTTTTTTTTAAATCAGAGATTTGGCCTGGTTGATACAGGCCAATGGATTGAGCTCGGGCTGTGAACCAAAGGGTTGAAGTTTTGAATCCCAGTCAGGGCACATGTCTGGATTGTGGGCTAGGTCCCCAGTGAGGGTCACGTGAGAGGCAACCACACATTGATTCTCTCCCTCTCTCCTTCCCCTCCCCTCTCTTTAAAAATAAATAAATTAAATTAAAACAAGATAAAATTTTTAAAAAATCAGAAATTTGTAAGCAGATAATGTACCATGAACATTTCTGCCTATTAATGAAAACCTTCTGGTGTTGGATGTCCATGTTTTTGAACTTTTTAAGGAGCTTGTTGAGGTCTGCAAAAGCTTCTGCTAAACACTGTGAATTTTCTTGAGGTTTTTCTTTTGGGACCTATCATATATGTGGTATGTTTTGGGCCAGAACAGTATTATGCAACATATGACTATATTTATAATATTACCTTCCCCTTCTCACAATTCTAAGTTTGGGGCTTCAGGTCCCATCCTAACTCCTCTGCAAAGCTATGTTCCTGGAACTCTACCAATGATGCCTACCATTCTCATGATCTGGCTAACAAATGTGGAGATGAGTGGTTAATTAAGAGTGTTAATTAAGAGTAGGGGGTCTGCAGCAGGGCTGCTGTATGTAGTTGTACAGACTGTGCACTGCCAAAGCCTAGGAGCAGCATTCACACAGGCTGTAGGCAAGTGGGCCCCAATGAGTTGTGTAATCAAGAGCCACTGTCTGCAAGTCGGATGGACTGAGTGTGAATCTTGGCTCAACCACTTATCAATTGTTTGACTAAGCAAGGTATGTAACTTCCTAAAACTCTGGTTCCTCATCTGTGAATGGATGTTCTTAGTACCTACCATATAGGGTAGACAAGATTCAGTAGTTTAATGAGTTTAGAATAGTTCCTGGTAGCATTTACTGAGAAGAGAAACAATCTTGTCTCAGAATCCCTAAAGCAATATTACAAAAGGCCTTTGATTGATCCAGCTTGGGTCACATGCCCATTCTTTGGACCAGTAATTGTGGCTAAAAAGATGGAATACTATGATTGGCCAACCTTGGGTCATTTGTCCAACCTAATTTGACAGTCCCACAAGAGCCACACGGAATGGCTGAGTATATAAGAATGCTGGTTGTCTTCATTCTTTTTTTTAAAAAAATTCATTTATTTATTTTTAGACAGAGGGACAGGGAGGGAAACATTGATCATTTGCTCTCACATGTCCCCAACTGGGGATCTGGCCTGCAACCTCCTAGGCATGTGCCGTGGGAATCAAACCAGTGGCCTTTTGTTTCACAGTCTGGCACTGAATCCACTGAGTCACACCAGCCAGGGTCATCTTACTTTGTTTTTTTTTTTTTAAACCTTATCTTTATGGATCAGTTCACAGGTCATTTCCTCAGAGAGCCATCCCTTACGCCACAGTACACAGCAAATTATTCTCAATTTGAGGCAGGAACAAGAGCTATTTATTCTATCTTCCTGCCACGGCTGTAGAAGAGACAGTTAGTGGCCTTAACAACATCCATTTCCCCTTCTTACTCAGATCTTTGTTGGGTTTCACTGTGTCTCCCATTGCCTTGACTTAGAGGGAAAGCAGACACTCTCGCTAATTTACACCCACTAGAGCCATCCCTTGCCACAGTGATTGGTTCAGTAATGGGTATGTGAGACTTAATTTGGGCAAAACATAAGGGTGTCTAGAAAAGGCTTCTTGCTCTTTTGGATGGGCTGTGGAAGCCAGCTGGCTCTTTCCTGCCCTCTTTTGTGCTGACTGCAAATGAGGAAGCATTTGGCTTCCCTTGACTGCTACTGGCTACCACCAAACAGCTGGACGGGAACCCAGTTTAGGTTGAAAGCTGTCACTGCGGAAGACAATGGAGACACCCGGACCCTTGATGGCCCTGAACTGCTGGACTGGCCAAGCCTGGAGCCACCCTGCCCCAGGACCATCAAGCCCCTAGTCAACATATTTCCTTTCTTAATCCACTTTGAGCTGGGGGTGTTGTTACCTGAAACCACAAGTATCCTCAGAATGTACTTCCTGGTACATTCAGGGGCGAGTGGCACACAGGTGAGAGCCACCAAGCATGCTCTCCCCAACCTTGGCCAGCCACACCAGTTGCCTTCTACTCCACAATAACAGACATTCAAAGATTCTGGATGCTTTTTAAAAAACCACAGCAGTCACTTTACTCTTTAAATTTGCACTTTACAAAACCACAAAGGAGAAGTCCTTGAGGGAGTGAGGGGTAGGTGTAGGGGAGTGGATGATGGTAAAGAGGGAAAGAGGAAAGCCCAGAAATGCTGTCTCCCTCATCTTGGGGACCAAGCAGAGACTGGGCCCCAGGTCAGCCCAACAGGGCCTCTGGTATCCTTGCTGTACAAAGCTAGGCCAAAAGACTTCGGTGAAAGGCCACAGCCCTCTAGAGACTGTTGCCGTATGACATTTGACAGTCAGCCACAGGCTGAGGCTTCCAGCAGCCCAAAGAAGGAAGTAGGCCTCCCGCCCCATCCTTCCTCAGGCCAGGGGAAGACAGTCTGAGGCAGGGGTGAGGGCTACCCATCCAGCAGCTTTAGGATGCTCTCCCGCTCCTTCAGAGTCTTCCAGGCCTGGTCTTTCTCCTTCTTGGTGGGCGTCCGCTTCTTTTGCCGGGCAGCCATGATCTTGCGGAAGGCATCCATGACCTCGTTGTCTGCCATGCGGACCCGCTGCCTCAGCTCCTGCCGGCTCACCTCCTCCTTTGCCAGCCTGTGGGGACCAGGCAGCCAGGTGTCATGGGAAGCCCACATCCAGAATGGGTCCCCTCCCTCTTTCAGACTGAGCCCACCCACAACCCCAGAATGGCACTCCTATGGACTGTTTCAGACCAAAATGTAAAGTTACTGAATCACATTTATATGGTGCTATGTGCTAGTTACTATCTTAACCTCTTCAAAAACATTAGCTCAGTTAATCCTCATAACAATCCTGTGAAGTAGGTATAAAACTGGACTCAAGAAGGGCAAGAAACACCCCAAGATCCCACAACTAATGAGTAGATCTAAATCAAGGCAGGAAGGCTCCAAACAATCTTCTAAAGGTATTTTGGTGCCAGCAGAAGACCTGCTTACTTGAGCATCCAAATCCCAGAGCAACTAAAGATCAAGGCAGCCTGAGGTCTACAGGAGGAAGGTGGGATGCTAAACTGACCCCTCTGAATGGAATCCAACTCGTAAATCCCATTAATGGGAGAGCTGGAAGACTGCTTAGAGATCTGATCTACTCTAACCTGTTAAAATTCCAGAAGGGGAAGCTGCTGCTCAGAGCAGAAAACACCTTAAGGCCCTGCAGCTGGTCCCACGCAAGGCTGGGGGCTGCACTCTGGCCTCTGATAGCCCCAAGCCAGTTCCTTCTTAGTTCCTGCCCATTACTTCTGTATCTAGACATCTCTGCTTCTTTTTCTCCCCACCCCACTATCTCTTTTATCTGTATTTTTCTCCTCTGGCCCTTCAGACAGAACTAGAAAGAGGCTTTGGATTCAGCCTTGGGCTCAAGTTGAATCTTGGCTGTTTATTGGCTGTGTGACCTTCAGCAGGGCACTTGCTTCACTAGGCCTGTATCGCCTTCTCCACGGCTGCAGTCAAGATTAAACAGGAGGTTGCACCGAAAGCACCTGGTACACAGCCAGCACTCAGGACTCTCTGTCCTTAAACACCCTAACAGCTTCTCAGCAACTACCTCCTTTTAATGGTGCACGTTTATCACAATCACCCAGTTGGACACTGCAAGCCCTTTGCTCTGCCTCTCTTGCTAGCCCCAGCACAGCGCTTACGTGAGGCAGAGTTGGCCAAATGAACAAGTGTGCTCTGCTCTACTGGCGCTTTGTGAGGCGAAAAAATAATATTTGCCTGTGATAAGCAAGAGTTAGTTGGGCTGCTTCTCTAGCTTCTCACTAAGAGGGCAGTGACTAACATGATCTCCTTCCAGATGTCACCTACACCCTTATTGTGACCGATGTAGGATGAAGGATGAGAGTCAATATGAAATGAATGACACTGTGACCAATTCCTTAAACAACTGGTCTTAAACACTGGGTAATTTCAAGTGAAGGGCCAATAATGGTCAGAGATGCTGAACAAAATGTTAACGGTTGATGAATGTAAGTGGAGAGTATATTGGTATTCATCGTACTATTCCTCCAGATTTTCTGGGTGTGTAAAACTTTTCATAAAAGACTTTGGGAGAGAAAAAAATAAGCATAAAAAGATTTTAAAAAATAAACCACACAACACGAATATAGTTAATGCTACAGAACTCTACACTCAAAAATGATCTAGAGGGTCACCCTGGCTGCTGTGCCTCAGCTGGTTGGAGCATCATCCCATAAACCAAAAGGCTGCAGGTTCAATTCCCAGTCAGGGCACATGTCTGGGTTGCCAGTTTGGTCTCCAGTATGGGAGCATACGGGGGGCAACTAATCGATGTTTCGCTCGCTCATAAAAAAATTAAAAAAATAAATTAAAGCTATGTTTTAAAAAAATGGTTTAGAGGATCAAGTTTATATCATGTGTCTTTCACCACAACTGTAAGCAGGATTAGAATCTACTTAAGACATAGTCTGTGGGTTGGTGCCTGGCATTGACAATTTTTTCAAGGCTCTCCAGGTGATTTAGATGTCTTGCTGGCTTGGGAAGCCTGTCGTAAAGGCCCCACAGAGTGACAAGCAATGGCCAAGGTCTTGTCAGCCAAGCCCTGGCCTGTGTGTCCTGTCCACACTTACCTCAGCAGATCGTGCTTCTTGGTGCGGTTGTGGGCACTGAGTGCCTTCAGCTCAGCCTGCCGCTTGCGCAGCTCAGCAAGGACCTCGTCCTCTGAGTCCTCTGCAGGGCGGTCCTCAGACTCCAGCAGGCCCTGGGCGATCAGCTCCTCCTTGATGCGGCTCTCCAAGGACTTGGTATGTGGCACACTGCAGGGGAAGGCAGCCCTGTTTAACGGCCAGCTTTGAAGGGAGACCGCCCTCAGAGGTTCCCAAGGTTAGTGAACACCTTACTTTCTCTTTGGGCACCCCTCTATATCTGTCTAGTTAAAAAAGTAGAGAGAGACAAATCTGGTCTTGTTTCAAACACAAGCAACATATATCCATTGCCAAAAAACATATAGAAAAACTTATAATGCCAACAACCCAAAGAGAACCTCTATGGTTTTGTTATATTAATGTTATTTTGCTATGTTGTTAATGTCACATATAATATACACATATTTCATTATATGCATTTTTAAAGATTTTTATTTATTTTTATGAAGAGGAAGTGAGGGAGAAAGAGAGAGAAACATCTCTCGATATGCAAGAAATACATCGAACTGTTGCCTCTCACACACCCCCAGCTGGGGACCTGGCCCACAACCTAGGCATACACCCTGAATGGGAATCAAACCGGTAACTTTTGAGTTCACAGGCCAGCCCTCAATCCACTGAGCCACACCAGCCAGAGTTACATATTTTAATCCATACGCAAGGACACATTTATTTTTATTGGTTTCTGAGAGAGGAAAGGAAAGAGAGAGAAAAACATGGACTGGTTACCTCCTACACGTGCCCTGACCATAGATCGAACACACAACCTAGGAATGTGCCCTGTCTAGGATTTGAACCTGCAACCCTTTGGTGTATGCAATGACACTCCAACCAGATGAGTCACTAGTCCAGGGCGCACGCACGCACACACATCCTCCCTTATCAGCAAGGGATACATATGTTCTAAGATTCCCCCCAGTAGCTGCCTGAAACCGTGGATAGTACAGAACCCTATACATACTGTTTATATATATATATTTTTTTTTAATTTATGGTGCTAATTTATAAATTAGGTAGGCATGGTAAAAGATTAACAACAATAATAGAACCATTATAACAATGTACTGTAATAAAAATTACGTGAATGTGGTCTTTCTCTGATAACCAACTGGTAACTGACACACTACCTGAGTGAGCCGCAGGTGGGCGGGCACAGGGCACAGCACAGACACGCTGGACAAAGGGACGGCTTGCGTCCCAGGTGCGATGGGGTGGATGGCATGAAATTTCATCATGCTACTCAGAAGAGCACACAATTGAACACTTACAACTTGTTTATTTCTGGAATTTTCCATTTAATATTTTTAGACCACAGCTGATAGCAAGTAACGGAAACTGTGGAAAGCAAAACTACAGATAAGGCGGGGACTACCATGCTATGCACATTCCAGATTTTATTATGTATTATTTTCAGTCTTTGTTATAGATAATTTTTTCCCTGTGTACACAAAGTATGCCTTAAATAAAAAAGGGCCGCACTGTATTATGTTACAACTGACATCTTCCTGACTCATCACTGTAGTGTTTACATCTCTTCATGTCAATTAACTACATTTCTGTAACGCAGTGACCAGCTGCAAGTCATTCTGTCAGACAGAGCTATGACGATTTCGCCAACCACTGACTTCGGCTGGGCACTTAGGCTGTTTACAGTACCAATGGGCTGTGATCAACAGTCCAGCACTAAGTTCTTGCAGAAATGCCGGGCCGGGGCGCGTGTTTGAGATTTTGGGGCGCTTTCTCAAACTTCTCTCAGCCTCCTTGTTAAGACCTCCCTGTGTCTAGATAGACAGAAGTCAATAGAAGCAGGGGACAGACTGTGAGGTGGAGATGGGACACCACTCACCTGAAGGGCTTGTTCTGGTTTCGAGGAGAAGTGCTTGCCCCATCAGCCCCTGATTCTTTCCCAGAGATGTCGGGAATAGGAGAGTCCTCCATAGGGGAAATAATATTTTCCTAGAAGACCACATAAAGGGTGGAAGGAGAAGAGCTATAGTATTTCCATTTTCCTGCTCCCCTCCGACCTACATGGATAGTCCTTGCAGACCAGAAATGTCCTTTTATCTTTCCTCTCTCAACTAGTGCAGGAAGCTCTTCTAGCTTCCAAAAAGCTTTGAACATTTTAGAAACACCTTTTTTGTTGTACTGATTCCCAAAGAAGGAAGCACAGAAGAGCGATGGCAGCACTAAGTGAGAATAGTGAGAATAAATGAGGTTTGTTAAGTGTTTGCAATGCACCAGGCACTGTGCTAAGCACATTGTGGCAGAGGCTGCCAGCTGCCCAAAAGCCATTCTTACCTTTCTTCTGTAGCAGCTAGGCTTATCACTGCCATGTACACTACACTTCCCAGCCTCCCCTGCAGTCAGGTGTAGTCAAGTAACAAATTCTCTCCAGTGGAAAGTGATTAGAAGAGATAAAAGCCACAGAAAGTCACGGCCCATCTGCCTTCCTTCATACACTCTTCCTGGGTCTTTTTCTGTGGGCTTTGACTGGCAGTCACACCCAGAGTGACTTTATGCAGAGTGAATGGTTTTGTGTTTTTGTTTAAGATTTTATTTATTTAAGTTAGAGAGATGGGGAGAAAGGGAAAAAGAGAGGGAGAGAAACAGGTTGCTTCTCAAACGCACCCTGACAGGGAACGCAACCTGCAACCCAGACATGTGCCCTGACTGGAAATCGAACCAGTAACCTGTCATTTTGCAGGACAATGCCCAACCAACCGAGCCACACCAGTCAGGGCCAGAATGAATGTTTAAGATGGCAAAGCCACCACAGCTGGTGTCCCTGTCTGATGCTGTAGGGCAGAGACCCCCACCCATACCTCAGCCAGCCTGAAGCAAGTGCCCCATACTGTTACATGAGAGAAACATACACTACTGTGTTTGGCCCAGAGAGGAAACCAAGGCTCAATGGGGCGAAGGGATGTGCCAAAGGTCAGAGAGCATAAAGAAAAGGGTCTCTGAACCTGGAGTTTGAGTCCTGCTTCTATGTATCAGCTGTGTGACCTCAAACAAACAGCTCCCTTTTTTTGAGCCTCAATCTTCTTGTATGTAACACAGGGCTAACCACTGTCCTTGCCTCCAACGAGAGAATGTAGGGAAAGCCACTTGCACAGAGCTCAGCCCAACACTCAGCAAAAGTAACTGTGAAGTAGAGGCTACCTTTGGGGGAGGTTAGAGAGTGGGAGGGGCATAACAGGGGCATCTACGACACTGGTGATGTTTTATTATACAAGTGTGCTCATTTGTGAAAAGTTATCAAGCGATATGTTTATGACTTATGTACTTTTCTAAATGTATAATATACTTCAATAAAAAATGAAATAAAACATTAGTTGCAGTTTGGGTTGGGGGTGCTCACCTCCACCAAGGCCTGTAGGAGGCGCTGAGTCAGGGCACCAAACGGGCACCCATCTTCCGGCTGCTCGTGCTGGGCCTCGGATTTCTTCAGCAGGGCATCCACATCTGAAGCAGGCAAAGAAGTGGTGGGCAACTGGGCTGAAGTGTGGGGACTCAAGTCCTGGCCTGGGGTAGGCAATGAGGTGAGGGGCCTACCTTTAGTGTCCAGTTCGGTCAGTGGCCCCATGAGGCCTTTCTTTTTGTCTGCCACAGCTGCTGCCCGGGCTCCATCCTTCTGCTCCTCTAGCAGGTCCTCCTGTGCCCAGCGCTGGGAGTAGTGCTTTCCCAAGGGCGGGATCTATAGGAGAGATCCCACAGGCTGAAAGGGGTAAATACAGGTCCTCCCTCCCTCCCTTCCTTCATCCTTTCTTCCTTCCTTCCTTCCTTCCCTCCCTCCCTCATCTGCCTCCCAAGTACCTGCCTTAGGGTGGAGGCCTGTGCCTTGTGTAGGTGAGAAGAGACAAAGGAAATAAAATCTCTACACTCAATCTAGTAAGGAAGATGGGTACATAAAGAACTAAAGCATACACAGAAGCCAATATGGAGCAATTTCCAGAATACAAGTTACAGAATGGCGTGTGTTCATGGCACATCTCAGGTCACAGCTCTTGTCTCTAGAAGCCTTGGGCTCAGGAGAGGAAACAGTCTTTTGTAATTACTTGAATTCATTACTGCCAAAGGGGTTACTTTTTCAAATAAAATTTTTAAAATTCAAATAAGTATCAGAGATAGATCAAGGTCTTGCAGCAGCCCAAAATGAGACCAACTTTCTCCTGGGGAATCTGCAAAGGTGTTCTGGTGGATGTAAAGTGAGATCGGGGTTTGACGGCTCAGTCAGTCTGCCAAGGGGAGAAGAGCACATGAGGAGGCCCAGAGTGAGCAGGGACCCTGTGTCGGACTGCCGTAAGGGTAAGGTGCTTGGTGGGGCTAGTGAATGCAGCAGTGAGGAGAGGGCACAGCCAAGGAAACTGGAGAGGGGCGCTGGGCAGTGTTGCCAAGGACTGAGACACTTGGACTCAATCCTGTGGGTAATGGAAGCCAGGAGAAGCCCGAGAGCAAGGCTGTGTCACATCTGAGCATGACAGTGAACCTATACTTTGTTCTATTTCCTACACTTTCTTTAATGGAACCTGTTTTATTTTCATCATTAAAAAATAAACTTTTGAATATTAAAGAAAGAAAAGCCCCTCTGGAGGCAGGAACTAGTAAGAGACTGTTTGGGTAGAAGCTGATGGAAGCCTTGAACCAAAGCATAGGGGATGGAGATATGGCGACAAGGGACATACTGAAGTCAATGCCTTAGAACGTGGTAACCACTTGGATGGGGTAGAAGGGAGACCACGCAAGGAGAAAGCTGAGCGACTGGGTGTTGGGTGGATTAATGAGGCAGACAGGATACTAGGCAGGGTAGGGGAAGGAAGATGATACATGACTTTAGGATCTTTGATTCTGAGGCACCTCCAAGTCTTCTTGTTCTCCACCATGTCTGCTAAGGCTCAGGGTTTCTACCTTGTAATGTTCAGCCTCATCTTCTGGGGGTTTCAGTAGCTCCTCTAGTGTGCGCACCTCCTCACTGGTGATATCAGCACAGTAGGGCTCCACTGAAGCCCAGAACCTACAGAGAGAAGCAGATCCTAAGTGGGCACCCCATGCCCCACTAGCCTCAGCCCAGGGCACCTCCACAGTCTCCACTTCCCAAATCCCAAAGCCCCTCTAAGTTCTTTGGTTCAGAACCTGTTGGGGGCATCATTCTTGGGGATCCGCGGCACATCAATTGGGTCATCAGTGAATTCATATTCCTGGATCTTGGGCTGAAGATTTTTGGATTTGGGTCGCCCAGGGCCAGGGCCCGGTCCATGTCCTGCCTTCCCTTCCAATTTTTGCTTCTTGGGCTTCCCATGTTTGGGGGGAGCTCCAAGCTCATGGTCTCGACCCAGCTTCAGGAATCGTCGGTCACCTTTCTTATCCTGCCAGTCAGTGAGGATCTGAAATTCAGAGACTGTCACTGAGGGGGAGAAGGGAAGACACAGGACAACTCTTTCCCCAGTGAAAAATTAGGATCTAGATCCTGAGGAGGCATCAAGGTCTTTCCCGATCCCCCTTTTATTTAGCAAACTCCTGCTCCTTCAAACTCAGCTCCTTTTCTGTGCCCATCTCATAGGATTTTATTCATTTAATTCTCATCATTCCATTCTTTTGTCTGTATTTTCACTCACCTCTGTAGAATTCAGGACAAAGGCCACACAAATTACCCCAGTACATGCTAGCTCTGGGAAAATACACTGGTGGTTAACTTTCTGGTAAAGATAAGCAAGAACCTCCCAGCAAAACTTCACTGGAATGCCTCCTCTGCATCAGTTACAGTTTCTTAGCTACTAATATGCAACGGACTGTGCCACAGCCAAAACCTGAAGAGCATCAGTGAATTCCCAGGGCCCACAAGTTGACTTTATCTATCCCTCGAGGTCCAGTGGGAATGGCATCTTCTTCCTCTGAAGTTTCTGGCACTTGGCACCTATGCTGTAGGCCCAGTCGTGTTTCATGGCCATACTAAAAGGAACAGCATACTTGGTCTTTTCAACTAGATTATAAACAACTGGAGACCAAGAAGCTCATCTTAACCGGCTCTATTCCCCAGGATCTGGCATAGCACCTGGCACACAGACCTCAGGAGAAGTTTATGCAGTGAACAGAAATAATCAGAGTAATACCAATAATTAACATTTGAAATGCTGACTTAGTGTCAGACACGGGGCTGAGCCTTTGCAAAAAATCTCTCTTAGTGCCGCAGGTTCAATTCCCAGTCAGGGTACATGCCTGGGTTGCAGGCCATGACCCCCAGCAACGGCACATTGATGTTTCTTTCTCTCTCTCTCTATTTCCCTCCCTTCCCTCTCTAAAAATAAATAAATAAAAATCTTAATAAAAATCTCTCTTAATCCTCACAAAACTTCTGAGGTAGGTCCATTTTTCAACCCAGTTTGCAGATAAGGAACTGATGCTCAAAAATAGGATGTAACTTTCCCAAAGTCACACAGCTAGGAAACAACAACACTAGCAAATGCTTATTCCAGGATTCAAAAGCAGGTCTCCATGCTAGAGTTCCCCTAGTGCCCCTAATCATATCACATCACCTAGTACTTGTCTGACCTCTGCCTCCTTTTAGTTGGAAAACTCCCTAAAAGCCAGAATTTACCTAATTACCTCTCTCTAATGACCTGTATAGTACCCACAATATAATGGAGGGGGGTGGTCAATAAATGCGTAGTGAATTAGCAATCTTGCAATTTATGAGGATGACACACATTCCTGCATATCACACAAGCCCAATTTGGGTCTCTCTCTGCCCCTCTAACCTCCTGTACCACAGGCCTTAGCAGATGGGGCTAACTCAATGACCCACCCATAACTTAATCATAGTCCATCCCTGGTGATGTTCTCTCTGTAGGGTATCACCTGGGTTTCAGCCTCCAACACTCGCAGGCGCCGACTGGCAGAGGAAAGCAGGGTCTCAAGCTCCAGCTGAAGAGTGTCCAGCTCCTCGATGCCGATGCCGTCATCCTCAGAGCGGGCCAGCACCGCCGTGTAACGTGGACAAACTTTCAGGTGGTCCACAGACTTGAAGTCGTGGAACTGCAAGGGGCAGTCCTTCAGCTCACTCATGGCCCAGGACACAGGACACTGGATACTGTGGAGCTAGAGAGGAGAAGACCATTGATGGGAGATAAAATGTCACAAGCAAAGCCCAAGGGCTCCCTCCATCTTAGGAGAGCCTCAAGGAGAAAGCCAGGCTTCGGTACCCTATTGACAAGGTTGACGACACAGGTCCTATTCACAGAGCACCTACTGTGCACCAAGCAAAGTGCAAACATTTTACCAGCCTCTCGTTGAATTCCTCACCCAACCCTATGAGCAGGTACCACCTGATCTCCACTTTACAAATAAGGAAACAGAGACTCTGTAAGGGTGGGTACATGCCCAGGCTTACCAAGATGGAAGCAGTTAGTTCTAACTATGGGCCCCTCATCACCAGGATCTACTATGCCCTGTCTTCCCCAACGCTCTTCCATTTTGTTCTCTTTCTCCTGGAGATCAGTTAAGCCTGAGTTCCAAGCATCTCATTCTTACAATGCTAATATTCGCTGTGCCTCCCAGCCTTGTCTTGTCTCACCCCTTCCCATCTTTGCTTCTGACAATAGTTAAGAATGTAGCTGGTAAGCCAGGCATACCTGGGTCCAAGCCCAGGCTTTATCATTTTCTATTTATATGACCCTGATGATGTTACTTATCTTCTTGAGGCTCGGTTTTCCCATCTGTAAAATGGGGACGAAAGAAGTCTGGGTCTGTTTCTCCATAAGAAGACTGAATCTGTAAAATGGGGATAACAACGGTACCTACCTCCCCGGGATGTTCTGAGGATTAAGAGATGATGCTCGTCAAGAGCCCAGTTCAGTGCCTGGCACAGAAGAAGTGGGACTGCTCAATGGTTGGTCCCACCCTTGGGTCGCCCAATGCCCCGCCTTCAGCGTCCCCGTCCTCTTGGGACCCCCTAACGCGGCCCCCGCCCCCTCTGCTTCCACACTCCGACCATCTACGGCCCCCGGGCCGCGAGAGGGGGCGGGGAGTTCCGGTTGGTGGATCAACCACCCGGAACTGACTATGAGCGGGCCCCCTGCAGTTGACGCGGGGGCGGAGAAACGCAAGGACGAGCCCACAGTGGCTTGCCGGGGAGGGTTTGCTGGCCGGCAGCTAGCCCACTGCAGGTGGGGTGAGGGGTATATGCCTCGGGTGTACCCGAGGCAACTGCCGGGGATGGAAGGCGGGGCTAAGCAGCCGGGTTTTCGGTCAGGCGGGTAGTCCCGCCGAGCCCCAGGGGCTGGCGGTAGGAGGGGCCCGGAGAAAGGAAGGGGGCGCAGAACCGGAAGTAACGAAGGTCTCCTCCGCCTCGTCTTGTCCAAATATGGTGCCCAACCTGCGACCGGGCTGCACCATTGCATAACTATGGGGGAAAAAAGCGACAAAAAGGACGAGAAACTCAAAGTAAAAAGCAAGAGATGCATGGATAACGGGAGAAGATTGAGTACCTATTTGAAACTTAAAGAATTAAAAAAAATCAAGACAAGCCCAGAGGGAAAACTTACAAAGGACCAAGTTTTGCCAGGCTTCCCTTCCCCCACTCGGAGTACAGATGGTAACGTCCGGAAGTCCAGGAGGAGACTACGGCTGCGCTTCTGGCGAAAGGGCAGGCGTCGCGGGCCTGGCCACTTCCGCACTTCCGCTTTCCGGCCCAGCCAGCGCCCGAGATGGTGAGAGTGCCGGGCCCCCTGCCAGGGACGCCCCCCCTCCGCTGCCGCCCCGTCCCTGTTTTTCCTCAAAGCTGTGGGTCTGGGGGAGATAGGGTTTTGCAGCGGAGAGGCCCAGGGCCCAGGGTTGCTGCAGGGTTGGGGGCATGATGAGGCTGGGAGAAAGAGGGCGGGGTAGGGGCCGAAGTGAGGAAGGGTCAAGCGGGTGACGCCCTGGTAAGAAGCAGTTCTGTTGGCTTCACCGCCTGGCTCTCGGAATAGGTAGGGAATACTCCTGATGCTTGGAGCAAGCCGGAAGTGATGCTTCCTAGGTTTTTGGTAGTGTCTCGTAGGCACATAGTAGGCCTCAGCCCGTTACAGAGATGCCGAGGCATGCAGTAGGGCCACGTCCCCAACCAGAATAGAACTTCATTAAATAACGCCGCTCTGTTCTCTCCTGCTCGCTTGAACCGAGTTTTCTAAGGGAAACGCCTACACTTCCGTATCCCATTCTTTTCCTTATCTCCTGCCTTGCTTCTACCGTACTGACAGATCGATCTCTTATGCTGCCTGCACCGAAACCCCTTCCTGGCTACAACTCAACCGTGTTAGTCTTACTGTAGTACGTAAGATCTGATACTACTGATTCCTTCCTCCCAGGAAATCCATTTGATAAATGTGGGTATTCGTGAGAGTTAAGTGGTAATTATTTAGTCTCCTTACTCTGGTGACCTTGTGTATTTTGGTGACTCCTAAATTTGCCTTCCTAGCTCTCTTTTGCAAGATTTGTCTGGCTGTCTTGAAGACACCTTGACATTAGGCCTCCAGAGCAAAACTCCACTTCTCCCCTAAACTTGCTTGTCCTCCTTTGTTCCTTATATTGGCTATACCTCTCGATTTTTTTTTGAAAAGCAAGTTTATTGAGTTATTACATGAGGCTGTGTCTATTTTAATTGTGAAAGGGCAGGCGTCACTCAGCCGGTCACCTAAAATTCAGCCTTTTCAGATTTACCATCTATGAATTTTGACAAACACAATCTTGTAACCACTGCTACAATCAAGGTACAGAACTTTTCTAGCACCTCAAAATGTTCTCTCAAGCCCCCTCCCCCAACCTGAGACAACCAGTGACTTTTCCCCCTATACTTTTGCCTTTTCCAAATTGTCATAAATGGAATTGTTCCATATGTAGGCTTTTTAATGTGGCTTCTTACCTTAATGCATTTGAGATTCATCCATGTTGTATCTGTCAGTAGTTATTCCTTTTTATTGCTGAGTAGTATTTCATTGTACTGATGGACCATAGTTTGTTGGGAGGTGTTTTTATTCCATGATCATCTACATCTTGTGTCAGTGTAACCCCTGTGATAGATACTCTGCTCATCCTCTTCCACAGCCCCAGTCCAGGCTCTCATCAGCACTCTTTGAATAACCCTCTCTGCATTATGTCTCACTTCTCTCTCCAGTTCATTCTCCACAGAGCCTTCATGCAGCTGTAGTCATACAACTTCCCCCTCAGAAAGCCCCAGCAGTTCCTTATCACCGTAAAAGAAAAGCTAAACTCAGTAGTCTGGCATTTGAGATTCTCCATGAATCTCCAGGCTACTATTGCAGTGTCATCTACTGAATCTAAAATATTTCCCATGTACAGCAACGTTGCACTTATTACTACTCCAGAACTCTTAATGCCTTGTGTTATCCTAACCTTTCTTAAAACACTACTTTCATTCATTCATTTATTGTACAGAAAATGAATAAGGCACTGTATACATATGTTAGGTACTAACAGAGCTAGGTGTAAGATAATGTAGATTTGGATAAAGTAGACATGGTCTGTTGACCATGAAGCTGACAGTCTAGTGAAGGAGAGATCACTTTACTAAAGATGTATGATGATTATGTCATCGTAAATTATGAGAAATGCAATGAAGGGGAAGCCAAGAAAGACTTCTTTGAGGAAGGAAGAGGTTTTTCCTGAATAACTCAACATCTGAAGGATGACTTAGGCGAAGACAGGGTAGCAAAGCCTGCAGATAGATGGTTCAGCATGTGTGAAACCCTGAGGTGGGAAGGAACTTGGCTAATATAAGGAAACAATAGGCCAATGTAGCTAGAAGATGACCCTTCTAGTGGGACTTTCCTTCTATCATTGTAAAATTCTAATCCTTTTCTATCTTCAAGTAAAAGCCCACTTCTACAAATATAACTTGTAAATCTATGTCACAGTTATCCTTTATATTGTATTTTTCCCTCCCCATTGAGCTGTTTAAGGGTAGAGATGATAGTAATCATCTTTGAATTTCAAGCGCTTAGCTCAGTGCATAACACATAGTAGAATTACCCATTTTTTTGCTTAAAAGATAGAGGACAATTATTTACCTATAAGCCTCTAGACTGGAGTTTATCAACTTCAGCACTGTATGGGGATGAATGATTCTTTGATGCGCATTGTAGAATGTTTAGTGGTGTGCTTGGCCTCTGTCTTCTCAGTGCCAGTGGCACTCCTATCCCAAGTAGTGTCCGTGAAAAAATCTCAAAATTGCTGAATGCCCCCTGGCAGGCAAAATGCTCCCGTTGAGAACCACTGGTCTAGACTTAGAATGGAAGGTACCCTGAAGGCCTCGTCTGCTCTGTTTACTTTGGTGTTGGGGAGCCCAGCACCCCCAGTACTGCCTGGCTCCTGAGTAGCTAGAGCAGAGGGCCACTGGGTTTGGTGAGACAGATTCTGATCCTCCCTTGGGGTTTTTCCTACAGACTGCCACTCTCCGCCCCTACCTGAGTGCCGTGCGAGCCACACTGCAGGCTGCCCTCTGCCTGGAGAACTTCTCTTCCCAGGTTGTGGAACGACACAACAAGCCGGAAGTAGAAGTCAGGTAGGGAAAGAAAAGGTCGGGTGTGGGGATGGGTGCAGCCTCAGATGGCTATTGTCTAGAATGTGTCTTGAACTTCTATTCTGGCATTGTTGGGACCACAACAATTCACATATTTTGTCTTGCTGCCAAATGGGAACAGTGGTTCCCAATTTGGAGTTCAGAAAATAGGGTCAGTGGGTTGGCAGGACAAAACCCAGGGGAGAAGCTACTCTGGAGCCCAGATTGCTTGACACAAGGTAGGACTTCTTAGAGCCGTTCATGAAGTGTCTCCTATAGTATTACCAAACTCACTGGCAGTTTGAGAAGAGGATGGAGAATTTGGTTATCTGAGATGTTATCTCTGTTCTTTCCTAATTTAAATATGAATGATTTAAAAAAGATTTATTTATTTTGGGGGGAGGGGGTAGGGGGGGTAAAAAGAGAGGGAGAGAGACATCGATGTGCAAGAGAAACACTGACCAGCTGTCTCTTGCACCCTGACTGGGAATTGAACCAGCAACCCTTTGGTTCACAGGCTGGTGCTCAATCTAGTGAGCCACACCAGCCAGGGTAAAATCAAAGATTTTTTTCCCCCAACCAACCTGGACTCAATATATCTCCTGCAAATATTCTGCAGTTCTGCATTTTGGATTATATTCTTTTATCTAGTTTATGTTTTCTAAACAAGTTGTTATTTTTACTCCTTAAAGTTTAATCTGGGACATATATGTATAAATGAGATACATGGTATTACCACACTGTGCTGATATGATTGGAATTTTTTTTAAATGACAAGATGTTAGCATGTGTTGTGTTATGTTTCTGAACATACATGGTTTCCACTAGGCATTTCAACAGGACAACAGCTCACAGACAACACCACCACAGTGATTACCATTACATAGATCTGGAAACCCAGAGGCATCAAAACGGGGGGCTGAGCTGGGAGGGATCTTAATGCTGAATAAGCGAATCATTAGGGGTTGATCATTAAAACATGCCAAACTGTGTTAGCTTGTCCTTCTCTCTGAGGTCTCTCTTCTTATTCTTTAAATGGTGTGTGGGCTTGTCTGTAGTTACTAAACTAAGAGCTACCATTTGCAAAGCTCCTACTTTGTGTCGGACGCTTGATCCTCTTTGATCTCTCTCAGTCCTTGCCAGTGGAACAGGAATGAGTCATTTTACAGATGAGAAAATGGAGATTCCAGTAGGGTAACTTTCTCAGGGAAAATAACAGGAGGCTGGATTTCAAACCCTTTCTACCCCGACTCCAGAGCCTATGCTCTTTGCATTGGAGAGTACGCTCCCTGGTGCCCATCTGAGAGTGCCCCGTTTGTGAGTCTCCTGTTCCTCGGACTACGGTCTCAGATAGTGATTCCAGGACCTGCCGTGGGATTTCCCTGAACAGCCTGTCCCTCTCTAGTACAGCAGCCTTTGTGACATTGTGTTTTCAGGAGTAGCAAAGAGCTCCTGTTACAACCTGTGACCATCAGCAGGAATGAGAAAGAAAAGGTTCTGATTGAGGGCTCCATCAACTCCGTCCGGGTCAGCATTGCTGTGAAACAGGTGAGCTCACCGCAGAGCCCCCGCCTCTTCAGGAAGCCAGGGATCCCCATCTGAGAGGTGAGGGTGGACGGAAAACCAGACTCTGTTTCTTCAGATGTACCCAGGAAACAGGTAGAATGAAGAGAGAGCAACTCCATCTTTTAGGCTGCCCTGGAATAAGCCCAGTTCTGAAAAATACATAGTACCACTATTAGTGATAATCATAAACTCTGAAAGTAAGATTAAGGGTAAAAAATAAAGTGCAATTTGTTATGTTTCCTCAAACAACATTTTACAAATGTCTGACATTCCCACCACCCCCATCATTTTTGCCATGTCTATGGACTACCTAGACAGTTACTTATTTAATAGTTTTCTTTAAATTAGGTTAGTTTCTTTAAAAGAAACACAAGTGGAAAAACAGTATCGTTTGCCAGGTGGAGGGAGCTCTAAAAAATACACATAATGAAACCCAAACTGATTATGTTGCCTACAGAAAACTCTGCTCCTGGGGCCCACTGTCATTGTTAAGAGAAGATTAACAAGTGTTGGGGACTATTCAGGGCATGCCAGTACCCAGCTGAAAAAATTTTTCTTTTAGAAATCTTTGAGAGCTCACCAGGGAGAAATGGTATTGTTTGATATTCAGTGCTATTAAAGTGGAGGCCACCTAAGGTTATCTCCGGTACCCCAGGTGAGGTATATCACAGACTCTGGGAAATGCAGCACTAGTGAAAGGAGAAAAGGAAAGGCATCTTTGAATATAGGTGAGGACTCTGGAAGGAGAGGATAGAAGACTCAGGTTCACCAGAGTTACCTCTCTGGGTGGGCAGAGATTAGGTCATGTTATACTGCTGTGCTGGAGAGGCTCTAATGTTGTAGAGCTCCCCTTCGGTTGGCAACCAAGTGCCCATGATTCAGAGTTCAGGCAGTGATCATTCCCAGTACCAAAGCCCCCTGCCTCCAGTGAGCCTGGGGGATATTAGGTCAGAGGACCAGGCTACAGATTCCTGTTGGCATAGGGTATCAGCTTTAGGGAAACAATATTTCTGCTTTGCTCTCAATAGGCTGATGAAATTGAGAAGATTTTATGCCACAAGTTCATGCGCTTCATGATGATGCGAGCAGAGAATTTCTTTATCCTTCGAAGGAAACCAGTGGAGGTGAGACCATGTGATTCACATGATCATAATACTCAGGATTCTATCACTGAATCCACTATCACTGGCATGGAATTGTTTCTAGAATCAGGATTGCTACTTCTCCAGCTGTAGGGCGTCTACCTGCTGCTTGAGTTGGGAGTCGGCCTTCATATCAGCTAGAGTAAGGGGGATTGGCTTAGGAAAAGGTAGGTCTGCCTCAAGCATGGAAATGGCAAAAAGAGCAGACACATTATTCATCTTCCCAGAGCCTATAGTCTAGCAATGGAAAGGTCACAATAAGTCAGACCCTGTCTGAGCTTTGCCACCAGCTGATCTCATAGTCTCAAGGATACAGTTGACATTGGGTCAGTCATTGCTGACTTTGTACTTGAGTCCTCTCCACAGACTCCCGGTCAGTTTGACCTAAAATATCCTTGGTAACCGAGCAACTACCACACAGAGCAGCGCACACCATCATGAGATACATTAGATGTGTTGGAGACGTCCTCATTCTGATCTAAAATCTTTCTTCCAGTCATAGATCTAGCCTCTGAGGCCACCCACAATTAGTAAAATTACTCCTGCACACGCAACCCCTCTGGTAGTTAGATACTCCATTCCATCCCTCTTCCGTAGCATCTCTTCTCTTCAGACTGGATGTTCCCTGTTTGATTAGATTCTTCTCTAACAAGATTTCAAGTCCCTTCACTTTCCCCTGACTCATTCTGAATGCAACTATTTGTGCCTTAGTCTTCCCAAGACATCTCATTTACACAGAACACTCAACTGGGTTCAGCTCATTGGATCCAGCCAACATAGACGCCCCACGAGAGCGGGTGGGCTACTGACTGAAAGGTGCGTCACCCAAGAGGAGACCACAGCCAGCTGGAAGCGTGTGACTGAGCGAACGGAGAGAACATAGCCGAGTTCCCCTTGGGACACTAATATTCTCCTGCTTCTTCTCTTCCTCTCTGCTGTCTTCCTTCCCTAGGGGTATGACATCAGTTTTCTGATCACCAACTTCCATACAGAGCAGATGTATAAACACAAGTTGGTGGACTTTGTGATCCATTTCATGGAGGAGATCGACAAAGAGATCAGTGAGATGAAACTGTCAGTCAATGCCCGTGCCCGCATTGTGGCTGAGGAGTTTCTCAAGAATGTAAGTAGGGGCCTTCCTGGTTTCCTTCCAGGGGTAGACGGAGCCATGGGTCCTGCTGAGAGGTTAGCATCTGGCAGGAAAGTGGTGCCAGTGTGTGAGTGTTCCCTGAGGCCTCTAGGATCTCTAGTGGTGCCTCAGGGCTGGAGGACCTGAGCTTCATCTTTGACAGCTATAGGACATTCTCCGTAACTGGGTGTCTGGGGGATGTCTCTTGTGGTCTTTTATGAGGACTTAGATGCTGATTTCTGCATCTCAAACACAGCATCCTTCCCTATATCTAGTTCAAACCCTAAGCTAGGCAAATTAAATCCACATGTAAATTTTTCTAGGAATGTAGGACAGTTAATCACAATGTAATTCCACTTCTCAAACAGACTTAAATATTTTCCTTTAGTGTCTGTTTCTCAGGCTTGAAGTCATGATTTCATCAACCTGCTTTCCATCACTTTCCTGGCCTAAGTCCTCCAGATCCCTCTTCAGTTGTCTGTGCTGTCCTAATTGAAAGGGCTACACTCCTCTAAAGAGGAGGAATCGTAAACATTGATGAACTGATGACACAGTCATTCTTGTTTAGATGTTCAGGACATGCCTTCTTATTTTTCTTTTTTTTTCTTCTGAACAATCTTTAGTTTGTTGGCATGTTCTGCTCAGAGTTGACTGTGACCCTTAGATGGTGGATTTAGTGTTTATTCCTGCCACTGCATACAGACCCAGCCCAGAAGAAGCCCAGATTCCTATAAATGGAAATTACACCCTCTTCCCCTGGGCATTAACTGTACCGAGGGCAGCCAGCGTGCAGAGCAGCCATACTGTGCGCACAGGGTGGCATGCCCGGTCAGGTCACATGGGCTGTGCGGTCACACTGCTTGAGTGAGTCCAGGCTGCACCGCCTTCCCCGGCGTGGGGCTGGGGCCAAACCTCTCAGCTAAGCCTATTATCTCAGAGGCAAAATGAGGAGATTGAGTAATTAATCTGAACCTTGTCAGTGTGGTTGAACGATGAAGAAAAGTATGGAAAGCATGTCATTTGGCACATAGTCAATGTTCTATGTATTACAGCACCAATAGGAGGCTTTTGGATTGAACTGTGAAGAAAAACAGTTCTTGTCCTAATTTAATATTTAGATCATTCATTCATCAATCATTTTTATGACAATTACATTTCTATAGTTATACAATTAAAAGTACATTCACATGTCTCATTTAATACCTTAAACAATCTTTGAGTCAGGTGTTAATCCCCATTTTACGGATGAGTAAACTGGGGATTAACAGGTTCAATCACCTGCCCAAGGTCCCTCAGCCAGTAAGTGGAGAACCATGACTTGGAGCTAGGTTTCAGACTCAAAGATCTAGAACAGTACTTCAGCCTCTGGCAGGGGTCACACACTCAGCTGCCTGCCAGGGCCGGGCAGGGTAACGTACATGCGTGAAATGGGTAGTGTGGGGGCCTAGCAAGTACATGCCTCACCTGAAGAGGATCACCAGCCCACAACTTCATTTACAGCTTTTCAAAAGAAACCCAGAATCTTTCATATTTTCAAGGTTGGCCACTAATGCATATTCTTTTAAACACTGGGTGGGCCTTATTCTGCTCAGTTTCAGGCTGGGCCATTGTTCTGTAACTGCTGGTCTATATAATGTCCAGGGCTGGTCTTGGCACCATGGGGGCACTTGATGGCAGAAAACGTTTCAAGGGCCTGTCCTGGTTGGACCACACAGAGCTTGACACAAAGTACTCAGCTCTCTGAGTCCCCAAGCCCTGCATCTCTAAATGAGGCAACCTCTGTTCACCAAGTGAGGTGCTGTGACAGTGCTTTCTAGCAGCTTCTGTGGTGTGGCCGAGGGGAGCTGTGGAAAAGCTCATAGCACCTATAATTTCTCAGCCTTGGCTGGTGCTGGGTTTAGGGCCAGTGCTCCAAAGGTCACTGCTGAATTAGAAAGAGCATACCCACAGGGGTGTCTTGGGACCAACCCTACCCCTCAGATCTAAGCAGAGTGGCAACTCTTGGGTCAGCCTACCTCCCCCACTCCACTTCCCCCCACCCTGCAACAGGCCTCCTGGGGTACAGCAGTAACTATTATTCACCTTCTCTCAATTCTCTTGACAGTTTTAAACATCTGGTTGGATCTCGTGGCCTTCCCCCTCAGAATCCTGTGTCTCTGCGAAGTCGTCCTGGAGTTACTTCTTGGAGCAGCAGTGGAAGCAGAGGAGGGGAACTGGGTTGGGGCGGGCATCAGAGGTGGGAGGGGGGGTGGTGTGCTTGCTAGCTGGCAGCAAAGCAGCAGTGGACCTGCCCCAAGGCCACACGTGCCTGGTCAGGCTGGCTTCTGATGTTCAGTCCCCTGGGCTGGGACAGATTTTTTTTTAATGTCTTGAACTTAAACTGTGCTTGTAGGAGACTGTAATCTTTTTGTCTTTTTAAACAAACAATCTCCATCTCCAGTGGCTGTGACTGGTCCCAGTGATTGTACCTTATTGGTCGCTGTGGGTCTGGGCAGGCCTGGAGCCAGAAGGCGACTACTGTTCCTCCCCCAGTCCACCCCTTGTGGGGAGGGAGGGAGGTTTCAGACTCTAGTTCCTCTCCTTTCCCCTCTTATTCTCAAGCCTCCTTGGGCCCATTAGCAGTGGCCAGCTTCCTGAGCTCTGCCTAAAGATGGCCATCCAGCACTGGTTGGGGACAAGGGCTGAACCAGTGGCCACCAGCCATGCCTAGGAGCTGGAGCAAAAAAGCCAGGTAACCTCTGGCCACAGGGGCTGCTTCAAGCCCTCCCAGCTGAGAGGGGCCAGTGTTTTGCCTTGTCTGTCAGTGCAGTGCCTGTACTAAAGGTAGAGAGGTGAGTCCTACCAGATTCCTGGCTGGGGCCCTTTCACCCGCTCTGGCTCCTCTGCTCCTGTGCTCGCTGTACCTTTTCTTAATCCAGTGGATCCTCCCTCCCCTGATTAAAGTCTCTTCTCGCCCCTTTGGGGCTGCATGAGGTCTGGGCTCTGTGTGCATATATCAAAGGGGTGATGGGCTTTTTCCTTAAAACCACATGGCTGGTACTTGGGCCTGGGGCCAACGCCAGAAAGTCTTAATGATTGGTCCCTGACATCCCGGCCAAGGGTGCTAGTCCAGAGACCTGTGTTACAGTGTAGACACCACTCATTTGTAAAACTTCTCTGTCTATGAAGAGCTTTGGTCCTTTTCATGTAATGAGCTGGTTTGGGCTAAAAGCCAACTTCAGAGTGATAATGATCCCTTTTTATGGCTAGGGTAGCTGAGGTTCTATGAGATGCAGCTTAGCCCAAATCTAGCCACTGAGCAAGAGGGTAGACTTCAGATCCCAGATTTACGCCTCTATCAGTGTTAAGACAGTAGCCATGTGTAGCTATTTGCATTTAAATTATTCAAAGTAAGTAAGGCTTAAAATTAACTTCCTCAGTCCCACTAGCAACATTTCAGGTGCTCAGTAGCTACCAGTGGCTGATGCCCACCAAGTCAGGTGGTACATGTGTGAAATATTTCCATCATCACAGAAAGCTCTGTTGGACAGTGCTAGATTTATTGGCGAAACTTCAGAGTCAAAACAGGTGTTTGAATCCTAACTCGTAAGTTTAGCAAATTCTGTGCCTCAGTTTCTTAATTTATAAAGTGGAGATAATGAATGTAAATAATAATAGACCCTGCTATACAGGTACTAAATAAACAATAGCTGATCTTTCTACCAGACCACTGTCCCAAGCTGATAATTCCATTGTGCTGGACATGGGGGTTACATTATCCCTGTCATGGAGAGATGGGACTAGTGAAAGAGCCAGGTGTATAAGTATGTGTGCTGAAGTATTTCATACTAACGTAAGTCTGGGAGCCTACAGGGCATGTATGAAAGGTTACAGAAGGGTTAGCCTTTGAGCTGTGCTTTCAAAAGAGTTTCTTCCAAGTGTCCAAAGGATCTCTTGAAGTGGAGGACAAGGTCATGTTAAAGGGGGGAGGGGCCGGGCTGGGGGCAATTTGGATAGCTATCATCCCCTTTATGACAGCTCTGTGACCTCCTGGTCCTGCCTTGCAGAGTGAGGTGTGCCCTCTGGGGTACATGGCTGTGTCTGGCTTTGCGGGGAGTGTTAAAGGTACTCACGGCGAAGTTGGTGTCCACCATAGGGCAGCTGCTCACTTAACCCTCAGAGGATAGCCCTGTTTGGGTGAGCCAGCCAAAACTTGCCATGGATCCATCTCCCAGGACCTGGAACCTCTGGAACCCAATTTGCTGCTTGATTAGAGACTGGATGGTTTCCATTCAGCCCAGTTGCCAGCCAATGGTGTGGGGTGGGGGGTTGGGAATGGTGTTCTGAGTGGTCAGGGTTGGCTAGACAGGTGGAGGACTCACCGTTGATTGGGCAGATCTAGCCAATGACAACACAAAGTGGGTGTTTTAGAGCAGGATATTCACTTTCCTGGACTCGGCTTAAATGGGCACTGGCTAGAGTTTGCCTTTCAAACTGCCCATATTTCCACGACCAGTAGACAACCCTTACGAACCATAACATGGGCTTATGTTTAACTGTTTAAGAGTGGGGCCTTGGAGTCAGACCCCGGTTCCAGTTCTGGCCCTAAGGTGTTATGACACAAAGTATTTAACATCTTGGAGGCTCATTTATTTCACCTGTGATTTTTTTGAGGCTACCACTTTGCCACTACCTCCAAAAAGTTTCCTTAGTTTTGCCTTGAGGGCTGTGTGTAACTTCAGTTACATTTTTCCTGCAGTTGACTCAAAACTATGTTTTTCTATTTCCAGGTTATTGTGGAGTTGGGGTGGGGAGGAGTGTACGCTGCCTTGACCACTGTTTCCCCCATATACCGTCTTTCCATCTGTCCCCAAGGACCTGCAGACACCATCCCGCCTCATCAGGCTCCAGCCACACTGGCTGCCTTTAGTTCCCCAGAAAGGTTCTTACCCTCCTCGGCTGTTGCTGAGGCTTGCCTCTCTCTGGAATGCTATTCCTCCCCTCTTCCCTAGCTAACTCCTGATCTCCTTTGCATTCTATAAGGCTTTGGATTAAATGTCACCTCTTCAGAGGACATTCTTGACTGCCTTGTCCAAAATACGCCCCCTTCCTGGTTGCACTTATCAGGCTTATAGCTGTTTTATACTTTCATTGCTTACTTTTTGTTTCCTCCGCATTGGGCTGTGAACTCCATGAGGTCAGGGACCAACCTAGCGCATTGCAAAGCACGTGGTCCTCTATAAATATTGTGGAATTGGAAGTGCTGGCTGAGGAACCATGGCCCTGATAGCAACTGGTAGCCTCGTGATGTGCGCTTCCACCATCGGTGCTATGCTCATCAAGAGGCTGAGGCAGGCGAGTCTCAGGATTTGCCTGCTTGAGAGATCCTCAGAACCAGCCGGCCCTCCTGAGAGTGACGAGAGTGGTTTCCAAGGTGACAGTAAACAGGGGGCGGAGCCTCGGAATGCAGGGCTTCAGCAGGGCCCACCACGGAAAGGAGGCAGCGTGGGGAGGCGCGCATGCAGGGTCCCCGCTCAGTGCTGCTCCTGAGCGCAGGGGAGCCGAGGGTCTCACACCAAGGCTCCACGGCCTGGTGCAGTCAGGAGGGTGGCCCCGTATGCGGCTGCCAGAGGAAGCCGCAGCCGCCCAAGCCATGCACCAGTTCCACAGTCCCATGGCCCTGGGCACGCCACTCGATGTTGAGGCCCCCTGAGACGCAGCCATGGCCGCGGCCCGCCTCCATTTGGCCCAGTGAGGCTTGCGCAGGCTGCGAACACTCGGCCCGCAGCCCCGCCTTAGCGCACAGCCCATGCCACGCCTTCGAGTCGCTCACCCACTGCACTCGCGCCCAGGGCGCCACAGATCTACGTCCCCTTGGGCCCTCGCACACCCGGGTCCTTGATGATGCCCGGCTGCAGGACGGTGAGGCCCTGTGCTGTAGGCCCATCCTGGCCTGAGGCGGTAGCAGCGAGGACGGGAAGATTTGGGGTGGAAGGAATGGAGGCCGGGAGAGTGATAGAGGGTGGGCATCTAGATGAAGGGTAGAAAAAGAAAAGGAGCGTGGGCATTGGGGCTAGAAGAGATGCTAGGCTGAGCCCTCGCTATACATCTTTTTGCAGGTTCCCTTGTACTCTGGCCAGGATTGTCCAAGGCGTCTCATCACATGGGCCGGCTGAGAAAAGCCAAGATCTATGTAGAGAAAGCTGTCAAGGTTGGAGGGGACTGTGGGGGTCGCGTTCTAGAATGGCTCAGCCTGTCTCCCTGAACGACTTTATTCCATCCTTAAAAAAGCAAACAGAAACCCTTGATCCCACACCTGTCTGTAAATACCTCCCTATGTTTGATACCCCTCACTTAGCAGACGAGTCTGCTTCTCTACCTGGGATCTGCTGTTAGCTCCCACTACTCTTCTGTGCCCTTCCCCACTTCCTTCAGGAGCCACTCTAGAGGAGTCACTAGGGACTTCCCCTTAGCCCCTTTTCTGTCCTAATCTTTGTTGTGTGCTCTGTCATCCTGCACCACCCTCCCACACACCCTTTTCTCTTGGCTGTCTGCTCATTCCAAGTTTTCCTTTCTCCCTCCCTGGCTACTGCTTTTCAGTTGTCTTTGAAGGTGCCTGGGCCTTTAGTGGTTCCCTGGATCCCTTCCCACACTTGTCTCCTTGGCTGTGAGTCCATACAATGTGCTGTGCCCCCCACTTGCCCTTTCCTGCCCAGCCTGTGCTCTAACTCCACACCCAGCAGATCCAGCACCTACTTGACATCTCTATCTAGAGAACTTAAAAGCATTTCCATGTCCCACACCATATTCTTGATTTTCCTGCCTAAACCAGTCCTCACTAGTCTCTAGTTCTCCCCATCTCCTAGTTGCTCAAGTCAGAGATCTGATCTTTCTGTTCACTTACCCACACATCTACTCCCATCGGCAAAACCAATCATCTCTATTTGTAGAACAAGTCTGAACTCTATTACTTCCTTCCTTTCCCCACTGTAGCCACCTTCATTCTAGCTATTGTGATTTCTCTCCTACACAATCCGTAGCAGCCTTCTAGCTGGCATCCCTACTTCCATCCTTGTCTCTTCCATCTAGTTTCCATACAGCAGCAAGCCAAACTTGTGGAGCCTCCAGCCATGGCACTCCCTCCCTTCGCCTTTAGTGCTTCACACTGCTGTTCTAAAATTCAAGACCATTTCCAAGGCCTGCAGGGCCTTCCACAGTCTAGCTATGACCTGCCTCCTTAGGAGCGCCCCCCTCATTTCCATCCTCACCCTGGCCTTCTTCCAGTTCCTTCAGACCTCTCTTCAGCCTCAAGATCTTTGCTCATGCTTTGCCCTTTGCCTCATCTGCCATTTTCCCACCTCTGTAAAATTCATGGCTCCTTCTCCACCTTCCCTGTGTATGTATTTCTAGTTTCTCTGGATCCCCATTAAGTATCTGGTTTTTGGACCCAGCCAGCTTGGATTTAAATCCCTGCTTTTTCACTTAACCACTGTGTGGCCAAGCTACTCAACCTCTCTATGTCTCTGTTTCATAACGAGTTAAGTGGGGATAATAGCATCTATTAAAAATACATGTTATTTTTAGTAATATATATAAATGTTTAGCACATAGTAGGTGTTCAATAAGTATTAGCTACTACCATTATAATTTTGGTTATGCATATTTATTTATCTACTTGTTTATAATCTGTCTCCCCTACTAGAATATAAAGATTTCCTGAAGGTAGAGCCCATAACTGTCTGGTTCACCATCCCCTATGTCTGGCACTTAGGTGGTACTTACTGAACAAGTATCCTTCTTTCACCTTGCAGCAGAAGAAGATCTTTATGATCCAAGGTCACTACCCAGTAATCCGGTGCCTCTTGCGCCACAGGGGCTGGGTGGAGAAGAAGATGGTCCGCTCCTCGGGCACCACCCTGCTGTCACCTCAGAAGGATCTGGACAGCTCAGTAATGGATGATAGCAACACCACTGAGGATGGTGAGCAGTTCCTTCCATTTCACCAGCTCTCTCTCCCGAGTCCCTTTTCTTTGGCTCCCACTGACCCAGGGTTGAGACTTTGGTATGGGACAGGGGCAGGGGCCTCACCAGGCCTGGACTCTGCATTTGCAGAAGATGAAGATGAGGACGAGGTGTTCCAGACACCACAACTGTTCGACTTCAATGACACACAGGAATTTGATGACCCAGATGGGACACACGCTCTGATGGTGAGGGCCCAAGGGACTGGCAGGGGTCTGCTTAGTTGGAGGGAGGGCACTGGAGTCCAGCTGGATGACCCCAGACAAGTTTTTTCCTTCTCTGAGCCTCAGTTTCCCCATCTGCAGTAAAAACTGCTTCTCTAAAGCCTGGATGGGCTAGCAGAGTGGTGAGAGACACAGTGGGGCTCTGACAAGGCTGACCTGGGACCAGAACTTGGCTAGGCTGTATCAGAAACTGGCATAGACTCCAAGCCTGGGAATTCCCCCTTCCAAATAAACCCCCAGAGTTCATCTCCTCCCTCTGCCCATGGCAAGTGAAGGCTGGGAGGAAGGGCTTAAAAAGCTCTGAAAGAGGCTGATATGACGGTGTGGAGGACATGCATGTTGAGGTGTCCTCACATGTGGCTTCGAGTCTTGTCGCCACCACTTACTAAGTTGAACTGTACCAAGTTGCTGTTCTTGTATGTCAGGAAAGGTTGAGCAAGGGCAGTTTCATATGGCTCAACCTTGTCAGCCTTGGACAAGTCACCCTCCCTGTGCCTCAGTTCCCTCATTCGTGAAATGAAGACAACAATAGCACCTACCTCACAGGGGCTGCTGAGGATTAAATAAATTGACATGGAAAGTGCTTAGAACATGGTCTAGCACATGGTGTTGTTGCTTATTAATAATCGTACCTCCCAGAGTTGTAGGAAAAATAGAGAGACATAGAGCCTTTGTCACATGCTATGTGCCCATCAGTTTGGAGTCATTGTCCTGCCACTGAGCAAGTCATGGATGGCCGTGGGCCAGAACGAGGTGGCTTAGTCACTGCCTAGGAGCTTAGTCACTGCCTAGGAGCGCTTGGCCACAAGAGGCTGCAAGCCTGCCTGCTCACTGCTCACCAAGTATATACCCTGGAGGAAGAACTGTCCTTTTTTATTTTACACAAAGGTGGTGTGTGGGCTAGAGGCCATCTTGGAAGCATCCTCTCCTTCCATTCATGCACCCTGCTCAGCAGGGCAGGAAGAAGCCTCTTCCAGCCTTGTGCTACCCACACCAGACTCCCCTGTCTCCTCTCCCCAGTCCCGCATGGTTCGGAATGAGATCCCCTACTTCATCTGGACCACGCGGCGGGATGTGCTGGACTGTCGCTTCCTCTCTAAGGATCAAATGATAAACCACTATGCCCGGGCTGGCTCCTTTACCACAAAGGTGGGCTCCCCAGGGAAGAGGGCATGGCAGCTTCCAACCCCCCAGCCCTTGGACCAAAAACCCAGTTCCCTGTTCTCCTTGGCATTAAGAGAGAGTTCTCCAGAGGGGTTTAGTATGTAACATAGTGGGATTTGGAATTAGACAGTCCTGGGTTCAGCTCCAACCCCTGTAGCATGTCTGGCACATGTAGACATTGACTAAAATAGACTCCAGGATCCAAACAGGATCTGGAGCCAGAACAAACACCAAGTTCAATGACTGACTGAGCAAGAAGGCCCTCACCTCCTAAGCAGAGGATATCTGGCTGATGGATCCGTTCTATCTTACTAAGGTGTAGTAAACTAAGGTGTTAATAAGATAAGGTTTATTGACAAGTGATTTCACCTCTCTGGGCCTCAGTTTCCTCATCTTTAAATGAGAATAACAGTAAAACTATCTTCTAGGATTGTGGCAAAAATGAGGTCTTTATAATTGGGACCTGCTAGTATATTTTTTGGTGTGGACTGGGAAGGATTCCTAGAGGAAGCAGGTCTTTAAGAATGTGACAGGTTGGATATGAGGGATGTGGGGCCTTCTCAGCAGGGACTGAGTGGGTGAACATCTGGAGGTGAATGTGAGTGAGTCAGGCCAAGCAAGGGCTCAGAGTCTCTGAGAATGTCCAGGCAGAGTCTCCCAGAGCTGTCTGGGCTGGTGCTAAGGGTGGGGAGCCCCTGGAAGATTCTCTGGGAAAGTCCCACCCTGACCCTTCAGTGGCTAACTCCATAGGTGGGTCTATGTCTCAATCTCCGGAACTTGCCGTGGTTTGACGAGGCTGATGCTGACTCCTTCTTTCCACGCTGCTACCGCCTGGGGGCTGAGGATGACAAAAAGGCCTTCATAGGTAAGGAGATGCCCATCCCCATGCCTGGAGTCCTCTGGCTGCAGGATGAAGGCTTCTCTCCTCATGCACTTGTCAACCCCAGCAGAATTCCTTCTCCATCCCTAATCCTTATTTTTCCCTAGTGTGCCTCTCTTAATGAACCTCCTAGCTTTGTCAGCCCAGACCTCCAGAAGATCTTAGGTAGTTTAACTTGCATTCTAGAGCAGATTCTAAAAGTGGTCAATGGGCTGAGCTTGGAATCCATAATGGATTCCAGACCTGTGTCGAATTCCATTGACTAGATTGGGTCTCTGATCCAGAAAAGGTCTAGACTTTGGGCTCCTGAAGCAGAATAGTTTCCAACTCTAGAACATGTTCTAAATTCTAGTCAGAATTTGGATCCAGAGTGGATGCTCGGTTTAAATTAGTCTCCAAATCTAAAATAGGTTTTGGGCCAAGGTTTGGTTCTGAGGCTAGAAGTCCATCAGGAATAGAAGAAAGAAATCAGACAACAGGTTTAGGTGAGATTCTAAAGGCAGAATATGAGCCAAGTCAAGTCAGATTCTGGATCTGGTTCTATGTTTGAAACAGGAGTCAGGTTCTAACCCAGGTTCTAGAATTAGAAGGTAGTCAGGTTCTGGATCCAAAGCAGGGCAGGTCATGATCAGGTTCTAGAAACAGAACATACCTGGAGCCTAGGGGCTGAGCAGAGTATTCCCTGCTCCTGGAGCAGAGGACTTCTGGTTGACAGCTGCCCGCAACGTTCTGAAGCTGGTGGCAAAGTCCGAATGGAAGTCATATTCTATCCAGGCAGAAGAGGAAGAGGCCCCACGTAAGTACTATGTGGTTCCCTCCATTCCCTCATCCATTTGTTCTCCCACACATCCACCCATCCATTTATTATTCATCCACACATCTATTTATTTTCCATATCTGCCTATTTACCATCCCTTCCCACCCACCCACCTATGTACATCTACCCACCCCTCTGTTCTTCCATTCATCTACTCATCTGTCCATCTACCTACCCACTCACCCACACACTCACTGATCTCACATTCACCTACCCATCCATCCATTCATTTCCCCACTTATCCCCACACTGTTGATCTACTCATTCATCTACTTTCCCTCAGCAACTTTCTATTCATCCCTCCACTCCGCCACCTTCCTACCTAGCCTTCCACAGACCCATGTACCCATCTATCCACCTGCTTTTCCATCCTTCTCTCCATCACCTGTCTATGCTCCAGTCTATCCACTCATCCATTCTTTTGTCCCAACCACCTACCCACCTATCTTCCTATCCATTTGTTAATTGATCCACTTCCTTATTCAGCCCTTCCATGGGCCTGGAATGTGGCCAAGCTCTCTAGTGGGGACAGACTAAGTCCTGTCTGTGGGGAACTCAGGTCTCTGCAGGAGAGGAAGCAGTGAAACTGTATAGTTTCATGTGGTCTGAGGGCTCCTTGTGCCCAAGGAGGCACAGAGGTCTCCACATTCCATGTTAGCCCAATCCATTGCTTGCCCTTTCCCTTTCTGGACTTAGCTCCTACCTCAAAGCCCCCATACTGTAATTCAGGGGTCTATTAGCCAGGGATTCAGGGCCATAAGGGGCAGCTCTACTGGGAGGTGGGAAATCCCTCTTTCTTCCAAAGGGAGACCTCCCCATTGCTTCTCCCTGGGTGTGCTAGGATCAGGGGCACAAGGGCCTCAGGTGTGTGAGAGGTCCCAGGATCAGAAAGGATGCAGGTGTGTCTGAGGATATAGGAGCTGAGACTCTGGGGTGGACCCTCGAGTGATTGAGAAGTTCTGGGACAGTGGGGGCCAAGGATGAGCACTAGGGTCTCAGGTGAATTTAGAATAAAGTCTCAGGTAAGTGACAGGTCCCAGGGCAGTGAGTGATGCAGGTGTGTGGTGGGTCTCAGGTGTATTTGGAAGAGTCTTTATTTAAGCAACAGGCCTTGGAGCTGTATGTGTGCCGCGGCATGTCTCAGGTTACCTATCAGATGGTGATAAGCCCCTCCATGCCTCTGCAGAAGACCAGAAGCTCACAACACAGGAGCAAAAGCTGGAGAAGGTATCCCCAGAGTTTGTGGATGAGGCTCTGTGTGCCTGTGAGGAGCACCTTAACAACCTAGCCCACCTGGACATTGACAGGGACTTGGAGGCCCCGCTGTACCTCAGCCCTGAGGGCTGGTCCCTCTTCCTCCAGCGCTACTACCGAGTGGTCCAGTGAGTATCTCTGCAGCACTGCATGGAGCACGGGCAGATGCCCCCAGCTCTAGGGGGCTTCCATGTTCTGAGCCATGTTTGGTCAGGGACAAACCCTCTCTAGTGCAGCCCCCACCTCCTCCCTAAGCCTTTTGCTTTTGTTTGTCCTATTACTCTCCTGCCCAAGAACTACTCAGGGCTCCCATTGCCTTCACGATGTGGCGCAAACCTTCCTTCCTGGATCTCCACAAAGGTCATGGCTTGTGCTATAATGCAGACCTCAATTAGAGTCCTAGATTTGCAACTTTCAAGCTCGATGACCTTGGAAATGTCACTAATCTTTTTTGAGCTTTACTTTTCTCAAATGCAAAATATATTTTTAAAAATTGTCTTGCTCAAAGGTAGGATTAGACATGGTAATTTGTATTATGTATGTAATACTGAGGCACAGACTCAGTATTCACTCACAAAATAAGAATCTGTTATGTCAATCAATTTTATCCTAGAGGCCAGTGTTTCCCAAAGTGTGCTAATAGGATGCTAGTTCTACAGGATGTAAATCAATTTTTGTGGAGGAAAAAAAAGGGGGGGGGTGGGCTCTGTGGTCAATCATCTTTGGAAAACATTGGGTTAAACAAAGTTAGTAGCAGGTTTCCTTGGTGCAGGGCTTTTCAGAATGCGTGGGTGGGACATACCCCAGAGAGAGAGAGAGTGGGCAATGTTGGAGGTCCTCAAATAAGGTGTTTTTATAACGTTGATGAGATGCTGTTCTGGGAACTTTTGTTTATATCATTTAGCCCATGGTAAAATTGGTTTTGTTATACACGGTTTCACTTAACTGCAGAACCTATCAACAATGTTAAGTGAGTACCTAGTGTGTATCCTGTACCTAGGTGACCCTAGACCCCTCAGAACATCCTGACGGGTTGTGTTTTCAGGGCACATGTTGGGAAAGGTCCTTAAGCAGAGGAAAGGAGTGTCAATGAGACTGGTGCTATTGCAGGGAGATTCCATTCAGCAGAGGCATGCAGGAGAGACTGAGGGAGAGGGCCCAGAAGGCAGAGCACTGTGTGCCAGGCTCCAGAAATGGCACGTAGACCCTGCTCTCAAGGGACACAAAGCTCAGGTGGGGAGACTTGCAGCAAGCCAGGCAGGAGAGCTCAGGGCCTCACTGGGGTGGGTTAACAGGGAAGAATGGAGCAGATTCAATGATTTATTTACAGGGAAAACTAAAGAGCTAATAATGAAATTTGAATGTGAAAAAACCCACATTATTGATAAATCATTCATTTGTATCTTTTTTTAAGTGTCAGAAAGTGAAAATGACCCTGTACTTTCCCCTTAGCTCCAAGAATATGTAAAGCCACCCTTCTTAAACTAAGAATTATCAAGACTGAGTTAGAATGTTATGTGAAAAGAATGTGAGTCCTATTTATTTCTGGGTATAGGCGAGTTCTAGAGGGCTGTAGGAACCTCTCAGAAGTCAGAATGTCATAAAATATTGCATCATGTAACACATGTGTCAAGTTGTTCAGTTAGCGAGTTAGCATTCATTAATTCATTTAATATTTATTGCCAAGCCCTGGCTGGCATAGCTCAGTGGATTGAGCACAGGCTGTAAACCAAAGCATTGCAGGTTCGATTCCTAGTCAGGGCACATGCCTGGGTTGTGGGCCATGTCCCTGGGTTGCCTCTCATGTGGCCCCCAGTGGGGCCACACATTGATGTTTCTCTCTCTTTCTCCCTTCCTTCCCCTCTCTAAAAATAAATAAATAAAATCTTTTAAAAATATATTTATTGCCATGTTTCTCAACTCCCCTCCCATACCCTTTACGTCCCCCAACCCCTTCCCCTCTGGTAACCCCCATGCTGTTGTCTGTGTTTTCTCAACTTTTTAAAACAAATCCATGACTCAGCAGCCAGGCTTTTTATCAGGGCTGACTTTCCACAAGCACATGGGTTATTTTTTATTTCTGTTAAATATAAAGTCACATTGTCATGCTGAACATATTTTTTCTAGTTACTACACGTGCCCCTGCCACCCCCATGTGACACTTTTCTGGGCCAGATCACAGATTTACTGAGCACCTTCTTTGTGCTGTGGCCCACAGGACGGTTTCCAGCAAACCTTCTGGAAGTAGAAAGGTCAGGACGTAGGTGTGACTGAGAGGCCCTGCTGTACCCCTTCCACCCTGCTGTCCCTGTTCCTGGCGCTGCCCCAGTGGCTGCCTCCTTATCACAAGAGAGAGAAGTTCTCCATGGCTGGAGACAGTCAGGAGGCTGAGATGTTAGAGGGAGGTGAGCATCGAGTGGAGGCTTCCTTCCTATTCAGTCAGGAGAGAAGAAATAGGAGAGTTTGGATGAGGCAGCCATCTGGGCTGTTTTTTGTGGCTTGGTTTAATTCAGGACAGTTTGTGTCCTGTAGGGAACAGGGCCTCTCTTTGTCCATGAACCCAGTCTGTACAGACGAGGTGCGGAGATAAACTCCTGCCAAAGTACTTGCTTACCCAACCATTCATTCATTTAAGAGACTTTTAGGGAGTGCCGAGTTAAGTGCCAAATACACTGCCTGGGGATGGGAATACAACAGAGAATAACAGCTGCAGAAGTGTTCCCGCTCTTACGGAGCTTACGTGCCAGGGAGGGGAGATAGACAGTAACTAAGTGTAGATGTCAGGCGGTAGATGGTAGGAAGAGAAAAGAAATAAAGCAAGGAGATGTGTGATACAGATGTGCTTGAAAAGAATTAGACTAGGAAGGGATTCACGTAGCAAACAGTGCTAGGTCCAGGTTAGAAGGGGGATTAAACCTCCCAACACACCTGTAAGTGTAGGCAGGATGTAGTTTGTGTCCTGGTTCAGCTTTTAACTCAATTTGTGATATTGGACAAGTCTCTTAACGCTCTAAGCTTCAGTTTACACTGCTCTAAGATGGGACCAGTAATACCTTCTTGGCTGAGCTACAGGAAGGATTAGTGATAATATATGTAAAGTCCTCCGCACAGAGCCTGGATGTAGTGGTGCCTCACCATTAGATGTGGTGTGATTAATTCTGCCAAAGGCAATTTTAAGGTACTGGAAAGTGAGGTGGCAGAAAGTGGAGTGTTGGAGTGGGTTGTGGCAGCCTGGGATGGTGCCCTGGGCAGATGGTGCCTCGGGGAACACCTTGAGGGTGGGTATGGAGGTTTGGGAGACACCTATGTGGATCGGTAGGGAGGAAAGGGCATGACCAAGTCTGGTAGGACCATGGCCAGGAGGCTTGTGTCTCCCTTTGCCTTGTCTACCAGGCGGTCCCCAGGCCCAGTCCTGCCCAAGACCCATCATCTCCCCACAGTGAGGGGGCAGAACTCATGCACCTCGATGCTCATGTCCAGCGCTGTGAGAACGTCCTGCAGCAGCTCCGGGCAGTGTTGCCCCAGATGGACATGGAAGGAGATCGCAACATCTGGATCGTGAAGCCAGGAGCCAAGTCCCGTGGCCGAGGTGGGTGTCAGCCCTGCACCCTGCACCAGCACCTACAGCCTACCTCCTCAACTAGAGGCCAGGGCTGTCCATAGTGCAGGCTCAACCGGAGCCAAACTGCCTGGATTTGAATTCCAGCTCTGCTATCAATATGCTTTGTGACCTTGAGCAAGTTATATCACCTCTCTGAACCTCAGTTCCCTCATCTATGAGAAGTGATGTTACTTCCTACAGGGTGAGGGTTAGAAGAGGCAGTGTGTCTCAAACTCAGCATGGTGCCAGGCAGATTAATCTTCCCCTAAACCTTGGCTGCTGTGATGATGCCAGCTTCTCCTCTCCTGTCCTCAGAGTTGGGTTGATATTTTAGGTAGGTCTGGTGATACTCACGTGCAGGTGCTTGTTATCTAAGGCTCTTAGGTTTGACCAGTGTGCCCTGTGAGATATAGCATAGTGGTTAAGGGTATGGATACTGGGAGCCAGACTGTCTGGGTTCAAACCCAAGCTTGCCTCCTGCTATTTGTAACACCTTGGGTAGGTTAGTTAACCTCTCATGCCTCATTTTCATCATTAGTAAAATGAAGTCAATAAATAAATACCTAGAGGATTAGATGAGTATGACATATGTAAAATATTTAGATTCTATCCTTTTACATAGTAACTGCTATATAAGTGCTATTATTTTTAGCAATTCTTGTGGCTCCTCAGCCCAGTGTGAATGGAATCTGAACAGGAGAGAGCCCACAAGCCAGGTGGTGCCTTAGTCCAGCCTTTAAAAGCTGGTTAAGGAGTTCTGAGGAGTAGAAGACAGACTTTTGGCAGACGCCTCCCAATACTGCCCTTGGACGGTTCGTTCATGTGTAAGTGAAGCCACGACAGCTCCAGACACTGTGGGACACTCTCTCAGGAATGTCACTTCAAAACTAACATCGTGGTCTTTATTTTTCTACAATACCTTGGAAATAGTTTTGTTGTTTTTTTTCCAAGTATGAAAGTATGTGGTTATTATATTGTAAAAAAAGAAAGAAAGCAAAAGCCACCCTTGATTTCACAGAGATAACTACTGTTAACCTTTCAGTGTGTTTCTTTCCACAATTTCTTCTATACATTTGGGGAGAGAGATTTATTTTAGTTTAGTTTAAACAAAGACATACTATTCTGCAGTCTCCTTTTGTAGTGTCCTTAATATCAATTAGTACTACTTTAGTACTACTTATTTATTCTTTGCATATTTCTTTGTCCTTAATAATAGATCTTGGAGATCACCTGATTTCAGAACATCTAAATCCGCCTTTTTCCCCCTGTTTTTAGCTTATTTTTTAAAAGTTTTTTAATTGTATTTTTTTCCATTACCATTCACCTCCCTTATACTCTTCTCTGCTACCACAATCACCACACTGATGTCCATGTCTATGTGTTTTTAGCTTACTGTTATGGGTACTTCTAAAATGCACAAACTAGCAAGAACAACACAATGAATCTCCATAAACCTAACACCAAATTAAAAATTTTTCTCTCCATTTTTAGAAAAATTTAATTGAAATGTATATATACTATATCTCATTGACAAGGGTACATACTGTGAGTGTACAAGTCCATGAACTGTCACAGTTGTGGAAGCAGCACCCAGGTCATGAAATAAAACATTCCCTGCACCCTGGAAGGCCCTCACCCACATTTCCTTCTAGACTGTACCTCCCACAATGGTGATCCCTATTCTGATTTATAATACCATAGATTAGTGTTGCCTGTTTGTGAATTTTATGTAAAAGGATAGTATGTACTCTTACCTCATTCTCTTTTACAGCTGCATAAATCTAATCTTGTTTAGATATACTATCATGGACTCACCTAATCCTTTAAAAAAACATTTTAAAAAAATCCTTAGAGAGAGGGAAAGGGAGGGATAAAGAAAGAGAAACTTTCAATGTGTGGTTGCCTCTTGCACCCACCCCATTGGGGACCCTGCCTGCAACCCAGGCATGTTCCCTGACTGGGAATTGAACCAGCGACCCTTTAGTTCACAGGCTGGCACTCAGTCTACTGAGCCACATCAGTCAGGGCTTGCCTAATCCTTTTCTGATGGGTATTTACATGGCTGCCAGTTTTTTCCCTATTTATTTGTTTATTGATTGATTGCTCTTATAAATAATTCTAATGAACAGTCTGTGCAGAGATCTATGGCCTTTCCCTTTTTTTCCTTAGGATAAATTCTTAGAAATGAAATTGCTGGGTTGGTCAAAGGGCATGGACAGTCTCAATCCTTTTTACACCAGGCATCGTGATTTTGGAAATCTTGGTGATCAGTCTGGCTATTTGAGAAAGAATCTGGCTTGGGAACCAGCAACAAATTATTCTGTGCCATTGGCAGGAGATTAGGCTGTTTTAGGGCCAAACAAGGAAGGAATGAGATTGATTTGTGAGTACATGTGTGTGATTTGCAGTGTGATTCTGATATTTAACAGCGTTACAACGCCCTATGCCGTATAAGCATAGATGCTTAATGTCACTAGTTGTAAAACAGATAAAATATATAAGCTACCATTTTCTGCCCAGGAAAAAGGCAAAAATAAATAACAGTGTTGGGTAGGATGCGGGTAAACAAAATCTCATTCGCTGTTGCTGGGAGTGCAGATTGGTGTAACGTCTTTGGCAATATAAAATGGAAAAATGCACATACCTTGGAGCCAGCAAACCTACATGTAGAAATTTATTTTATGGGTGACTAATAATAATGGTATAAGTTCACATTTACACAGAAAGCCCACCATATGCTAAGCACTATTCTAAATCTTTAACATGTTTAAATATATAGAATCCTATGAAACTAAGGCATGTATAGACTACCCCACAACCTGGAAAGATATCCATAGGACCTGGAAGCCACAGTTGGCTGCCTCTGGGGAAGGAGACATATTCTTAATTATATGTCCTTTTGTATTGTCTCCTTTTTGTTTCTCGTTTTATATTCTGTTGATTGTATTGAAAAAACAAAGTCATGTATGCACATGGTTTTTTAAAAAATCCCAGTGCTGTTTAATTTTTATTCATGAATATATTCCTTTTCAATCAAATAAAACTGGTTAATTTTTAAAACCATTTTTAAGGTTTTATTCATTTATTTTTAGAGAGAGAGGAAGAGCAGGAGAGAGAGTGAGAGAACCATTGATACGTGAGAGAAACATCAATCAGTTGCCTCTCACATGCCTCCAACCAGGGACCTGGCCTATGACCTAGGCATTGAGCCCTGACAAGGAATTGAACTGGCAACCTTTCAGTTTGCAGGCCAGTACTCAATCCACTGAGTCACACCAGCCAGGGTAAAATTGGTTAATTAAAAAAAAATTTAAATCCTTAGCAGATTTTCAACTTTCTCAAAGGCAATGAATGGCATTCTGATTGAGGCAGGCAGCCTAGCCCACTCGGCCCTATCATTTCTGTGGGGATAAGAGCTTATGGTGAGCTGTCCACGGTCCCTAGTCCTCTCCTAGCCGGAGCCTGCCCAGATCCCTGATTATCCCATTCCCTCCTTAGGCATCATGTGCATGGACCACCTGGAGGAGATGCTGAAACTGGTGGATGGCAACCCCATGATGATGAAGGAAGGCAAGTGGGTGGTACAGAAGTATATCGAGCGGCCCCTACTCATCTTTGGTACCAAGTTTGACCTGAGACAGTGGATCCTGGTGACCGACTGGAACCCACTTACTGTGTGGTTCTATCGCGACAGCTACATCCGCTTTTCCACACAGCCCTTCACCCTGAAGAACCTGGACAAGTGAGCCCCACCACTTACCTCCCATAAGCTCCCATTCTAGTTGGGGAGCTGGCAAAGCGGGCAATTCCAGTGCAGTGCTGGGCTCCAAACACAGACTCTGCAGGCAGGCAGGCCCGCCATCCATCTCACCACCTTCCACCTGTCATATAACGACTGAGTGCGTACCCTGTGCCATTCTCTGTTCTAGGCACTTGGGATGCAGCAGTGAACAAAACAAAAGTCCAGCTCTGATGAGTTCACAGTCTTGCAGGGAGAAACAGACAAGCAATGAACCTAATAAGTAAAATCATCTAATAGGCTAAATAGTGACATAAAAAAAAGAATGGAGAGCAGGGTAAAGGGGGTCAGGAGAAATTCTGTAGGAGAGAGGCAAGTTGCATCACTAACTTGTGGGGTGAGGGAAAGCCTTGTTGAGTCCTGAGCTTAAACTCCACCTCTGCAGGTTTCGAGCTGTGTGACTTTTGTCAAATGAAAACCTACTTAACTTCAGCTTCCACATCTGAAGAATGGAAGCAGTGATAGGGGACTCATAGCTATCAACTGTCGAATCGAGTGCTTGGTATGTGACAGGTGCTAAGCATATATCATGCATATTAGTCACAAAAATCCAGTGAAGTGGGTACTATACCTTCATTTTATAGCTGTGAAAGGAGCACTCAGATTAAATGATTTACCTAAGACCTCACAACTAGTCAGTGGTGAAGGCAGAACTTGAGCTCATGTCTTAGTGACTGTAGGGCCCATACTCTCACCCATCTTCCTACCTTCCAGGCACTGGGAGGGTTAACTGACACTGAGCTCAAAGCACTTAGCACTGTGTTCCCCACAGTGAGTGCCCTCAGGAGAGATCCTGAGAGATAAGACTGGTTCTGGCCCTGGAAGAATGTTATGGGCCCCAGGCCTCTGTCCTTGTCCTCCCCAGCAGGACCCCATCTCAGGTTGAATGGTCCACAGTGGCCCAGGGCTGGGTCCAGGGTTTGCCTGCCCTCCCCAGGTTTGGGTGGGAGGGGCAAAGGGGCCCAGACCTCAGCTCTATGCTCTCTGCCCCAGCTCGGTGCACCTGTGCAACAACTCCATCCAGAAGCACCTGGAGAATTCATGCCATCGGCACCCACTGCTGCCCTCAGACAACATGTGGTCAAGCCAGAAGTTCCAAGCCTACCTGCAGGACATGGGGGCCCCGAATGCTTGGTCCACTGTCATCGTGCCTGGCATGAAGGCTGCAGTGATTCATGCTTTGCAGACCTCCCAGGACACCGTGCAGTGTCGGAAGGCTAGCTTTGAGCTCTATGGCGCTGACTTTGTGTTTGGTGAAGACTTCCAGCCCTGGCTGATTGAGATCAATGCCAGCCCCACCATGGCACCCTCCACATCTGTCACCACCCAGTTGTGTGCTGGTGTGCAAGCTGACACCCTGCGTGTGGTCATTGACTGGCGGCTGGACCGAAACTGTGACACCGGAGCCTTTGAGCTCATCTACAAGCAGGTGAGATGGCTGGTCCCAGACAGGACCCCAGGGAGTCTTCCCCACTTCCAGGCTGCACCATAGTGAAGCACAGGCACTGCAGTCAGACAGACCCAGTTCAAGTCCTGGTCCTGCCTCAGTGACTCAGTTACAGCTCTTTCCTTATCTGTAAAATGGAGATGCCCCTACCATTTTTCTCATGGGGTTTGGGAGGATGAAATGAATTAATTTGTGTGGGTAATATTTCTAGAGTGGTGTATAGCATAGTATTCCTGAACCTCCCTGGGTTCAAAATCTCTGCTCAATAACTACAAGGTGTTTGACTCTGAACAACCTCCTAATCTCTAGGAGGGGAGGGAGTCTCAGTTTGCTCATCTGTAAAGCACGAATGAAAATAGTGCCTGCCTCATAAGGTTGTGCCAATTAAATGAGTTGAAAGCACGTTAGAACAGTGTCTGGCACATATTAAATGCTACAGAGGTTCTAGCTATTGTGGTTATTAACTAATAAGGTTGCTAGGTGTTTCATGATACATGGCATCACTGTAAAGTGCCTGGATAGATGAGTCAGTTAGTGGAAGCTACTGTTATTATTATTATTATTGTAGATACTCCCACTCAAAAAGGAGAGCCTGGGTGGGAAGTCCACAGGAATCATTGTTCCATAGAAATTCTGAAATCCAGTCTTAGCATATATTTCTAGTTTTGCTATTAGGATCCACTGTTACTTCCCAGGAGTTTTCCATAGCTCTTGCTTCCATCCATTGGGATCTCAGTTTGGCCCTGAATCATCCTTCCTTTCCTGTGGACATTCTCTATAGTTCTTAGTCTGTTACCTGCTCATAGAAATTTAGGGGTACACAAGTCTCTTTCGTTTCATATTGTACCTGTCCCTTCTAGTCCAGGTTGATATTTTTAAAAGCCCTATGTGGTTTTTTTTAAGATTTTATTTATTTACTTTTAGAGAGGGAAGGGAGGGAGAAAGAAAGAGAGAGAAACATCAATGTGTGGTTGCTGGGGGCCGTGGCCTGCAACCCAAGCATGTGCCCTGACTGGAAATCGAACCTGTGATGCTTTGGTTCGCAGACCACGCTCAATCCACTGAGCTACGCCAGCCAGGGCAGCCCTGTGTGTTTCTTACATATCAACTTTATAGTCCAGTCTATCATACAAAAGCCATGTCTACAAATCTAAGAGCTTTTCTCTCTTCTGTGAGACTGCTGTAGCACAATAGCCCTCAAAACCATAAAAATCCTGCTGTTAGCAGACCTCTGGGTGAACTCAAAATGTATTAGACTGAAACATAAGACCTACATGTATGCCCTTGGGATGCTTCAAAGATTTGTAGCAATTTTAATGGGCCCATCAGGCGTGACTTAGATCCCTCTGGAATTTTGTTGTGGTTTTTAAAAACCAAGATGTAATTGACAAATCACATTATGTTAATTTCAGGTTTACAGTATAGTGATTGGATATCTGTGTACGTGGTGAAATGATCACAACACTGAGTGCAGTTAACATCCTTCACCACATGTAGTTAACACATTCTTTTTGTGGTGATGAGAGCTTTCAGGATCTACTGTCTTAGCAACTTTGCAATATACAACACAGTATCATTAACTACAGTCACCAAGCTGTACATTACATCCCCCGGACTTATTTTATAACTGGAAGTTAAAACATTTTGACCACCTTCATACATTTCATTCACCCCTTAGCCTCCCATCTCTGGCAACCACTGATCTATCTGCTCTCTGTATGTATGAGTTCAATTATTTTGTTTGATTTTTTTTTAAGATTCCACATATAAGTGAGATCATATGATATTTGTCTTTCTCTGTCTGACTTATTTTACTTAGTATAAGGCCCTCAAGGTCCATTCATGTTGTCACAAATGGTAAGATTTCCTTCTTTTTATGATTGGATATTCTATTGGTGCGCGTATATATACACATATATACACTACATTTCTACATTTTCATTATCCACTTATCTGTCAATGGACACTAAGGTTGTTTCCATGTTTTGGTTTTGTAAATAATGCTGCCATGAACATGAAGGTGCATATATTTTTTTGGCTAGCGTTTTTGCTCCCTTTGAACAAATATTCATAAAAATGACATTTACTGGATCATGTGGTAGTCCTATTTTTAATTTTTTGAGGAACCTACATACTCTTTTCTACAGTGACTGCACCAATTTACATTCCCACCAACAGTGCATAAGGGTTTCCTTTTGTCCACATCCTCACCAATACTTGTCTTTTTCATAACAATCAAAAAGACAGGTGTGAGCTGATGTCTCCTTGTGGTTTTAATTTGCATTTCCCTGATGATTAGTGATGTTGAGCACCTTTTCATGTACCTGTTGGCCCTCTGTAGGTCTTCTCTGGAAAAATGTCTGTTTAGATCCTCACCCCATTTCATAATCAGATTATTTGTGTATTTTTTGCTAATGAGTTGTATGAGTTCTTTATCTATACTGAATATTAACTTCCTACCAGATATATGATTTGCAAATATTCTCTCCCATTTGGTTGGCCTTTTCATTTGCTGTGCACAAGTTTTTTAGTTTGATGTAGTCCCAGTTGTTTGTTTTTGCTTTTGTTTCCTTTGTTTTTGGTGTCAAATCCAAAAAATCATTGCCAAGACCAATGTCAAGGAGCATAGTATATATTTTATTCTAGGAACTTTATCTTCTAGGAATTCTAGGTTTCAGGTCTTATGCTGAAGTCTTCAATCCATTTTGAGTTGATTTTTGTATATGGTGTAAGCTAGGGGTCTAGTTTCATTCTTTTGCCTGTGGCTGTCCCATTTTCCCAAAACCATTTATTGAAGAGACTGTCCTTTCCCCATTCTTGTACCTGTATGTTCTTGTACCTCCTTTGTAATAAATTAATTGTGTGGGGTTATTTCTGGGCTTTCCATTCTGTTCCATTGATCTCTATGTCTATTTTTATGCCAGTACCATGCTGTTTTGATTACTATAGCTTTGTAATACAGTTTGAAATCAGGAAGCATGATGTCTGCAACTTTGTTCTTCTTTTTTTGCCTTTTTATTTATTTTTAATATATTTTATTGATTATGCTATTACAGTTGTCCCATTTTCCCCCTTCACTCCCCTCCACCCTGCCCACCCCCTCCAACCCACATTCCCCCCCTTTAGTTCATGTCCATGTGTCATAAGTTCTTTAGCTTCTACATTTCCCATACTATACTTGCCCTCCCCCTATTTTCTACCTATTGTCTATGCTACTTATTCTCTATATCTTTTCCCCCTCTCTCTCCCTCCCATTCCCCTGTTCATAACCTTCCATGTGATCTCCATTTCTGTGGTTCTGTTCCTGTTCTATTTGTTTGCTTAGTTTGCTTTTGTTTTAGGTATGGTTGTTACTAACTGTGAGTTTGATGTCTTTTTTTACTGTTCATAGTCTTTATCTTCTTTTTCTTAGATAAGTCCCTTTAACATTTCATATAATAAGGGCTTGGTGATGATGAATTCCTTTAACTTGGCTTTATCTGAGAAGCACTTTATCTGTCCTTCCATTCTAAATGAAAGCTTTGTTGCATAGAGCAATCTTGGATGCAGGTCCTTGCCTTTCATGACTTGGAATACTTCTTTCCAGCCCCTTCTTGCCTGAAAGGTCTCTTTTGAGAAATCAGCTGACATTCTGATGGGAACTCCTTTGTAGGTAACTGTCCCCTTATCTCTTGCTGCTTGTAGAATTCTCTCTTTCATTTTTACCTTGGGTAATGTAATTATGATGTGCCTTGGTGTGTTCCTCCTTGGGTACAACCTCTTTGGGACTCTCTGAGATTCCTGGACTTCCTGGAAGTCTATTTCTTTTGCCAGATGGGAGAAGTGCTCCTTTATTATTTGTTCAAATAACTTTGCCACTTGTTGTTTTTCCTCTTCTCCTTCTGGTACCCCTATAATTCGGATGTTGGAACGTTTAAAGATGTCCTGGAAGTTCCTAAGCCTCTCTTCATTTTTTTGAATTCTTGTTTCTTCATTCTTTTCTGTTTGATTGTTCCTTTCTTCCTTCTGGTCCCTTCCATTGATTTGAAACCCAGTTTTCTTTCCATCATGACTGGTTCCCTGTGCATTTTCCTTCATTTCTCTTATCGTAGCCTGTATCTGTTCATCTAATTTATGACCAAATTCAACCAATTCTGTGAGCATCCTGATCACCTGTGCTTTGAACTGTGCATCTGATAGGTTGGCTATCTCTCGGTCGCTTAAAAAAAACTAGCTCTGGGGCTTTTAATTCTGTTTGAGCCATCTTTATTATTTTATTTTAATTTTTTTTCTTTGGTCTGGTCACACCTGTTATGTATGAGGGGCGGAGCCTTAGGTGTTCACCAGTGTGGGGCACCTCAGTCGCTGGGTTGTGACGTTGTATGTGGGGGCGGGGTCAGAAAGGGAACAATGGCGCCTGCTCTGCTCTCTCTAGAACTTCAGTCCCCTTTGCCGCTTCCCACAAGCAAATTGGGCCCTTCTGGTTCTGGCTCCCAGGCGGGTGGGCTTGTGTACTCTCTCAGACTCTGTGGGTTTCCCCAAGGAGCCTCCTGTGAGGCTGAGAGAATCTCCTGGCCTCAACTCCCACAGGTGTTTTCAATCAGTGCCTTCAGGCTTTGTTTCCCAGCACTGGGTCCCTGGGTTGCGCGGTCTGTGTCGCTGCCAGTTTTCGCTTAGTTTGTCTGCTCGTGAATGTGTGGACAGCCAGCTGCCTTGCGCACCTCACTGGGTCTGCTCGTTGCCTCCCACGCCCAGGGTCTGCCACCGGTCCGTCAGCTGCCCCTGCGCGTCTGGGGTCTGCCAACTGCCATCTGGGCCCTGTGCACCCGCATCTGAGTCTGCCAGCCACCGCTTTTTCCTGCTGGGACCCCTCAACCCCTCTCCGTAGGCCTCCAACTCCACCCCTCCTTACCGGTCTGGATGAATGGTAGTCAGGCTTCCATTCGGTTCATTTCTCTCAGTTCTGGGTGTTTTTTGCTTCTAAATTCTTGTTGTCCTTAGTTTTGGTTGCTCGAGGAGGCACAGTGTGACTACCTATGCCTCCATCTTGGCTGGAAGTCTGCAGCTTTGTTCTTTCTCAAGATTGCTTTGGCTCATTAGGTCTTTTGGTGTTCCATACAAATTTTAGGATTTTTTTCTATTTCTGTGAAAAATGCCATTGGTATTTTGATAGGGATTGCACTGAATCTGTAGATTGCTTTGGGTAGTATGGATACTTTAACAATATTAATTATTCCAGTCCATGAACAGAAAATATCTTTCCATTTGTTTGCCTCTTCAATTTCTTTCATCACTTTACAGTATACAGGTCTTTGGTTAAAGTTATTCCTAGGTATTCTTTTTGATGCTCTTTAATTTCTTTTAATCTAGAACAGCCCCACTGCTTGTTTCTCCCCAGAGTCTGGATCTTTTGAAGGGATCAGGCTGATTGTTTTGTAGAACTGTCCCATATTCTGGATTTATCTGATTGTTTCCTTGGGGTGGTTTTGAACTGTTCTTCTGTTATCTGAATGTTCTGTAAACTAGAAGTTAGGTGAAAAAGCTTGATGAGGTTCAGCTTAACATTTTTGGCAAGACAACTTGAGAGGTGATGCTGGGTACCTCATACAGTGTCACAAGGCACGGCACTGTCAGAGCGTCTCTCGATCAGTGATGCTGACTGTGGAGTTAAGGTGGCGGCTACTAGATCTCTCCATTGTAAGCTGTGTCCTCCCCTTAGCAATGATCAGTTACTTTGGAAGGTGATACTTTGGCCCTGTGCAAATGACACATTTTCCTGTCATCCTTTTCACCTACTTGTTTTGATATCCAGTTTTAATTCTTGCCTTTTGTATCAGTTACAGAATGGTAAGTTTCAGATTCTCTTTCCTTCTACATTTATTAGCTGAGATTCTTCTGTAAAGATGAGCTTTTCCTCATCAACTCGGCTTTCTGGGAGCTCTCATATCTGGATTTTTCACAAGCTCCAATGACCCTGTTTAGATAGATTCTAATCAGGATCCTTTGATGACACAGAAAATACCTCAAACTAGCTCTGGATTAAAGTTCTTAGCGAGACACAGGGGCCTCTCTGGGAACACAGCTATAGGAGGTACCATTTGGCTTTATAAGAACTGAAATTCCACAGGAGAAATTTCTCTGCCTCCCTCTGCATATGTACTACTTCACCCCCCTCCACAGAATGCCTTCTTTCAAGCTCTCAGTTTCTGTTTCCCTGTAACTTGGGTTCATGTGAGGCTCTAGGCAGGTTCTAACCCTCTTCTCTGTCTGGGTGTCATAACTCAGATTCTCTCTGTAGAGAATCCAGCTGCACGGAGGGAGCTTTCCATCAGTAGTGGCCTGTGGAATAGAGCCACAGATGTTCCAGTGAGGGCAGCTCAGGGGGGCCAGGGGGTGGAGAGGTGCTAGTGGAGGCATGGCTGAGACTCCCACACTCCTCTGGGTTACTAATCCCAGGGCCAGTGACTCTCTCTAGGGACCAATTCAGGCCTCCAGGCCCAGACTCCTTAGAGGATAGAGGTAGGCTTCCCATTTCTCAGCCAAGAAATGTCTCCTGACTAGATGCCCCAGAAACCAATTCCATGCATCTCTGCCCAGAGTCCTTCTGGGCCTAGGATTCTAACAGCACTGTCTGAACAGGCCTTGTCTCCTCTTCTTCCCCATAGCCTGCTGTGGAGGTGCCCCAGTATGTGGGTATCCAGCTTCTAGTTGAGGGCTCCACCATCAAGAAGCCCTTGGCAATGTGTCACCGGCGGACAGGGCTCCACACAGCGCTTCCTCACCTGCTGACCCAGCGAGACTCTGGGGAAGGCAAGGACTCGGGGATCTTTATCCACATGTCAGCTCCTAGGAAAGTTCCTGGGGACAGGAGCCTGGAGCACTCCAAGAAGCCAGACTTCACTGCCACCACATCAACTGCTCAAAAGGGGAAGAAAGGCAAGGCAAAAAGTTCTACAGTCCTGGTCCACTCCAGTATCCAGAAGTGGGACTCACCCAACGCAAGGATGGGCTGCATTTTCACCAAGACCTTTGTTAGTGGGGATAGGCAGTCCCACCCCTTGAACAGATTGCCATTGAGTCTGAAGAACCCCCAGGCCCTGGCTAAGACCATTCCTCCAAAACACCCCAGGACCCCAAGGCAATTTCTTCCTGCTCTTCAAGCTTCTCCTAACTACCTGAATTTTCCCACTACCCACAGCCCCACCAAAGAGCTACCAGTAGCAAGTAAAAGTCACCACTTACAAAGTATTTTTTAAAAACACACAACCAAGTAAGTATTGTCCCTTCCCTTGCAAAGGAGTCATCCTGCAAGGCAGTTATTTCCAAGATGCCAGGACTCGGTCCCTGGTGGCTCTCTCCCCAGAGCCCAAGTTTTTCCTGCCACAATGTTCTGCCTTTGCCTCCCTGCACAGTTGCCTCTGGAGGAAAAGAACTAACATTTATACAGCACTTAACAGCTTACACTGTTTTGCTATATAACCAGCTCCTTTAGTCCTCACAGCCTAATGAGGTAGGTGCTATTATCCCCATTTTCCAGCCAAGGGATCAGGACGTTTAAGGAAGTTGCCCAAGGTTGCACATCTCAAAAGGGGCAGAGATGGGATGCAGACCCAGGTCTGTTGGACTCCAACTCGTGTGTCCTACCCATGGCCTCTGGAGGAGGAACTGGGAGGGCTCCATCTGCCTTCACATGCCCCAGCCTTCATATTCCCCCCACCTCTTGCCCTGCACACCCACCTTGAGGGGTAGCTTACTCAGCCTTGAGCACTCCCCCCCTACCCCCACCACCCCAGGCTTTCACAGCACCTCTTGCTCCCACAGCCCCTTACCACTTCCCCAGCCTCCACACCAAGGCCCGGCTGCCTTCTCTCCATGGGCTCCGACCTCAGGGCCCAGTCTTTGGACTGCAGCACAGCAAGCTGGTGGGCTCCAAGGCCCTGTTGACCACAGGCAAGGCCTTGATGATTCTACCTACCGCCAAGGTTTTGATTTCCTTCCCACCTAAACCTGAGCTCAAGTGGGCACCCACCATCCTGAAACCAAGAAAGGTGGGCCTCAAACTATGACTCGCATCCAGGAGGGCAATGATGAGTGCTGGGGTCAGGGCTGGAGGGCACAGGCAGAGGGCAGCTCCCGGGCTGGCTGGAGCCCCAAGGGGAGGGCTTGTTTCCCTCAGAATTCCCTTCCTAGACAAATTCCTGATCATCTCTCCCCTTCTTCCCTCCTTTTATACCAAGGCTGCTGTTGTTCCCAAGCACCTTTGTGGTCCCCATCCTGGAAGTGCCTTGTGGCCTTTACCCTCTGAAGTTAGAAATCTTCCTAGTACACATAGGAAGATCAAGGCCAAAAGCGAGTTCAAGGCCAAACTCTGTGACAGACTCAAGGCTGAAGCATGCCTCATGAAGACACTGAGCCTTCCAGGATCCCTGCCTCTAATCAATGCACACCAGGGATTGGGGGGAATGCAGGATGTGAGGCTAGAGAAGCTCTTGCTTCAGGCCTCACTGCCCTCATCCTGGGTGCAGCACCAAATAAAAAGGAGCAAATAAAGTATTCTTGGCTTGGCTTCGTTTCTATCAGAGGGTGAACAGAGTGTGGCGTGGGGCTCTGTACCCCAAAATCTAGAGCAAGAGTTAGAGGCCATCAGGAACTCCTCCAGGAAGCAAGGCTCAGAATTCCCACATAGTGGCAGACATGGGACTTCCTGTTCAGGAAGGCTCTCTGATCTTTAGGTAGGGGGATAAGTCTTACTTTACAGAAGAGGCAACTGTCTGAATGAGGCAGTATGGCTTGCCCAAGATCACGGGGCAGTGGACAGAAGTCTGGGATACACGGCCAACGTGGCTGACCACCGGGAGTCCCCCAAATTCCTAAGACCGGAAGAGGAGCTGGGCTGACATCTGATGGGCACCAGGTTTACAACATGAGAGATGAGGGAAGGGTGGACCTTGCCTGAACCCCAGCCCTTCTCCAGAGGGAGTGGGTCTGTCCCTTCCTCAGCAAGTGGTGACGGTCACCTGTAAAGAAAATATCCAACAAACCATACCCACCTGAAAAGTAAGGTATTCCTTAGTTATGGGTTGAATGGTATACCCCTTTCCAAAGATGTCTGCTTAGAACCTGTTGATATGACTTTATTTGGCCAACGGGTCTTTGTAAATGTATCAAAACGTCTTGTAAAGCTATTGAGATGGGATCATCCTGGATTTTCCACATGGGCCCTAAATCCAATGACAAGGGTCCTTGGAAAGGAAGACGAACACAAGAAGGCCATGTGCAGATAGAGGCCGAAATTGGTGTGATGGAGACACAAGCCAAGGAACACTAGGAGCCACCAAAGGCTGAGAGGCCAGGAAGGGCCCTCCCCTGGGGCCTTCGAGAGCACAGCCTTGTCAATACCTTGACACAGACTTCCAGCCTCCAGAACCACGAGATTTAACTTGTTTTAAGTCACTTAGGTTGTGGTAACTTGCTATGGCAGCCACAGGAAATACACTAGGCACACGAAGCTACATATACTCTGACCCAGAAACTCTTGCGTAACAACCAGGAAATACGAGCAGGTTCACAGCAGCAGTGCTGTAAGAGCTGAAAAACCTAACTGTCCAGTAACAGAATGGATACACTGATGTATTCCAGCACTGGAGTTCAAATTCCATGCCATACAACACACGCATTTCTCAGTGTGGAGTGAGAACACATCACAAAAGAATATATACAGTGTAATTCCATTTACAGAAACTTGGGGGAGAGGCATAATGAGATATATCATGTAAAGATGCATACATATGTGGTAAGACTTAAAAAGACAAGCAAAGGAAGAGTTCTTCCATCAGGGCAGTGGTTACAACCTAGTTGGAACATCTCAGGGAGCCTTTACGAAAGATTGATGCTAGGGGTCTGGACTCCAGGCCGATCAAACCAGTATCTTTGGGGTGTATAATGGAGATTTTCTAAAGCTTCCTGAGGGGCTATGTAGGGGAGGGGCACTTCTAAAGTGGACTAGGGTTGAGAACTGTTGTTCTATAAGAGGCGTTTCTATTTCATGCCCTGAGTGATGGTTACTTGGGTGTTATCTTATAATTATTATTTAAATCACCAAGATTTAATACATTCTGAGATGTTTTATGCACTCTGTATGTTTTAATATATTTCACAATTTTTAAAAGAAAACCTCACCATCTTCACTGACATGAGCTTCCCCAGAGCAGTCAAATTCGCAGAGACAAAGGAGAATGGTAGTTACTAGGGTCTGGGAGGGGGGATGGGGCTTTAATGTTGAACAGGGACAGAATTTCAGTTCTGGAAAATGAAGAATTCTGAAGGCAGATGATGGCAACAGTGGCAAAACACTGAATGTGCTTAATGCCACTGAGCTGTATACTTAACAATGGTTAACAGAGTAAATCTTGGTAGGTGTATTTTATCACAATGAAAAAATCTGACATTTCTTTCTAGCTAGAATTGGGACAGAAACAGCCCAATAAAAGGCCACACATTGATCTCAGCAGAAAGTATTGTCCGTGATAAACATTTACTTTCTCAGCAAATCTTCAAAACCATAGTTACATACATTTAGTGAGTTAGGTACATTTATTTTCTCAAGTCCAGAGAGGTGAGGTTATTTGCCCAACACCACACAGCAAGTGGCCTAGCCAGGATTTGACCTTGGGTTAGTCTGACTACACAGCCCAGGGTCTTAAACCATGACCTCACTACATGGCGAGCACTGAACTCATTCTCCTAGGGCCTGCGGGCTCCTCACACCCACCACTTTCCAGTAAGAACAGGAGAAGGACTATCGCTGGTGGAGCCCCAGGCACTGCAGAGTCCTGGAGAAATAAGGGGGCAAGGGTGCCAAAAGCTCTATGAGGGCGTCCCTGGGTCTGAGGCCTGGGAGGCAGAGACGATGTAGGTGGAGGTGCAAGGGCAGCTGGGCCGCCTGGGAGGGCGTCAGGCAGAGGCGTCTGAGGAGGGCTTCATCCAGGACCTGGGGTGGGAGAGGCATGTCAGCATTCAGCCAGGTCAGTTCCAACCAGCTCTAAGCAAAATGGAAGTGAAGCAAGTACTTCCTCCTTTCCTCTATGTCCATAGTTGTTAACTTCCTTTTTACACAGACACATGTACACATTCAAAACACACTCAATATGGCAGACATCAGCTAGGGGTTCACCAAATCAGTTTCTACCTAGGCATACAGCTAAACTACGTTTCCCTGTGCCTCCTGCCGTTTGGTGAGGACAAGTGATTGAGTTCCAGCCAACAGAATGGGAATGTACGTATATGTGCCCCCCTCCAGAACTGGCCCATGAAAATCTCCCACATGAACAGTACCGTCCGCACTTATCTGCCAGCTAGATAGCAACAGCCTGGGTCCCTTAGTGACTGCTTGGATCAAAGCCCACCTGTATCCCACCCCCATTAATTGGACTTAAAATGAAGGAACCAATGTGTTAAGACTCTAGTACTTTGGGGCTACTCTGTTAGAGCTGATAGTTACCCTTATACAGGCAACCATTCCTACCCCTTATACCAAAGAGACTCAAAGAATGGCAGCTTTAGAAGGGCCTTTAGAAACCAGCTAGTTCAACTCCCTTATTGAACAGATGGGCAGAGTGAGGTGCAAGAGAGGGGTGTCACTTGCTCAGGGCCATACAGCAAAACAGGGGTACAGACAGCCTCTGAAGCTGAGAGGACTGCCTCCCAGTCCCAAGCTGCACAGGTAATGTCTGGAGATGCTGCCCACCCTCGTCCCCTGGCCCACCCCCAGGAGGCAGAGGGCAAAAGGCCTTGGGTACCTGTCTTTGGGGTTTGGTGCTCTCAGCTGGCAATAGAAAGCGCTGGCCCAGGACAGCACCCACGCGGGCAGAATACCTGTGGTCCCCAAGCACAGGGCAGAGCTGCAGCACCATGTGTACCTGTAGCTGACTGGGGAACACTGGGAGACAGGAGAGAGAGGACAGATGGTGAGCAGCTGCTCTCTCTGTCCAACCCAGTATCCTCCCTCCCCATTTCCTCTGGGCAAACACCTCCCCCCTCCCCGTTCTCAGATCAGGTGGTTTCCATGAGGCCAACCCTACTGCCCTGGCCTCCAGAGCAGGTTGGGACAGTCACAGCTATCAATCCACCTGGCCTGTGGGTTCACCCAGGAAGAGAGGCAACCCTGAATTTATTGTTGAAGCTACTGGGAATAAAGACTGCTTGTTCTTGCTGGGGTGCTAAACTGAAGGGTGAGGTGTAAGCCTGGAGCTGCTGGAGACCCTGGCCATCTCCCCTTCACCAGGGGAGCACCTGTGGGAGAAAGCCAACGTACAGGAGGAAGGAAAACATGGAGAAACAGCTTCCTGATGGCATCCCTGAGTCTCTGGTCCTGCCAAATTATGTGAGCCAAGAATTTATTTTTTTTGGCTTTCACCAATTTGAACTAGCTTTTGGAAAACTTACAATCAAAAGTACCTTGACCAATACAGAAATTGGGGGGGGGCGCTATATGCTAGACATGGCATAAAAGGTTTCGCACGTGTAAGCTATTTAGCAATCATGACAACCCTGTAAGATGGGTCCTACCATCACTGTGGAAAACCAAAGCTCAAGAAGTGATCTGCCTACCACCATAAACGGATTTAAACCCAGGAGCTGTACTCTGCTTCCACGTCTGGTAATAATCTAAAAACCCTCTTGCTATAAACTACCTAGAAACACTGGGGAAATATAAGTCATCCCTTTAAATATACAATGGGCATACAACAAGTAAGGTTCCCGAGACCAAAATACAAAAAGGAAAAACAGAACATATAAGAGCCAACATTTCACCTATTCCAGGGGTGCTGCCAACCTTGACATCCAGGGGGACTGGGTTTAAGTAGCCACCCTGGGGGCCAGGGATGAGGCCTTGCTGCCCAAATGAAACCCTAGCGGGGCTACATCCTCAGTGAAAGGGTGGGCCAGGAGAACAAGCCAGCCACCAGAGAAGCCATAAGAGCAATAAACAAGTTTTCCCCTGAGAATTCATGGCAACGAGCCTGCTCTCACACAGGTCTAGGGCTCTAATGCTTCTTGAATACTCTGAACTTCCAACGGAGACACTAATATTTAGGGAGGTCCTAAAGTAGTGAGAGCCCCAAAGCATTTAGCAGAAGCAAAGGCACAACCTTTCCCAAAGGTCCTACCTAAAATGAGGCAAAAGATTTCCATGGATGATGGCCCAGCTGAACCTGAATTCACAATCCTGAGTCATAGAAACAATCCACCAAGCGTGAGAGTCAGCAGCACACACAATAGGTTTATACTCTCAAGAATTTCAGACAATGGAATTAGAGAAATACAATTGTTTTAAATGATTAAAGACAAAAAAGAACAAATAGTATGGGGGGAAAACATGTCATATTTTTTTAAGGACACTTGTATTTGTGAAAGAACCAAATAGAAGTGAAAAATACAGTCAAGTCCTGGCTGGGTAGCTCAGTTGGTTAGAGCATCATCCCAATGCGGCAAGGTTGCATGTTCCGTCCCAGGTCAGGGCACATACAAGAATCAACCAATGAATGCATGAATAAGTGGAACAATCAATTGATGTTTCTCTCTCTAAAATTCAATTAAAGAAAATAAAGCCATGCCCTGGCTGGTGTAGCTCAATGGGTTGAGCACTGGCCTGCTAACTGAAAGGTCACGGGTTCAATTCCTGATCAGGGCACATGCTTGGGTTGCAGGCCAGGTCCCCAGTTGGGGACGTGCAAGAGGCAACCAATCGATGTTTCTCTTGTACATCAATTTTTCTCTCTTTCTCCCCCTCTTCCCTTCTCTCTAAAAAATAAATAAGGAGATAAAAGTTAAAAACAAAACAAAACAAAACAAAAACAAACCAGCCCTGACTGGTGTGGCTGTGTGTGTAGGGTATCGTCCCATAAACCAAAAGGTTGCTGGTTTGATTCCTGGTCAGGGCACATGCCTGGGTTGCAGGCCAGGTCCCCAGTTGTGGGAATGCGAGAGACAACTGATCAATGTTTCTTTGCACATTAATGTTTCTCTCCTCTCTTTATCCCTCCCTTCCTCTCTCTCTAAAATTAAATTAAATTAAATTAAAAAAAAAACAAAACAACCTCACCCTCCACACCTAGTTTCATCACAGGGAAACTACAGACCACCAAAGACAAAAAGAAGGCCCTGAGATCAGTAACTAAGAGAAAAAATAGATAAGCTACAAAGGAATGACCGTTAGAATGACAGTAGAAGCACTGCCTTCTCCGCTGGGCCTGCTCACATACACTCTGGGGGGTCCATCAAATGCTCCCAGGCTGCTCCTAACACCACCACTTTCCTCCTACCCCTTCACCTCCTCATCCAAGTGCAGCCCTAAAGTCTGGCTGGGGCTCTAGACCCACTTGTGACCCACCTGTTAGTGGTTGCAGCTGGACCAAGGCACAGCCAGAACCTGTGGCCACCACACGGAAGTGGCTTAGGGTCCTCTTGACACCTTCCAGGACATCCTTTCGGGATGGAGACTTCACTGGAACTACCTGTGGTATCAGCCCCCAAGGATGAAGAAGCTTCACACATACCTGGGAGCTATACCTAGACTCCTCCCTGTGCCCAGTAGACTTAGGACAGGCAGTATAAGCAGTGGTCACTTGCCTGTTATAGAGGACAGGACAGCCAGTTACCCACACCCCAAGTCTATAGACTTAACTGCTCTATAAGGGTAATATGTCTGGACAGTCCCCTCTGTTCCCCACCCAGGCCCTGACTCACGAGATCAACGCCATCAACATGATCCAGTTTTAGAGCTGCTTGCACCTTCCCCTCTGAAGTAGCTGGGATCCCATCAGTGACAGCCCTGAGAAAGAAGCAAGAGGAGGTCACACAGTGGCTTGTCAGGACCTCCCCACTGCAATGGGAGCCTGCCAGCACCTCTCACCAGTAGGTGGCTGTAGGTCTCTGGGCTCTTCGTGAATGGACAAAGAACTTCTGGAGGTGGCTTGCTGTCTGAGGACAACTGGAGAGGAGTACAAGCCCAGAGGTCTCCCTGGAGGAAGAGAACAAATCACAAAAGTTAAAGTCCCTTGGGCTCACTTACAAAAAAGTGAGAAACACTGACCTACTTAAGGCCAAAGAGTAACACCAAACTATAGCACAGACCTCCTTCTGAGAAGCAAGGCTCCCTCATGTTTGATAATCAGGCCACGTAGCTCACCGTGTCTCTCATTCTGCCCTGGCCCCCAAGGAGCTCGGAGTCAAATGCCATAACAATTACCACCAATTGCTGAGTGTCTACCATGTGCTAGGCACCGTACTAGGAATTTTATATACATATTAGCTCTGAAAGAATTAAATTCCCCACAAACAAGCCCAAGAGTTTGTGAAATTACAAAAATATTTCTTCTCAAGCACCACCTCTAATTGATGGCAGTTAGAGGAAAGCTGATATCCATGATCAACTCCCAATGCCTGCCATGAGTATGGGCTGGGAAAAGCGACTGCATACTGAGCATTGGTATAATCAGCTCTATGTTATGATTAAGGGAGCTGAGGATCAGTGAGGTTTCATGCTTTGCCTAAGATCACAGTTTGCGCACAAGGATCCGAACCCAGGTCTGCCTGCCCCCTTCTGTACCTTGTATTCTACCTCTATGACCCCAAACTAGCCATGGAAATGTCTTGGCTTATTTCTAAGCAACATGTTCCCGAACCTTAGATGGGTGCCTGTCCTCCTACCTCCCTATCATCCCCACCACTTACTTCCCAGATGCTTGGACAACCTGGAGCTCCTGCTCCCCAAGCCCCAGGGATTGGCTCAGCTCTGGCAGCACAGAGAACAATGTCAGCTCTCCTGGTTTTCCTGGGAAAAAAGACAGAAAATTACAAGTTGCTCCCAGAGGCAACTTTATCCCACCACCCCCTTCTCTTCATTATTCCCTCCCTCAGAGATATCAAACTCCCTTTCAGTGCATCTCCTTCCCCTGCCCATACCTGTCACTGGAAGACCCTGTGGCTTGTTCAGTGTCACTAGTGGTCCTGAAACACACATGACAGGAACATCATTGACAACACAAGCAGCAGTTAGAGTTTAGAAAGCACTTTCTCAAATTATGTTACCATGCAGCGCTGCTACAACTCTCAGACATGAGTTATCAGCCACACCCGGAACTGAACTTCCTGTCCCTCACATATACTAAGCTTACTCACGCCTCAGGGCCTTTGCATTTACTGTTTCCTCTGTCCCAGATTTTCACATCTGTCTCCTTCATATCACCTTGGCTAAAATGTCACCACCAGAGAGACCTAATTCTGCAACCTAATATCTGCCCATGCTCCTACAGTTCCTCACTGTCATAACACTTTTATCATAGCACTGATCACTAGCTAGTACCTTGTTCATTTATTCTGGGTTTAATCCATTTCTCCTACTGAACTGTTGGCTCCCTGAGAGTGGGAACAATATTTATCTTGCATAGCTGTGCCTAGAACAGTGCCTGGAACACAGCCTATGCTCAATAAGTAGTTGAGAAAATTATTAAATTGCTTAATGAAGACTGATGCTCAAATTGTTATTTTCCTAATGCCACACAGCACACTGATTATGGAGCCTAGATCTGACTCCAAAGCCTGTGTTTTGTCCATAAGCAATTTATTATAGCAATTTCCATTCTAACGTGCCTACTGTGTTCAAGACTCTAGTTCTTCACACCCTCCCACCCTACACCCCATGCTCATAATGCTGAGACTAGGAGAGATTATGTGGTTCTTCCCTGCTCATGCCTCTGGTAGGAGGCAGACCAGGATTCGACCCCAAAGGCTTTAGTAGGGAGCCCAGTCAGGCCCTGGGAAGGCTCAGAGCAGCAGGCTCCCCTCCCAGGTCTCTGTGCAGCTCTCCCTCTCACCCTCACCTTTCTGGTCCACCACAGATGCCCTCAGCACATCAATGAGCTCCTCCCGACTGAGGTTCTCTGGCTGCAGTTGCCCTGGGAAGGGCTGGTTTCTCAGGGACCTCGACCGTTTGCTGGAGCCTCGAGGATGCATCTGATGCCTGGAAAGGTGGGGTAAGCAATAGCTTAATGATTCGTTTCCCAAGGTGCTGCCCATTCTTATCTCCACACGCCTCTTCCCAACCCCTAAAAAATGCCTCAGAATGCCTGGTTTGAGCTCTCTGAAAACTCTAGTTCGACTGGCCCTGTTTTACAAAGGACAGAACTGAGGCTCAGCGAGGACTGCAGACTAATGTGCCATCGCACAGCTGAACCGGCATTAAAACCCACATCTTAATTTCAGATCCCGCACACATCTTCCCTCAGCCCCACCCTCCCTCTCACACGAAGTTGGGGGCGGGTGCAATCACCGGGCCTCTGTGCCAAAGCGTCCGACCTTACGAGCTGCGCAGACCCCAGGACCCCGCCACCAGCCACCCCAGAGGTGGTCCAAAACGCTGTAGCCACCCATCTCCCGTGTGAAGTTAGTGCGCATGTGTTTAGAGGGCAACTCCACCCCCGGCTCGTCTGCAGTACGCTAATTGGTTAGATTGACTGTCAGTTGGAAAGCAAAAAGGTGAGGCGTTAGGGCTTGAGAAGGCGGAATTTTGCCTTGCCCTGGAAGGAAGTGAATCGATTCGCCCTTGTGCTTTTAGGAAACACTCGGGGCTGAGCGGAGGCGGGATTTCTCAGGGTTGGAGGAGCTGTATTAGGTTGTGGTTGATAGCTCCTGACAGTTGTAGTGGGGTCGCAGCATGAATTGACAAAGGGCTTTCTAAACTCTTCTGCTTTTGTTGTCCATTAGAGTTAGATTTATGTACAAAACCGAGACCTAAGGTTAAGGTTTTCTGATTACCATTCCAATTCTTAGGAGCCTTCAGACTCAAAAAGCCACTCTTATGCACAATATTGGAAGGCAGGTGGTGAAACCCACACCCTTTTGATCAGTAAATCTGCTTGGAAGAACAGCCTGGTGCATAATCCAAAAGCAGAAAAAGTTCAGAGACAGAGATTCATTAAAGCATTATTTATAAAAGCAAAAACAAAACGAATCTCAAAACTGGGAACATAAATTGTCCTGTGATTAGCTTTATAGGGGAAACGAATCTTATGTCACCCATTCAACAGTTTTTGAATGCTATCTGTATTCCAGTCCTTGGCATTAGTAAGCTGGAAATACAGATCAGCAAGACACAGGCACTATCCACAAGAAGTTCAACTAAGCGGACACGGTTCAGATCACAGGATCACAACACACCTTGCTAAACCCTGTGCAGATGGTAAGAGAGAAGAGTGAGGAGGCAGGTGAAGTCAGAACAGCTGTCCAAACATGGGTTGTGATTGACAAGCTGTGAAGAACTTACACAAATTCACGAGGAGGCAGAGGGAGGGAACAACAGATGAGTTAAGTGGGGATGATGGTGGAGACCAAAATGGATTGTATCCTATAATTATAGTTATGGAAAAGTTACATGCAACCTGTGCATTGTTTTATTTATTTACTAATAGCACTATAACTTTTAATTCTTTGTTTATATTAGCAAAAGACTTCAAATAACCTAAATCCATCAACAGAGGGATGGCTAAGTGAGTTGTATCACACCCATACCATGTAGCCATTAATTAGTGTATAGGTCTATATGTGCTGATATTAATCAATCTCCAGAAAATATTAAGTCAAAAAAGAAAAGTGAAGAACAGTGTGATTTGAATATGCATATATAGTATATATACTGGTTTGATTCCCAGTCAGGGCACATGCCTAGGTTGTGGGTCAGGTCCCCAATTGGGGGCCTGTGAGATGCAACTGATCAATATTTCTCAGCCTCTCTTTCTCCCTCTCTTCCCCTCTCTCTAAAAATAAATAAATAAAATCTTTTAAAAAATAAAATAAAAATAAAGAAATAAATACAATCTAAAGAAAAATTATTTTTAAAAAAGTTTTCTATAAAGCAGTATGCTGGACTTCTGGCCAAGATGGAGGCATAGGTACACACACTGTGCCTCCTCATGCAACCAAAATAAGGACACCAATTTAGAAACAAAAAACAACAAACTGACAGAAAACTGAACTGTATGGAAGTCTGACAACCAAGGAATTAAAGAAGACATATTCATCCAGACCAGTAGGAGGGGTGGAGTTGGGCAGCTGGGTGGAAAGGGGTTGCAGCAAAGTGGCAGTGGGCAGACCCACGAGGCAGCAGCGCACAAGGTGGCTGGTGGACCAGGCAGTCCCACATTTGTGTGCAAATAAACCAGGTGAAACTGGGGAGCAAGACAGACTGTGAAACCCAGGGTCCCAGCTCGGGGAAATAAAGCCTCAAAACACCTATTGAAAACACCTGTGGGGGATGAGGTGCCAGGAGAAACTCCCAGCTTCACAGGAGAGTTCTTGGAGAGACCCACAGGGTCCTAGAATATACACAAACCCACCCACACAGGAATCAGTACCAGAGGGGCCCAATTTGCTTGTGGGAAGTGGGAAAAATGACTGAAATCCAGCAGGGAGCAGAGCAAGCGCGATTGTTCCCTCTCGAACCCCTGCCCCACAAACAGCGTCACAACCAAGCAACTGGGTTGCCCCACCCTGGTGAACACCTAAGGGTCCGCCCCTTACTATGTAACAGGTGCGCTGAGACAAAAAATGGCCCAAATAAAAGAACAGATCTAAGCTTCAGAAAAAATACAACTAAGCGATTAAGAGATAGCCAACCTATCAGATGCATAGTTCAAAACACTGGTAATCAGAATGCTCACAGAATTGGTTGAATTTGGTCACAAATTAGATGAAAAAAATGAAGGCTATGCTAAGTGAAATACAGGAAAATGTACAGGGAACTGATAGTGATGGGAAGGAAACTGGGACTCAAATCAATGGAGTGGACCAGAAGGAAGAAAGAAACAATCAAAAAGAAAAGAATGAAAAAACAAGAATTCAAAAAAATGAGGAGAGGCTTAGGAACTTCCAGGATATCTTTAAATATTCCAATATCTGAATTATAGGGGTACCAGAAGGAGAAGAGAAAGAGTAACAAATGGAAAAGTTATTTGAACAAATAATAAAAGAGAACTTCCCCATTCTGGCAAAGGAAATAGACTTCCAGGAAGTCCAGGAAGCTCAGAGAGTCCCAAAGAAGTTGGACCCAAGGAGGAACACACCAAGGCACATCATAATTACATCACCCAAGATGAATGATAAGGAGAGAATCTTAAAAGCAGCAAGAGAAAAGGGGACAGTTACCTACAAAGGAGTTCCCATCAGAATGTCAGTTGATTTTTCAAAAGAGACCTTACAGGAAAGAAGGGGCTGGAAAGAAGTATTCCAAGTCATGAAAGGCAAGGACCTACATCCAAGATTGCTCTATCCAGAAAAGCTTTCATTTAGAATGGAAGGACAGATAAAGTGCTTCTCAGATAAGGTCAAGTTAAAGGAGTTCATCATCGCCAAGCCCGTATATGAAATGTTAAAGGGACCTATATAAGAAAAAGAAGATAAAAAACATGTACAGTAAAATAACAGTAAACTCACAATTATTAACAACTACACCTAAATCAAAAACAAACTAAGCAAACAACTAGAACAGGAACAGAATCACAGAAATGGAGATCACATGGAGGGTTAGCAACAGAATAGTGGGAGGGGGAGAGAGGGGGAGAAGGTACAGAGAATAAGTAGCATAGATGGTAGGTTGAAAATAGACAGGGGGAGGGTAAGACTAGTATGGGAAATGTAGAAGCCAAAGAACTTACATGCATGACAAATGGACATGAACTAAAGGGGGGGGGGGAATGTGGGTGGGAGGGGGTGTGCAGGGTGGAGGGGAGTGAAGGGGGGAAAAATGGGACAACTGTAATAGCATAATCAATAAAATATATGTTTTTAAAAAGAAAAAGAAAGCAGTATGCCATGTTATATCAACAACCTCGTATATCTCATGCTTACCATTTCTCTTAGTTGTATTATTTTTTCTTGTGCTTGATTTAGTCTTGTGTTGTTTTATACAGTAACATGTAATACAGGCTTGTAGACTAGGAGCAATAGGCTATACTATATAGCCTAGGTGTGTAGTAGACTATATCATCTAGGTTTATGTAAGTCTATGACTGTGTATGTGTGTTATATCATCTAGGTTTATGTAAGTCCATGACTATGTATATGTGTGAAATTTATGTGTATTTATTAGATTTATATACTCCTGCATTTTTCAAAGGACACACAAAAATGAGATAGTGGTTGCTTCTAGAGAAGCAATCAGAGGTGAAAAGATGAACAAATATTTTTTCCTTTCAGAGTTTTATTGAGTTTTTTATCTCACCAATTTATTTCTTCTTCTACACACACACACACACACACACACACACACACACACACACACACCTAGTTTTAAAATCTAAGGTATAAAAGACTATAAGATTCATAAAATTTTTTAAATAATAAACATTTAAAAAATAAAAATAGGTAGAAGTAAATTTCCTTAAAAGACTGTGTGATTGTATGTACATGACATTTTAGGGACAACACTCCAACCAACTGAGCCACACCAGCCAGGGCCTATACATGACATTTTAGAAAAGGCAAACTAGGCTCACAGAAAACCAAGTGGATCCCAGAGGCTTGGGGTGGATGGCAGGATGGGGATTGACCAAAAAGGGGTATGAAGGAGCTTTTCAGCACCCTGGCAAGGGTTGTTACATACTGTGTAAATTCACCCAAATTTAACTGGACTATATATCTTAAAAGGGTGAATTTTATTGTATGTCAGTTATACCTCAAAAAACTTTATTTCTAATTCAAAGATTTAAATAATCAATTTTTAAATCGATGAGAGCAAATAGTACTGACAAGAAATTTGGCAAGAATGTAGGAGGTTTTATTTTGTTTTGGGCGTGGACATTAGTGTGCTTTGTCATAAGGTCCCACGGTATTTTAGAATCCTTCTTCTGAAGGTCTCCTGTGCATTTATAAGTGTTACAGTAGAAGAAGAGGTCAGAGGGGAAATAAAGGCAAAGCCCTTACCATTGCAATCTAACAGAGAACTTAATACATGAGCCTAAAAGCAAAGGCTCACCTGTTGACTCCTGAGCCTGGCCCCATAAGGCTGCCAAGCATTCCGAACAACACATTGCAAACTATGATAGCGCAGGGAGAAGCCCTTGAAGGTCTGTGTGTATCATCTCCACTAGCTGGAAAAAGGAAAACCTTGAGACTGTGTACTCATCCCAAGGCCTAGAAGGGAGAAGAAGAGGGGGAGTACAGTGCCCAAAAGGGAAAAAACCCATAAAACATCTTTGGTTAACTGCCTACCTCCTGTCACATATGCAATGAACAAATAAAGTCTGGAGTAAGGCAAGGATTGGGGCTAACTAATACTCACCAATCAGAAGGAGAGAGACATACCTACATTTGGGTCATCATGTCTCCCTCAGGGAAACTGGCACCACCCTTACTCATCAATCAATATATAACTTTTTCACCCTGACCCCACCAACTATGTACATCCTCAGAATGAAAGACTTGCTCTCTTGGCCCTTTTTGCCACACTGGGGCCCCCTGGCCAGCTACCTGTGGCCACCCTGCTTTAGCCACCCCTGCTCTAGCCACATTTGCTTTTACTTTCCCATTAGAACTTAGCACTAGTAAACTTTGCTTGCACACTAGTAGACTTGCTAATCTGTAATTCTTTACTGTGTTGGTGAGAAGAACCGAGTTTCTGGGACTTTCTCCCATAACATAAGCACCAGCTTGAACAAGATGGAAAGACTGAGGCCTAGTAGCTGGGACAAATCCTAAGTTCACTGCAGCAGACCTCTCCTTCGCTACCTTGCTCTGCTCCAGGAGGGGCCATTCCTCTACTTGGACTAACTGCTGGCCCCACTGAGGCTTGAGCTCTCATAGTCTTTGAAATTTTCCCTAAACATGCCTCAGCCTCATCAAAGCCTGCCCTCTCCAGTTCACTGCCCACTGTTGATGCCACTCCATTAATCTCCAAGCTCCTTAAAGAAAAGGAATAACCTATTTTCCTGGGCTGGGATGGCTCAGTGCCAAGAGTCAGTCACTAAAGACTCACTTGAGGAACTCTAAACTGAGGTGGAGGGGGTATGGAGACAAATCCCAAGCATCTGCCACCCCCAGCCCAACTCAAGGTATGACTAACTTTATAGGAGGAGCAACTGGGCTGCAGCCTAAGCAGAGGGTGACCAGGAACAGCTTCTATGCTGATATAAACACTGTGCCTCCATGTGAAAAGGCCCACCCCATAGAGCCAGGGTGGCACTGAACCACACCTCCAGCCATAACTGCAAGAGCTGGAAAGCCCAGAATAGAAAATGTTCTTCTGCTAGCTCTGGCAGCTCCTCCCACACATGGCTGCAGGGTGTGTATGGGTCAGCTGCCAGCATTAACTCTCCAACTCTATCTTTGGTAACCCAGGCATTTGTCTTTGTTCCTTTTTTTAAAAAAGATTTTATTTATTTATTTTTAGAGAGGGGAAGGGAGAGAAAAGAGAGAAGGAGAGAAGGAGAGAAACATCACTATGCCAGAGATAATCTGATCATTCCCTGTCACATACCCGCAACCAGGGACCTGGCCTGCAAACCAGGCATGTACCCTGACTGGGAATCAAACTAGCAACCTTTCAGTTTTCAGTGTGACACCCATCCCACTGAGCCATACTAGCCAGGGCTATCTTTTTCTTAATAAGCCCAAATAGACTTTAAGTAAGGGTTAGAAATGATACATTTTTGAATCTGAGAGTTGGACTAAGCACAGTCACCAGCAAACCTAGCCTTTCTTGCTTGTTTTGTTTGAGTTGCCCTGTACTGAAAAAATGCCAGCTTACGCTCATAAGAAATTAATATCCTTTGTGGCTACCTAACAATTCATTTTGAAATCCTGAGGATGAAAGTTCTGAACTATTTGGCAAGCCAGGAAAGGCATTGATGGAGAGCTGTGTTATAGCTTGGTACATGCTTTACCACCTAAACACTTACAAGGTTGTAATAAAGTGCAACAATGAGAAATTAGAAGACTGCCTTAATCTCACCCTGCCAATCGAAGCCCTTTTGATAGGCAAATTTATTTTGTAAATTATTATTTGGAGTATGGATTATATGGTTTGCTCAAGTTTCTGGTTAATCAGACATTGGTTCCAGAATCAACTGCAATTTTTTTTTCTTGGCAGAAAAAAGTGCTATTTCTTGTAACTCCACATTTTGGAGAATGATTTGACAATAGACTCCTTTTTCCCTTAGGCTTTTCTGATCTTACAGATAGAAACCTGCCCTCATCCCAAAGAACACAGGCAAAGATGTATCAGTGTAAATCATTTATTGTGAACTCTCTAATATCATATGCTAGTGGGCCTGACAATTCACTCTGGTGTACTAGGGATGGTGGCCAAGAAGTAGGGAATGTGATGAAAGTACAGCATGTGAAGGCAGGTAGCTGAGGGGCAGGCTTCATGCCCAGTATGTTAGTGACCAGTCTTGGTCAGCTAAGCTACCTTGGACAGGAAGGAGCTGGGCCAGGCCAAATCCCCTCAATTCTCCTTTGGACAGCCCATGCCAGGTTTCCAACCCTTACCCTTGCTTCCACATTCATAGTTCTGTGGGAATGAGGGAGTTGTAGGGAGGTAAGAAGCTCTCTAACTGCCAGGCTTGTGGGTGCTACCAGCTCAGCACGGGGCCTCTGGTCTAGTCCTTGCCAAGAGAAGGCCTCCAAGAGTTGGGTCTTCATTGCAGCATCTTCAGACAGGTTGGGATGAGGGATGGAGCCTTGCCCTTGGGAGGCTGCTCTCCCTCTGTGGCATCCAGAAGCTGCTGCATATAAGAGGAAGTGCCGAGCAGTACGTGGCCTGTGGCCTGCATGCTGAGGAGGGCCCAGCGAAGAGCTTCCCTGGGTGGAATGAGAAGATAGTAGAGTCAAAACACAAAGGAAACTGCCTACATCTCCAAAATGCTCCTCCCCCATGAGTCATGTGCAAACAGAAACAGATGCTCCCTTCCCCCAGCAAGTGGGAAAGGATCTACAGGTATTGCCTTCAATGGTACCTTAATTGAGATGTCCAAAATTTAATCTCATTTAACAAGGCCTTTTATTTTTGTGATACTACTTTGACCAGCCATATTGATCTACATAACATGAAAATTGTAACTCTTTCACAATATCTGTTCTAGACTCTGAGGTCTTTCCAAGTCATCTATAGTCAAGCTAATTTTCACAGTGCTGCACATGAAGATACCATTTTGATCCTACACAGGGTTAGGAGGTTGAAATAACATAAATCTCTTAACATGGGGCCTGATGTGTAGAAGAGTAAGGGAAATGTGGGGTCAAGAGGAGCTGGTTGACAGAACAGAATGCAGAGACAAGAATTCAAAAACATGAGGAGGGGCTTAGGAACCTCCAGCACATCTTTAAATGTTCCAACATCTGAATCATAGGGGTGCCAGAAGAAGAAGAAGAGGAAGAGCAGAAAACTGAAAATTTATTTGAATAAATAATGAAGGAGAACCCCAACCTAGCAAAGGAAATAGGCTTCCAGGAAGTCCAAGAAGCTCAGAGAGTCCCAAAGAAGTTGGACCCAAGGAGGAACACACAAGGGCACATCATAATTATACTAGCCAAGATTATAGATAAGGAGAGAATCTGAAAAGCAGCAAGAAAAGAGACAGTTATCTACAAAGTAGTGCTCATTAGACTATCAGCTGATTTCTCAAAAGAAACCTTGCAGGCAAGAAGGTGCTGGAAAGAAGTATTAAAACTCATGAAAGGCAAGGACCTACATCCAAGATTACTCTATCCAGCAAAGCTTTCATTTAGAATGGAAGGGCAGATAAAGTGTTTCCCAGATAAGGTCAAGTTAAAGGAGTTCATCATCACCTAGCCCTTATTATATGAAATGTTAAAGGGACTTATCTAAGAAAAAGAAGATCAAAGTATGAACAGTAAAATGACAACAAATTTACAGCTATTAACAACTGAAAAACAAACCTAAAAAAAACAACCCCCCCAAAAAAACCTAAAACAAAACCTAAAAAAAAAAACAACACCCAAAAACAAATTAAGCAAACAACTAGAAGAGGAACAGAATCACAGAAACAGAGATCACATGGAGTGTTATCAGTGGGGGAGTGGGAAGGGGAGAGAGGAAGAGAAGATACAGAGAATAAGTAGCATAAATGGTAGGTAGAAAATAGACAGGGGGAGGTTAAGAATAGTATAGGAAATGTAGAAGCCAAAGAACTTATATGCATGACCCACGGACATGAACTAAAGGAAGGGAATGAAGGTGGGAGGGGTGTGCAGGCTGGAGGGGAATAAAGGGGGAGAAATGGGACAACTGTAACAGCATAATCAAAAAATATATTAAAATTAAAAAAGTAGCTGGTTGAATGCTTGACTACTTTAACCAAGTTCTTAGCCAAATCTGTTTTAGAGATAGGTGAGAGTCACTAGGGGTGTCAGTCCTAGAGAGTATCACGGAGGGGGAAAAAAGGAAAATAAATACTTCCTGGATGATATTGAAACTTGTCTTCTATTAACCTTCATTCAATAAATGATGGTTGAGGTGGAGGGGGGCGGAAAGACAATTAGAACCCTAAACATCTACACATAAAAATACTTAAAAAATATAAAGGTCATATCTGAGATATAAACCCATTTCTCAAATTACGGAACTGAGGCTTAAAACCAGTTATCCAGCCATAAATAGGAATGAAATTCTGACAGGTGTTACAACAAGGATGAGACTTGAAAACATTATGCTACGTGAAAGAAGCCAGATACAGAGAGACAAGTCTTGTATGATTCCACTCGCATGAGGGCCGTAGAATAGGCAAATGAACAGAGATAGAAAGTAGAACAGAGGTTTCCAGGCACGAAGGAGAGGGGGTGGGCAGCTAATGTTTAATGGGTACAGAGTTTCAGTTTGGGATGATGAAAATGTTCTGGAAATGGATAGTGCTGATGGTTGCACAACACTGTGAATGTCACTGAATTGTACACCTAAAAGTAGTTAAAATGGTAAATTTTATAGGATGTTTATTCTAGCACAATTGAAAACCCCCCAAAACTAGCTAGCAATACCATGTCACTACACTGAGTACAGTTTACTTTTTTTTTTTTTTTTGATACCAAGATGTCTCCTGAGTTCAGGACTGAGAATTCTACTTTCCCTAAATGGACTAAAACTTCTTGCTCTAGACCTTGAAATCTGCAACTACTGACAGCAATCCCAGAACAAGACAGGGCGTGATGCAGTATAGGAGGAAAAAGGAACTTCTAGCCATAGTGTCATCTCTGGCAGGCAGAACCATGCAGCCTCAGGCTTCTCATCTGCAGACTGGGTGTGCAGAGGATAAAGTCAGAAAGCCAAGACAATCTGATGTGCACCAGCTACATGTGTTTTGGCAGAACTTCTCACAAGTTCCCTGAGAACAAGGGTCATATGTGTCTTCATTCATTCTATAGTTATTTGAATTACTGCTATCTGCCAGCATTCATCAAGGTACTGGAAGCAACACAAATTCTTGCCCTCATGGAGCTTGTTCTGACATTTTGTTCTTTAGCTTACACAATAGGGCAGGGAACTCAATGAGTACTCAGTAAAAACTAAATGAAGCAATTGGAGAAGAGTGGAATCTGTCAGAAGAAATAGGCAGGATGTCATGCTCTGCTACTCCTTAGCTTTGTGACTTTGGACTGATTAGATGGCCTCTGCCTCTGTGGCACATCCATCTAATGAGGTAAAGATGCTATGGAGCACCCCTGGGGCAGCTGTGTTTGGGAAACACTATCATAACATTTCTCCTCTCATGATTTTTTTTAAGATTTTTATTTATTTATTTTTAGAGGGGGGGTGGGAGGGAGAAACAGAGGGAGAAAAACATCCAATGTGCAAGAGATACAAAGATCTGTTGTCTCTGGTACACCCCCAGCTGGGGACCTGGCCCACCACCCAGGCATGTGCCCTGACTGGGGACCGAACCGGTGATCTTAGGTTCACAGCCCAGCACTCCATCAGCCAAGGCCCTTATCTTATGATTTAACATATTCTCATGCTCCTCTGGTATTTTATTAGGTCTTTCAAAAGTAAAGTAAAAAAGCCCTGGCTGGCGTAGCTCAGTGGATTGAGCGCGGGCTGTGAACCAAAGTGTCACAGGTTCGATTCCCAGTCAGGGTACATACCTGGGTTGCAGGCCGTGACCCCCAGCAACCACACATTGATGTTTCTCTCTCTCTCTATCTCCCTCCCTTCCCTCTCTAAAAATAAATAAGTAAAATTTAAAAAAAAGTAAAGTAAAAAGTTTTTAAAAGGTCATTAAACAATGCAAATGGCTATTGTCTGTCCATAGATGTGCAAATTAATTCTGCCCTATGGAGAGACAATTATTTCACCCCTCCTACCCCATGGAATTTTTTATAATGAGGGTAGGAGGGGTGAAATAATTGTATCTAATTATAAATAATTGTATTCTAATTTGTATCTATAAATTTATTTCAGCTTTATTGGTGGACCTGTGTATCAGTGGGGTTCTGAATTCTCCTTTGAACTGACTATAACTTCTTGCTGGTTCTCTCATTAATTAATGAGTTAAATAAAACCTTTTTATAAAATTTTTAATTGATTTTTTTTAGAGAGAAGAATGGAACGAAGGAAGGAGGGAGGGGAAGGTGGATAGATAGATAGATAGATAGATAGATAAACATTGATTTGTTTTTCTACTTTTCTATGCATTCATGGATTGCTTCTTGTATGTACCCTGACAGGGGATCAAACTCACAACCTTGGCATATTGGGATGACACTCTAATCAACTGAGCTACCCAGCCAGGGCCTCAATAAAATCTGTGACATGTGTTCATTTTTAACAGTTGATTAGAAGACTATTTAGGGAAACTTACTATTTCAAAGGAAAAAAATTATTCTAGTGGAAAAATATTAGAAAAAGTAAATATATCCTGGTTCTGCCTAGAGGAGTGTGTGTGCCCCTTTAGCATACACTAGTGAAATCTAAAGCAATAGTTAAGTCACAGGTTCTGGACAAACGCTAACTGTCTTGCTTTGTCAATATCAATACCAGTTCCAGGCCCTAAAAGGCTGAGATCCATGAGAGCACCCAGTGGCTCTTCCACTGCTGCATACTCACCCTGCCCCCAGCTAATCCCAATTCACTTACTTCATGATGCGCTTGGCCCCGTAGCAGTTCAGATTGTAGGAAAGAGAGTATGTGCCATAGAGAGTTGCCTTTACATTCAGGCAGCCAATGAGATCCTGTGGGTTCACCTTGTACAGGTCGAAAGTTACGCGGGCCACATCAATCTTCTTGGCAGGCTTACGGGAAGGAGAGAGTTGGTACCGAGAACCCTGCATCAAGACAAGCATGTGGTTGGCATCCTTCAAGGACTTCCTCCAGACTCCTAATGTTCTCCCTCCACAGGTGGCACCTCACCTGCTCTGATGGGGGCTGCCATTTCTGCCCCTTCCGGAGGACCATGAACACTGTATCATCTGCCAGGGTCTGAAAGTACTCTTCTGTCTCTACAGCTGTGCCATCTTCCTCCAGCACCAGGAAGAAGGGCTTGTCCTCCAGCATCAAGGTGTCCCGGACCTGCAGAGTAAGGTTAGTGATGCTTTTTCCATCCAGCTACAGAGCTGGTGCACAGGACAATGCAGCTACAGAGCTGGTGCACAGGACAATGCTTCAATCAACTGAGTCACATGGCCAGGGCTGTATATATCACATTTTTAACTGATTCAACAATTTAAAAATTTTTTTGTTTATTTACTTTTAGAGAGAGAGGAAGGGAGGGAGAAAGAGAGGGAGAGAAACACCAATGGGTAAAAGATACATCAATTGGTTGCCTCTCACACACCCTGGCCCTCAATCCAGGCATGTGCCCTGACTGGGAACCAAACCAGTGACATTTCAGTTTGCAGGCTGGTGCTCAATCCACTGAGCCACACGAGCAAGCACTGATTCATCAATTGACAGACATTTGGTTGTGTCCATTTTTTGAGTATCACGAATAATTCTATTTTGAACATTCATGTACAAATTCTTGAGTGAACATATGTTTCTTATTTTCCTGGGTATATGCCTAGGAATGACACTGCTGAGTCATAATTAACCACATTTTTAACTTTTCGAAGAACTATCAAACTGTTTTCAAAAGCAGCTGTATCATTTTATATTCCCACCGGAAATGTATTAGGATTCCAATTTCTCCATAATCTCAGCAACACTTGTTATTGTCTGTCTTTTTTATTTTAGCCAGTCTAGTAGATATGAAGTGATTTTGATTTGCATTTCCCTAATGACAAAGATGTTGAATGTATTTTCATGTGTTGTTAGCCATGTGTATATTCTTTACAGAAACGTCCACTCAAACCTTTGCACATTTTTAACTGGATTGTCTTTTTATTGTTAAGTTATAAGAGTTCTTTATATATTGACACTAGAACCTTATAAAATATGCAATTTGCAAATATTTTCTCCCATTCTTTCCTTTTGATTGCTTGTGCTTTGGTGCTGGATCTAAGAAACCAAGATCATGAAGACTTATACCTATGTTTTCTTCCAAGGGTTTTATAGTTTTAGCTCTACATTTAGTTTTTTAATCTATTGTGACTTAATTTTGTGCATAGTGTGAGGTAGGGATCCACCTTTATTCTTTTGCATGTGGATATCCCATTGTCACACCACCATTTGTTGAAGAGAGTATTCTTTCTCCATTGAATAGTCTTGGCATCATAGCTTCCAGATTTGAGAGAAAATAAATTTCTGTTATTTAAGTACCAGTCTGTAGTAGTTTGTTGGAGCAGCCCTAGCAAACTAATAGAGTGTGTCTATCATTAAGTCTGTACCACAGAGTCTTGATTACTGACTGTACCTTTATAGTATGTTTTGCAATCAGGCCATATGAGTCCCCCAACCTCCTATTTTTTCAGTATTGTTTTGGCTATTCTGAGTGCACTGCAGTTCCATGTAAATTTTAGAATCAGTGTCAATATCCACAGAATCTGCAGACCAGGTTGGGGAATATTGCCATCTTAACAATATTATATCTTCCAATGCCTGAGCACATTTTTCTTTTCACTATTTAGGTCCTCTTTAGTTCTTTAATTTAATTTATTCCAACAGTGTTAATATTCAATCTGTAAGTCTTATACCTTTTATTAATTTTATTCTTAAATATTTTATTCTCATTGATACTATTAGAAATTGAATTGTTTTCTTAATTTCATTTTCATATTGTTTATTTCCAGTGTATGAAATTACAATTGATTTTTATACTGGCCTTATCTCTTACAACCTTGTTGAACTAATTTATTAGCTCTAATTTTGTGTGTATGTGTGTGTGTATATTCCTTAGGGTTTCCAATATACAAGATCATGTCATCTGCAAATAGAGATAGTTTCACTTCTTGTTTTCCAATTAGGATGCATTTTACTTTAAAATCTTGCCAAATTACCCTGGCTAGAACCTCCAGAACAGTGTTGAATAGAAGTGGCAAGAGCAGACATCCTTATCTTATTCCTAATCTTAGAGGGAAAGCTTTTGGAATTCTACCATTAAGTATAATGTTAGCTGTCAGTTTTTTACCGATGTTTTTTTATCACACATATGTAATTTAAAATTTTCTAATAGTCAAATTAAAATAAAAACAGGCAAAATTACTTGTATATATTTAATTCAATCTAAACTATACATATATAATTAAGGTAAAATTTTATAAGATTTTACATTTGTAAGTCCTCAAAATCCTGTATGTACTTTATACTTAAGCACATCTCAGTTCCAATTAGATAAATTTCAAGAGTTCAGTAGTCACATGTAAGTAGTAGCTACTGCATTGGAGAGAGCAACTCTAAACAGACGAAGGTTTGAAGTTTAGCCTCCTTATTTCATTGTTCTGAACTTAATCAAGTCACATCATTTCTCTAAACTAGTTTCATCATCCAAAAAGTTGAGGCAAGTACAGTGTAAGAACTCTCACAGTGACTACATGCAAAAGTGTATGAGATAATAGTTTGGGTTTAAACTACTTGTGAATATACTTGCAAATAAACTACAAGTGAATATACTTGGCCTCTGCCCCTAGAAAATGGGAATAATTATAACTACCTCAAGATCATGATTATAAGGAATGCAACATATAAGTCATAGGGCAGAGTACAAAATCCATAATGTGCATTTACTAAATTTTAGTAAAATTTCCACTTTAATTAGTATTACTATACTAATAGTAATGGAAGGAGACCCATGGCATGTCATAGGATGAAGTCAGGCTCCATGCTACATAACCCAATTTTTAAGTAAGTTGTATGTAAGGATAGACTATTTAGGACATTCACAGTTATACCATTACTTATCTTGGAATAGTAGAATTCTCACCTTACTTTTCTTACTTGGCTTCACTAGAAAACATATTTTTCTACTCATAATCCTTTAATAAAGGCCTGCGATCAGCAACACACCAATAGCAGTGAACACACTTAGCTCCCACATCTTGGTTTCTGAATACTATTCTTCACTAAAATGAAGCAGATCTCTTTAGAAAAAAACAGTGAACTCAAGGGCCAGGGCAGAGAAAGTACAAGATGAGCCTATAACACCTTGTTGGGCCAGAAAGCACAACACAGAAACAAGGCTGAAGGGAGTCCTACTGGCCAAGAATGGGACAATTTGAGCAATAAAAATAATTGTTAGCATCCTTATATCTCATTTAAATAGGGAATTCTGAGTCCTTTTTCTGTTTTTGTTTTTAATAAAGATTTTATTTATTTATTTATTTATTTATTTTTGACAGAGGCGAAGGGAGGGAGAAAGAGAGGGAGAGAAACATCAATGTGTGGTTGCTTCTCATGCATCCCTCAATGGGGAGACCTGACCTGGCCCACAACCCAGGCATGTTCCCTGACTGGGGATCGAACCAGCAACTCTTTGGTTCGCAAGCCGGCACTCAATCCACTGAGCCACACCAGCCAGGGCTTGAGTCCTTTTTGATATGAGTAAATGAATAAATTGAAATTTAGATGCAGAATGAGATTTTACTGAGTACAAAATACCTCCCTAGAAAATAATCAACACAAAGGGAAAACTAATAACTTTACATAGAGAAACCTGACTGTACCTTTTTATTCAAAGTTAAACAGTAATGTGATTATTCAAAACTCTATACAATTAGACAATTCTAAACTGAAGGAGAATAAATAAAACAACTGGTTTATAATATTCAAAACAGTCAAGGCCATGAAAGTCGAGGAAATTGAGGAACTGGTCCAGACTGAAGGAGACTAAAGAGATGTGTAATTAAATAGCACACTAGATCCTGACCTGGGTCCTTTTGGAACAATGCATATCATTGGGAAGTTGAAAACACTTGAATGGAGTTTCAAGATCAAACAGTCGGAGTCATGCAATATTGTAGTGTCCCTGATTTTGATAGTTGTATTGTGGTTACATAGAACACTATCCTTGTTTGGAGAAAATACACATTGAAATATCCAAGAATGATAGGCATCAGGTTGGCTTCTCACAAGTGATACAGGAAGTCTTGTATTGTTCGTGCAACATTTGTTAGTTTGAGATTATTTCAAAATTAGTTAGTTTTTTTTTTAAAGAAAATCCTCCACCTGGCTGGTGTAGCTCAGTGGATTGAGGGTGGGCTGTGAACCAAAGTGTTGCAGGTTTGATTCCCAGTCAGGGTACATGCCTGGGTTGCAGGCTATGACCCCCAGCAACCGCACATTGATGTTTCTCTCTCTCTCTGTGTCTCCCTCCCTTCCCTCTTTATAAATAAAATCTTTAAAAAAAACAGGCATCATAAAAATGTTTTTAAAAAAAATCCTCCAGTAGCATACTGTTTTTAACATGAAACCCAATTGTTCTCTCCCATAGCCAATAAGGGACCTCATACCCTGTTCTCTGCCAACCATATCTCCTTACCCCTCACTTTCTCTGCTCTTTTCTTGCTGTTGCCAAATTTGGAAAGGTAGTCTAGATAAACAGATGTCCTCCCTGCTCTGTCGGTAAGATTCACTTCTGACCTGTGGTCCATCCTAGGAAGTTGAACCCTCACTGCTGTTCCTCCCTGCGTCCTCTGGAGTTAGGGCTCTGACTAGGAATTCCCAAACTCAGTGACTATAAGAATCTCCCAAAGAACTTGCTCAAAATGACAATCCCTGAGCCTCACTCATGACCTAATCAGTCTCCAGGGGAGAAGTATGGGAAGCCATGTGTTAACAAAGCCATTTTAATGCATAAGGTGGACCCCTCTCAGAGTCTAGACTCAAGTGTGAAAGAGCACTTTTGATTCAAGGCACAAGAAATGTAGTATGGTGCAACCAGAAGCCTCAAAAGGGAGGAGAAATTTACTGCCAGGAGGAATGGACCTAATTCAGAGAAATAGAGGAGGAAAATCTAGAATAGAGGGTTAGGTCAGCTATGATTTCTATATGCTCGACCATCTAGTAAATGGAAGCCTAATTCAAACATTTGATCTGTGTCAGAACCTGGACTTCCAGATGAGCAGGGTCCCACCATATGGCGCTGATAAACTAGTGGAGCAGTGAAGCACATGCCTAATATAGAGCCAGACTAGATGATGCTATAGTTGGGGCAGTGGAAGAAAGTATTCCAACCAAGTGGAGAGGGAGCCTGGATATGGGGAAAGGTGTCACTACCATCCACAATAGTTGTATATCCTGTTCTCCTCCTCTGGAAGCTTACCTGATTAATAGTTTGAAGAAAGTCTTCCACAGTCCCTAAAAAGCCTTACATAGAAGGCCAATACAGGAGGCAGACTGAGGAGAACTGCCCTGGCTAAAGGGAGGAGATGAGGAAGGGAATGTCTAAAATCGTGCCCATTTCCCCAACTTCCAGGCACTTCTACAGTTTAAAAACACTGGGAAAAGCAACCTAAGGATCCTTCCAAAGAGAAAACATGCTCTAGGCCCTGGCTGGGTAGCTCAGTGGGGTGGAGCATCGTCCCCATACACCAAGGTTGTGGGTTTGATCTCGGGTCAGGGCACATACAAGAATCAACCAATGAATGCATAAATAAGTGGAACAAAAAATTGGTACTTCTCTTTCTCCTCATCCCCCTGTTCTTCTCTCTCTCAAATCAATCAATAAAAAAAGAAAGAAAATATGCTCTGAAAAGACCATATTGCTGGTATAGGAAGACAATATATTGCTTTCCCCTATCAACAGACAAATCACTAATCAATTGAAAAGTACTCTGGGCAGGCACCACCAACTCATATGAGCTGGCATCAGAAAGAAAATTTTTCACCATGTAAGCCATGATGAACTCCATTCTTGCTGAAATCCCAGCTCGTGACCTGGAGGACAGAGGCAGCTGGTAGGGCCAACTCTGAGCCAAGGTCTCAGTGGTTCAGCTGTGCAGAGGTCAGGCCTACCCCTCACCTTGTGGAGGAGGTCCTCCAGACTGTGCGCCATGAGGCCCTTCCGCACACTCCGGTCCTTGGTGCTCACTCTGCAGGGCCGGGCTCTGAGGACCTGCTGGCTGGGCAATGACAGCAGCTGCTGGGTCACTGCTGAGGTGCTCACTGTCACATACCTGGGGGTGGTTTTGGGCATCAGAATAAACTGTCTGCTGCTTCCCAGCTCTCACCCCATCCCATAGCAGGGTAACTCACTTCCCAATCCCTCTAGCCTGAGCTTACTATATTACTCCCCCACTACCACCTACCATGCTTGCTGTGGATAGTCTTACTCAAAGGCAGCTATATCAGTGCACCTCAGACTTTAATGGGCATATAAGTCCTCTGGAGATCTTGGTGAAAAGCAGATTCTGATTCAGTAGGTCGAGGAAGGGTTTGAGATTTTCTATGTCTAATAAGTTCCCAAGTGATACTGACTCTGCCAGTTCTCAGGCCATGAGGAGGCACAAGGTGACAGAAGATCCACCCCACACTCCCCCTTTCCCACTTTCCTCTCTAGGCCTCACTCTTCTCACCTGTAAAGTGAGATGAAGTGGCGAAGCTGACGTCAGTGTAAGGTATTTTTGAACTCTGACATACACAATGTAGAATGAAAGGAGTGGAGGGAACCTGGGTTTCGGAGTCAGGGAGGCCAAAGTGTGGATCCTGGCCCTGCTACACATGTGCTAAGTGATTGAGAGCAGCCACTCTGTGCTTCAGTTTCCTCATCTATTAATTTGGTACAATAATCCCTACCTCCCAAAGTCATGGTGAACTCTTTAAATGAGATCAAGAACGAAAGCTCCAAGCACAGTGTGGTGGTGGCTGGGCGGCTGTGTACCAGGATTAACACCACCTGAGGGGCTTGTCGGAAGGACAAAATCTTGGGTTCACTCCAGACCTCCTAAATCAGAATCTGCATTCTTATCAAGATACCCTAGTGAATTGTGTGCCACTGAAATTTTTGAAGCTCTGCCCTACAGCAAACAGGTAGCTCCCCTTCCCTTCCACCCTTGGCTCTCCTCACCTGGACAGGGACTTGGGGTGGAGAAGGCTGAGGGACTTCATGGCATACTCCATCTTCATCAGTTGGACCGTGTTGGACCTGGGCAAAAAGCAGAAACAACTCATTGTGGTGGACTGGGAGAGTTTCCTCTCTCGTCATTGACACAGTACAACCCCACCCCATCCAGCAGGCCTCCATTCTGGTCTTCCCTCTCAGCTCACAGACACCTTCCCCAGCCCCTCTCCTGTCCAATGTCATGCACACGAAGTGTGACCACGCTGGAGACCCCCTCAGTGCCCCACCCAGACCCACTCAGCAGCTGCACCACCCTCCCCAGCACCACTCACTCCATGTTTCTCTGACTCTGGCTCTGATCACACTGCTCCTAAGTCAGGGCTAACGAGGTCCGACCTGGTTAGTTCCTTCATGGGGGCAGAGTCCACTTTATGCTGGCAGGACGTGAGTCACACCACCTCACATGGATGGGGATGTTCCCTCACTTGTAGTCCAGAGACCTCACAGATCAGGCCCTAACCTGCCAGGCAGCCTAGTCTAAGCCTGCTCTCTCCTGTGGGTCCTTGAGCAACCCTAACTCTCCTGAGGCTTCCCGCTGATTAAAGAAACTTCCTGCAGTGAAGGAACCCTTCAATATCTAGTCTATTTCTGGAGCTACCATGTGGCAATTGAGCAGTTGAAATCTTGCTAGTACACCCAAAGAGCTAGATTTGTAATTTTATTTAATGCTAACTAATTTAAATTTAAATAGTCACCATGTCCTATGGCTCTAGCAACCATAGTAGGCAGCACAGCTCTAGCTGACAGCCTTGAGCTCACCTGCCACCACTTTATCTCCTAAACCTCTCTGCTCCAGATCTTACATACTCCAGGTCTTTGCACAGGCAGCTTCCCCCACCTGCAATGCCTTCCTCTGGCCCAAGGCTAACTGCTTATGGCCTTGAAGCCCCAGTTGTGTCGCTTCCCACTTCTTGGAAAGCCTGCTTACATGGCTCACAGAATGTCCCCTTCACCCTGCCTTTCCTACTTCCTAGCCAAGTGTCTGTTTCTGCCTTTGCTCCCCAGTCCCTGGGTGCCTGGCCCTGAGATGTTTGCCCTAATCCTAGGTCCCAGCACAGAGAGGGCTTCTTCGCACTGACCAAGGGCCTCAAGCAGTGGTCATGGAAGAAAAGCCTCCTTCCCACTCAGGTAAGATCACTCTTCCAACAACCTGGGGAAGGAGGCTCCTCAGGCCTGCCTGGACTGTGAAAGCCCTCTCCCCGACTTTACACTACCCACATCTGCTTGTTTCGGCCTCACTCCTCACTCCCACTTCCTATCCACAGCAAAATTCTGCCAAACCCCACCTCACCTGCTCTCCAAGAACCGAAAAAACAAAACGCCCCCAAACAAAAAACTCCTTACCTCCCCCTCACAGTCTCCTAACCTCCTTACTATGCCACCCTGCTCAGGACTGCCCTCCCTCCGATTTATTTCCAGCTCACGGAAGCCCCTCCCCTGGCCTCCAGCGCCAGCTGGGGAAAAGAGCATAGGGAGCGAGTGCACAGTTTTCACCCTTGGGATTTCAGGGCAGCCTAACTTCCAGAAAAGGCCCGAAAGGCGGGGAGGAGGCGTGTTACGACAGCTTTGGGACAGAGCTAGCCCAGGACTTGGTATCAGGCACAGAGGGCACAGAAAACAAGCCCTTGCAGGTTGTGGCTCCAGCTCCACCCATGGTAACTTCTTGAGTGTAGACAAACAAGTTGCCTTATGTTTGCAACCTCTGATTTCTCCCCCTGTACAGCAGGGAATAATGATTCCTGTGTCAAAGGATTGAGGTGAGGATTTGTGATAATAAAAGTAAAGGGCTTTGCAACAAAGACACTTAACACATAGAAGAGAATATTGGTGTTATTAACAATATAATTATTTAAGAATTGGAGAGGCTGTTCTGGATGGTGTGGCTCAGTGGACTGAGCGCCAGCCTGGGAACCAAAGGGTTGTCGGTTTGATTCTCAGTCAGGGCACATGCCTGGGTTGCGGGCCAGGTCCCTGTTGAGGGACGTGAGAGGCAACCACACATTGATGTTTCTCTCCCTCTCTTCCTCCTTCCTTCCCTTCTGTCTAAAAATAGATAAATAAAATATTTTTAAAAATAATAGCAGATGCTAATACTAGTTGAGATGTGTAGTGGTTCAGAGGGTAAGATCTTTGACCCAGCAATTATACTCCTAGGTAGATTGATAGTTAGGTAGAAAGACAGATAAATAGGTATCTACACCTAGATACACATATACAATCTCCAAGAGACATAAAAATGTATTTCTATACAAAACTTATACATGAGTGTTTATTAGCTTATCCAGAATAGCCAAAAGTTAGAAACAATTCAAATATTCATTAGTTGGTGAATGGATAAAAAATGTAATATATCCATAAATAGAATATTATTCATCAGTAAAAAGGATAGATGCCACTACATGATGAACTTTGGAAATATATGTAAAGTGAAAGAAGCCAGTCACAACAGATCACACATATACTTTTATGATTTCACTTGTATGAAATGTCCAGGATATGCAAAACTGTAAAGGCAGAAAATACATTAGTGGTTGCTTAGGGCTGGGGCTGGGGAATGGGAGGGGAGTGGGGAGTGACTGTTAATGGGTACAGGGTTTCTTTCAGGGGAAACAAAAACGTTCTAATCTATTAATCCAACCACAATTTATGTGGGTGATGGTTGCACAGCCCTGTAAATATACCAAAACCCATTGAATTTTATACTTGAGTGGGAAAATTGTATGATATTTTAATTATATCTCAACAATGCATTTTTTTAAGATTTGTTTATTTATTTATTTTTTAGAGAGAGGTGAAGGGAGGGAGAAAGAGAGGAAGAGGGACATGAATGTGAGCAAAAAACATCTCCTATGCATCTCGATCAGGGATTGAACCTGCAACCCATGCCATGACCCGGAATCAAACTGGTGACCTTTTGCTTTGGGGATAATGCCCAACCAAGTGAGCCACACTGGCCAGGGCAATAATGAAGTTTGGGTTTTTTTTAAAGAGTCCAAGCTCATCTTTCTTTTAGGGCAGGGTTTTTCACACCAGTGAGTGCATCAGAATCAGCAGGTAGGTTTACTAAAATTCAGGTTGCAGGGCTCCACCCCAGAGTTTCTGACTCAATATGTCTGGGTTGGAGCATAAGAAAATGTATTTCTAACAAATTCCTAGGTGACGTTAATGCTGTGACTATTTAGGTACAATATTTTGAAAATCATCAGCCTAGGACTAGCTGTGTGACAGAATTCCTCTAAGCTTCAGATGGAATTGACAAATGGGGATTAAAAATAACTCCCACCCCATTGGGTTGTCATGAATATTAAATGAGATAATCATGAAATGTACTTGCTGTAGATCTTAGTCCATTTGTCAGGCTCAATAATAGCTATTATAATTACGATCATTGCCATTATTATTTAGATCTAAATCCCTCCCTGGAGGAGCTCCCAGGCAACCATCATTCATATGTGCCAGCCTTCCTAGGGCCTGAGAATATACCAGGAAACAAGGCAGCCTTGTCCCACACTTCTGTCTAAAAATGGATAATAATCAGATAGGAATTGATATTACTGGAAGAGAGGAGAATTCTGACCATGCAAATAAACAAAATAATTGCAGATGATGACGTACTGGGAAGAAAACAAAACAAGGAGATATGATAGCAAATGGCTGGAGAGTTCGACTGGCCTTGGGTTTAGGAAAGTCTGAGGGGAGGTAAGCTTTCAGCTAAATCCTGACTAGTGAGAAGCCAGTCCTTTGAAGCCCTGGAGTGACTTAGTCCATTTGGGGCTGCTATAAAAGAATACCATGGATTAATGGTTTGTAAACAACAGAAATTTATTTCTCATAATTCTGGAGCCTAGCAAATCCAAGATAAAGGCACGGGTAGATTCAGGGTCTGGTGAGGACCTGCTCCCTACTTTATAGACAGCTGTCTTCTCTCTGTGTCCTCCCTTGGGGAGGGACAAGGGACTCTACTCTGTAAGAACACTAATCCCACCTCCCCAAAAACCCACCTCCAAATTCCATCACATTGGGCATTAGGTATCAACATAAGCATGGGGGGAGTGGGGGAGGAGAGGCACAAACACTGAGCCTAGAGCACACGTGGCAAACACAAGGCCCACCTGCCGGATCTCGTCCGGCCTTCTCCACCTTGTTTTGTCTGTCCCGGCACCTTGTTTCTACCCGGCAGCAGTGCCGACCTCCTTGCCTCTAGTTAAGGAGTAGTTACATTTATACAGTCCTAAAATCACATTCAGCTCTTTGAAGGCAACCTTGAGGCTGTTGTGGCCCCTGGTGAAAATGAGTTTGACACCCCTGGCTACATCATTCTGCCTGGGTCTGAAAGTTTGTCTTCTATAGTCCTGGGGAAGAACAACCTCCCCTTCTCCTTCTCTGAAACATCAATGCAAAGGATTTAAGAAGGGAATGAGCAGGGTGTGGAGACAGGGACACAAATCACTAACCTTTAAGGCCGACCAAAAAGTATAAACAAACGCTTCAGGGAGGAAGGTGGGGAAAAGAGTTGCCACCCCTCTTTTGGACATTCACACCTCGAACATTTATTGAACATTCAGTGTGTGCTTAGTGTCTCATGGACAGGCCAATGGATGACTCAGAAGCAGTCTGGCCCTGACGAACACCCAGTGCATCATGGACCTTGTACACAATAAAGACAAAGATGACTACAAACCCAACAGAATATCTGCCAGAGGGGTCGGGGTGGAAGATGGGGGTAGGAGTGGAGGGAAGAAATGGGAGAATGGCTTCAGGAACCAGAAGATTCTTCACTGTGCTTAGAAGAGGATGGTTTGGGCTCAGTTGGAATTTATTTATTCAACAGCATTTCTTGAGCTTTTACACTGTGCCAGGCATAGTGGGCTCCTGGGGACACAGATGATTGGACTCTTATCCCTTTCATTCCAATGGGCAAGGCAGATGCTGAGCATGGTTCTCAAACTCTGAAGAGCATAAAATCATTTGAGACACTTTGGAGTTGAGAAGGTCTAGCTATGACTCAAAACTGAGAAGCCAAAACAAAATTATATGTTCAACTACGTTAAAAATATTCTGCATGTTAAACTTGTAATACCATGAGTAAAGTCAAAGACATACAATAAACAGGAATAATATGTTACAACTAATATTATAGGCAACAGGCCAGTCTGTCTGTCTGTCTCTCCCCCCTCCCCTCTTTCTCCTATCTATATATAAATTAAGAAGACCAACAATATAGTAGAAAAATGGGCAAAGAATGTGAACACAGTTCAAGTAAATGAAATACAAACAACCCTTAAACATATAAAAAGACTTAACTTTTTCAGATAGCATAACTTTCTTATTTCATGTAGAGGGTCTGGCAGAAGTAATGCCTGCTTGAGTGTGGTTGGTAGGGTAATAACATAGGTGTAATAATTTATAGTTTTAATTTAAACATTCTGGAGAGGTGTGCAAGAGGCTTAAGCAGTAAGAGGCTCTGCAGCCATCGGTCCGATGTACCCACAACCCAACCGGCTCCAGAGAGTCTTAAAAGCACCCAGACTGTGCTGCTGGGGCTGCCTGTGGCTGGGGAGGGTACCCAGGCACCCAAATTGGCCCAAAATGTCTGTGTCTGCCATCTGGATACTGGGGATATGCTGAGGGCCATGGTGGCTTCTGGCCCAGCACTGGGAACAAAGCTGAAGGCAACTGTGGATGTTGGGACACTGGTGAGTGGTGAAATGGTAGTAGAGCTCATTGAGAAGAATTTGGACACCCCTCCATGCAAAAATGTTTTTAAGTGGCTTCCCTTGGACTGTGAGGCAGGCTGTCATGCTTGATGACTCATGGAGAAGAGGAAAGAGAAGCTTGGTTCTGTGACTAAATTCTACATCCCAGACTCTCTGCTGATCTGGAGAATCACAAGAAGTCTGATTTGTCCCCTGAGTGGCTGTTCCTACCACGAGGAGTTCAACCCCCCAAAAGGAGCCCATGAAAGATGACATCACTGGGGAACCCTTGGTCTGCCAGTCTGATGATAATGAGAAGGACATAAATTCTCCTGGAGGCCTACCACACTCTGACTACAAGGCTGGTAGAGTACTACAGAACACGAGGGATCCACTCTGTCATCAACGCATCTCAGACCCCGATGTTGTGTTTGTGAGCATCCCAGCAGCCTTCTTCAAAACCACATCCTAGTAACAAAAGACCAGGCAAGACTGTACCACTGCTTATTACCAAGGTGTGACCCCTGCTCTTAGGTGCTAGGAAGAGGGGAGAGGTGGTCAGAGTAAGGATGGAGAGTTAAGAGTTTCCAGAGGTGAGGGGTTCAAGAAAAGTACTGGAAGAGTGGCAGTGTTGTAGTGAAGTGATTTTTTAACATATAGTAGGGGTCTTAAAAAGTATGAGCAATTAATTTGTTTAAAGACTGGAAAATGTAAGCAGAAATAGGAAGGTGTAGCACTATTTCTAAGAAAACAAGTTCTCATTTACTCTAGACTGGTGACAATATTTTTTCTTTTTATTTTTATAATTTCATTTCAATATTTAATGTTTCAAAATCTGATGGTTCCTGCAAGTATTTTTTCTTTTAAAAATATTTTATTTATTTATTTTTAGAGAGAAGGGAAGGGAGGGAGAGAGGGAGAGAAACATCAATGCGTGGTTGCCTCTCACACACCCCCAACTGGGGGCCTGGCCTGCAACCCAGGCATATGCCCTGACTGGGAATGGAAATAACGACCTTTTGGTTGGTAGGCAGGCACCCAATCCACTGAGCCACAGCAGCCAGGGATGGACTGGTGACAATATTTTTTAAAGCCAGTGCCCTGAGTCCTCAGCTTCTATCTCAGCACCTCATGGGGTGCCAAACCAGGAATGAAAGTAATCAAACTGTTGTCCTGTCCATCCTCTAGCTTGGGATAGGGAGGCTTTGACTATGAACATTGGTTCCCTGCACCATGAGATCGAAAAATCATCTCCACATTTGAAAGAGATACAGGATGTGCTCATGGGGCAGTGGCTGAGCAAATCAAGTTTACAGGAGTCATAGGGAGGGTGGGACAGGCTGGTCTCACTCCCTTCCTGACTTGCGGCTGATTTACCAGTCCTTGACCTCATGGGCGAGCACTCAGTGACCACCAATTGTGTGCCACAGTCCTACACTCCTGCCTTCTTTCCTCCATGACGTGTGAAGTGACCCTTTAAATAAATGAGCAAGTGTCCTAAGCAACATCATCCAAAGATTGCCCTTCCTGTTTTCAAATCCTGTGACTGGGATCACTTGACACCACTGTGACATATTTTCTGTGAGGTGCCTTTCTTAACTGACTGAATGCTGTCTTGTTTGGCCTCTAAATCAATAAGATATAGAAAAGTTTGTAAAAAAATAAAATAAAAATAAACATTTCACCTAAAATGTCTTATGGTGTACTTGAGTGTGATATTGTTGTTACAGAATTACATGCTTATGATATTGTAATAAAAAAAAGGGTGTCATTTGTGCCAGACCCTGCATTTATCTTTTATGGGGGTAAAATGTACTTAACAAAATCAACTATTTTAAATATACAGTTCGGTAACATTAAGTACTTTTACATTATTGTGCAACCATCACCACATTCATTTCCAGAACTTTTTCGTCTTCCTTTTCATTTCTGTAAGCTTTAAACAGCTCCTTGTTCCCCTCTTTCCGCAGTCCCTGGCAACCACCATTCAACTTTCTTCCTCTATGCAATTAATTCTTTCATGGCCTTGGCTTATTTGAAAAATATACCAGGCAGAAGGAAAAAAGATGGCAGTGCAGGTGCAGGGGAGTAGCGAGGCAGTTCCCTGCGCCCTGAAGACGCGGCCGGGGCGGGGTGGGAGAGACTGAGTGGGCGGGGAGAGACTGAGTAGGCGGGAAGAGAGTGACCATAGAGTCGGTTCTCCTGAGACAGAGGGGCCGGAAGTCAATCTCCAACTCACAGAATCGTGGGACAGCTGGGGTTCCGGGTCTGAGACCGAGCTAACAAACCCTGCAGGCAGCAGAGGGTCGGCGTGAGGGGCTCCGGGGTTTTGGGCGGGGCCGATGGCGTCTCGGGCGGGCCCGCGAGCTGCAGGCACGGACGGCAGCGACTTCCAGCACCGGGAGCGTGTCGCCAAGCACTACCAGATGAGGTATGAAGTGAGGCGAGGAGCACTGAGGCTTCCGCTGCAGGGCCTAAGAAGCGACGTCCCTGGCCTCAGGCTTTTACTCCCTAGTCAGACCCCGCTCACCTGCCTAGTCCCCTTCTCCCGTGACGGGCCTCAGTCCTGGAAAGCCCAGTCGCTCCGGTGGGGTGCGGACTCGCCTGAGCTTCGCTCATGGTGATGCTGGACCCGCTGTGTGACCTCGGGAACCTTATTTCTAATCGACCCTCAGTTTCTTCACCTGCAAAAGGAATCACGTAATCGACCTTTTAGGGTTAGGTGAATTATTGAGCTAGTAATTTGTATAAAGGACACAACACAAAATACCAATCTTCACAATACATGGCAGCTGTTATTTTGGGGAAATGGACCGGAAAGGCCAGCCTTTCCCTGCCTAAAATGAATTTTATAAACACCCCCACAAGAGATATTTCTACATTCCCCCTTCAACAAATATTTACTGAGCTTCTACCCAGCATGCATCTTGAGCGAGGCAGAGGATATCACAGTGAGCAAAAGCAGACCTGGTCTTTGTATGCATGTTACACCTTCAATTATAAAATCTGGTTAACAAAACAAACTGCCCCTGTTGTCATGAATCTTGAAGTCTAGAGATGACTGACTTTCCCACCTTTTTGCACTTTCTATAATGAATATTTTTAAAATTAAAAAAGATTCTCTTTTCTTAAATCCATTTAACTCTCCCAGAATGCTTTTTGCATCTTTCTCTCCAGAGTTTTCAAGAATGACAAACTTTTTGGACCTTCATTCTTATCCTTGGGTCCCCTGCCAAGGGCATGTCACAACCCAAGCAAATATTTTCATGCTTGCCCAGAGCAGAAACAGTCCTCCAATATATGAAGAGGATACATTTAGGACCTGAGAGAAGAATGAGAAGTAATGTATTTCCGGTAGATGAAAGTCTACTCTAGCTGGAGAAGTAAGAGCAGCCTGAGCTAGTTTTCTCACTGGCAATACCTCCTTCATCTAGGCTGTACTAGGGTGCAAAGTCATTTTTCTGAACACAGCTCGGAGTTACTCTTCTACCTTTAAACTGACTTTCCATAGTCATTGCAACTTCATATCCTGCTACTCCCCTCCCCTCCACAATGTATTCCTACCATACCCAGCCACTGGCTTTCCTGGAACACAAATGCCTATGTCTTTTGGCCTGCATGCAATTACTTCTGTTTGGAATGCCCATCTCCATTCACCCCTTAGAGCCTAGCTCAAATATCACCTTCCTCTAAATAGCCTGTGCGGATGTCAATCCCAAGCAGAATAGATTACTGCTTCCTGTGATCCTGTGTATCGTGCAACATATATTTACTCGAGCTCTTGTAGTTCATTTCCTATTTATTTTTCTTCCTCTGTTCCTTGTGGCAAGCATCTAGGCAGGAACTGTATTCAGATTTGTATCCCATTGTCTAGTATATTTTGTCAGAAAATGTTGAATGAAGCCCTGGCTGGCGTAGCTCAGTGGATTGAGCGCGGGCTGGGAACCAAAGTGTCCCAGGTTCGATTCCCAGCCAGGGTACATGCCTGGGTTACAGGCCATAACCCCCAGCAACCGCACATTGATGTTTCTCTCTCTCTCTCTCTCCCTCCCTTCCCTCTCTAAAAATAAATAAATAAAATCTTAAAAAAAAAAAAAAGAAAGAAAGGAATTTCTATAAAAAAAAAAAAAGAAAATGTTGAATGAAAGGTACTTCTCCCTCTGCTCTGCCCCACAGTGTGACCCTCAAGTATGAAATCAAGAAGCTGATCTACGTGCATCTGGTCCTTTGGCTGCTGCTGGTTGCCAAGATGAGTGTGGGACACCTGAGGCTCTTGTCGCATGATCAGGTGGCCATGCCTTATCAGTGGGAGTACCCATATTTGCTGAGCATTGTGCCCTCTCTCTTGGGCCTCCTCTCCTTCCCCCGCAACAACATTAGCTATCTGGTGCTCTCTATGATCAGCATGGGGCTCTTTTCCATCGCTCCCCTCATTTATGGCAGCATGGAGATGTTCCCTGCTGCACAGCAGCTTTATCGCCATGGCAAGGCCTACCGCTTCCTCTTCGGTTTTTCTGCGGTGTCCGTCATGTACCTGGTGTTGGTACTGGCAGTTCAAGTGCATGCCTGGCAGTTATACTACAGCAAGAAGCTCCTAGACTCTTGGTTCACCAGCACACAGGAGAAGAAGCGCAAATGAAGCCTGCCTGATGGACTGATCTCTGGGGTGAAGCCTAGCCCTCCCACTGAGAGGGTAGAGGAGCTGTTCTAAAATCTTTGGTAATTTTAGCAGCTGTGATATTGACAACTAGTGCAAATTAGGCCCAAGTTTTGGAAAGCTGCTACTATTGTCATCAGCTGAGGTGACAAAAATTATATTTAACTTATTCCTGATTGGCTGGAACTGGGCGAAGAAGAGCTGTAAATCAAACTTCAGCTAGTTTAAGTTGAAGCCCTTCAGGATTTTTCTTGTAAGACTGAGTCTCGGCCCTGGCTGGTGTAGGTCAGTGGATTGAGCACAGACCTGTGAACCAAAACATCACCGGTATGATTCCCAGTCAGGGCACATGCCTGGGTGGCAGGCCATATTCCCAGCATGGGGTGTGCTAGAGGCAACCACACATTGATGTTTCACTCCCTCTCTTTCTCCCTCCCTTCCCCATCTCTCTAAAATAAATAAAGTCTTAAAAAAAAAGACTGAGTCTCATCCTTACCTCTTCTTAGTCATTCTCTCCATTTCCATCCATTACCTCTTAGCCACCGAAACTGAAGTAGATGGAGAATAAACCAACTTCTACTTCAATCTGTGAGTCATTGAGCAAGAAACATTTAGGAAGCTGCTTTCCCTGCAGGCTGCCTCTATTGTGAAGCATTTTAATTAAAAAGAATATCAATAAAATTAAAACTGCCCTGTCCACCCTGTGCCTTGTGTTTGGGATTTTAACAGTGTGAATGTTTCATTGCTTGAGTGCCTTTCAACACGAGATGCGTGGAAGCTCCCTGGGAAAGCCGGCAGTGGCCATGGAGACATGAACTGGGTGTAAGGAACTTAACTCATAGTTGCCACCCTGTAGCTGATAAGCAGGAAGTATCATAGGCCTATAATCTCTCCACCTATAAAACGGTCCATTTTTATTTATCCAGTTTGAGTGATAGAGTCGTCTTTTGGTTGTACATTCATGTTTATCATTCAGTATTAACAGAGTATCAGTTACTTGTCTGATACAGTAGTCTGCCTTATCTGTGAGGGGTACTTTTAGGATCCCCAAATGGATGCCTGAAACTGCAGATAGTGCCATACCACATATACTGTGTTTTTCCCTATACATACATACCTGTGATGAAGTTTATAAATTAGACACAGTAAGATATTAGCAACAATAAGGAAATAGAATAATTATAACTACACTAATAAAATGTGAATGTGGTCTCAGTGTGAGATTTCATTATGCTACTCAAAATAGTGTGCAATTTAAATGAGTTATTCGTGGAATTTTCTATTTAATATTTCTAGACTGGTTGACTATAGGTAACTGAAACCACACTACTGTACTATATTATGGTATCCAGAAGAATTTGAAATAACTGCATACAGGGAATGTGCAATCTGGGTGAAACATGATACAACTGTGAAACAACTAATGAACAATATTTAATGGTGTGGATCAGATAAGTTAAAAATAGAAGTGAGCTCTGGCTGGGTAGCTCAGTTGGTTAGAGTTGTCCCCATAAGCAGAGGTTGTGGGTTTGCTCCATGGTCAGGGAACAAAAGAATCAACCAATGAAGGCCTAAGTAAAGTGGAACAATAAATCAATGTTTCTCTCTCCCTCCTCCCTCCCTCATTTCCTCTCCCTCAAATCAGTTTAAAAAATAGAAGTGAAAAACAGATCTGCGAACTAAAGGCCCTTTCACACCCAATGGTAACACATGGTAAATATTGCTTAAAAGATGTGTGGTCCCTTTGCTCTTACCCACGTGACTTGATTGTCTCTGGATGGATGATGCTCAGATCTCTAACTGCAGACCTCTGCTCTCTCCAGAGTCATAATCATTCTTTTGTTCTACAAACATTAGGTATGTACTCAGTCACTATTAGGTGCTAGTGGTACTTTATAACTGCAAAACTCTCTTCCTCTAGGCATCCTGATTATCACATCAAACTTAACTCTTTGCCTTCTACCTCATATTCACTCCTCTTCCTGCATCCCTACATGCAAGTGAGTATATCAGGAGCACATCTCTGGATCATCATCATCATCATCAAATTTCTACTATGTGCCATTATTTTTTGAACAATCAAAATTCCTTAATCTCTTCCAGAGATTTCCAAAGTGTCACCTCAATGCAACGGTCCTGCACTACCTACCAATACTCTCACCACACACTACCTTAGCGGAACCTCTCATGAATTTCCGTGTTAATTTCATGTTCTCCCAGTTTCCTTTGCTTATTTCCCTTTTCTGCTCCTTTATTACCCTTCTGGAGCCTCCTGGTTCCTTTGTTTCAAGAAGTGAGCATTCTTTCTTTGAATTCACATGGTGTTTTTATTTTACATTGTTGACATAATTATTATTTTACATGTGATTTACTCACCCTTTGCTTAGTACCTAATAGTGTGCACTCCGAACTTAATGAAGTAACTTGTCTTACTGTAGACGAAAGTCTGTATTTCATAGAGGAAAGAACTAGACCAGTGATTTCAACCTGCGAGCCACAAGAACTTTCAAACATGCAATACCTGACTATTTCATTAGGGGCACTGAAGTCTCTTCCCTTAGATTATCAACTTAAAAAAATAACAGCCAACACAACGATAGCTGTCTGCATAAACATATAGGTCATATAATAAAATTGTATCTTATTGGTTATGTCTCATAATAAGGTTATGTCTGATTGGTTAATTCTCGGTACCAGAAGTTCTTATATTCAAATATACGCACCTGATTTTTTAAAAGTCACTTTGGAGCAAAAAGGATAGATAATTGCTAATTATTATTATTTCGTAACTCAATCAATATTATGCCTACTTTTGTCAGATCAGCAAAAAAATGCAGTTTTTTGTGTGTCACAGAATTTTAGTAATTAGTGTACGTGTGCCACAAGATGAAAACGGTTGAAAATTGCTGAACTAGACTAAAGCAAAGGGTAGAATCTGAAGAGCAGAGAGGAGCAGATAGAAGTGTGTAGGTAATGGGGTTACGTGCACCAGGTACAGATTGCTAATTTTCAAACTGGGATGCAAATACTAGTTTTTTAAAAAGCGAACATTTCTTTGGTTATTAGAATGGCACTTTGCAATTTTGGAGTGCTTTGAAGACCCATTATGAAAATTACTGTCAATGCCAAAAAGAAGGGCACCATTTGGTTTCTTTTAGTTTCCTGTTTATTAGGTTATGGGATTCTGCTTTCCTGGGCTTTTTCAATCATTGTTTTCCTGCCTTAGGACTGTGGTGTTTCCTGAAGCATATAGTGGGAAGCAGCTTCAAGTATATGCACCTGATTTTTTAAAAGTCACTTTGGAGCAAATGGGGTTAAAGTAACAATGCACCCACTAATCACAGGACTAAGATGAACCCTGTCTGTTTCACAGGATTGTTTTGAAGATCGAATAAGGTGAAGTAGTATGAACGTGCTTTGTGAATGATATAACACTGTATAAATGTGAGAGAGGGTTATTGTTCCCTGACCTTTACAGAACTAGAGAGTAGGCATTGGAGTGGTCACCAGGTGGAGACTGGGCCCTGAGAGGGTCTGCCTCAGGCTGGCCTGCAGTGTGTGGGTTCTTGACTTCATTTGGGAAAGATTTTACGAGTCCTGGTGATTTTGAGGGAACATTTATTAAAGCTGGGGACAGCCAAAGAAGAAGAAGGAGGAGAAGAAGGAGAAGGAGAAGAAGAAAAGGAAGGAAGGAAGGAAGGGAGGGAGGGAGGGAGGGAGGGAGGGAGGGAGGGAGGGAAGGAAGGAAGGAAAGGAAGGAAGGAAAGGAAAAGAAAAGAAAAAAAAAGGAAGGACTTAGGGTTGCTTAGGGTTGAAGGAGAGAGCCGAGGTGGTCCTCTGCTTTGGCTCCCTAGAAATATTATAGGAAAGAAATGAGCCAAGGCGGGGCTGCTGTCAGCTCACTGGGAAGTGAAGGTCAGTGACAGAAGTGAGCCAAGGTGGAGCTACTTTCAGCTGACTGGAAAGTCAGAGAAAAGGGGGGCCTTGGAGACAGCTTCAGAGGGTAAACCTGGGACGAGCTGCTGCTACCTGCTGCTCCCTGGTTGCAAGTCTTGTGGGGACCCTTAGAGTTTGGGAGAAAGAAAGTGAAAAGTTGATGTCCGAGAACGTGCTCCAGAAAGAGCCTGCCCTGGTATGCTTTGTCTTGAGGGTTTTTATCTCCTGGGTAAGAATTTTGGGGGAAGATTTCAATAGAATACACATCAACTTTCCAGGTGCATTTTTAATATGCTGGTGCATCAGAATGAGCGTATAGGGGACATTGATATTATTCTCTGGTCAGTTTTACTGCTTTACTTTTCCCTTGGGTGTCTGGCTCTAAAAGAGTTTTTGTTATTTGGTCCCCTGAATTCATCCATCCTTGGGTTTGGCTGGCACAAATGGTATTAATTGTGTTTCTGTCCTCTATCTCCCTGACGGGGGCCCAAAAGCCCTCTGACACCCGACAGCTCTCCCCAAGCAGTGTGTTTTGGCAGAAAGAGCCTGAAAGATGGGGTGATGAGCCCCAGCTCTTCATTTTAGTGTGTAGATGAGTTACTTAATCTTCCTAGTATTTTCTAGTCTGTAAAATGGTTTAATAAGACTCACCTCAAGGGTAGTAGCACTAACAAAATGAGACAATGAGAGCAAAGCACAGGGCCCAGAGCCTGACAGTAGAAGTTTAGCAAATACTGATCTCCTCCCCTTTGCCGAGGTGTGCTGGAATTTGCCTGCTGTGCTCATTACCTTAAATCCTTTTTAAAATAGGCTCCACAATAAATAAGGAAACCAGCAAGATTGAATAAAAAGCAGACCTTCTTTTCTCTTTTGCTCTTCCTCTCTCATCTTTATTCATTTTCCTTTCTATGTGTTCCTTTTCTTCCCTATTGTTTCTTTCTTTTTCTTTTGTTTGCATGTGTATATGTGCCTGTGTTTCCATTTGTTTATTTTCTGCTTCTCTTACCATATCTTAACCAGGATCAGGGGTCAATTAATCAAATATCTTTACTATGAGAGTCATATCAGAAGATATAAGGGGTCCAGAAAACAGAAGTATTAAAGAACTGAACCAAGTTTCTCACTTCATGCCCCTGGCATTGAAAAATGTAAGATCTGCCCTGGCGGGGTAGCTCAGTTGGTTAGAATGTTGTTCCAGTACACCAAGTTTACAGGTTTGATCCCTGATCAGGGCACATACAAAAAGCAACCAATGAATACATAAATAAGGGGAACAACAAATAACAAATCAATCTCTCTCTCTCTCTCTCTCTCTCTCTCTCTCCTCTTTAAAATCAATAAATTAAAAAATTAAATAAGAAAAATGCATGATCTATGTAGATATAAACACTCTCAGTTAGGTAACAATTTAGGGGGAAGACCCTCTAACCCAATCCTTAGTATGGCCTGACCACTCTCTTCTCCCTTTACATCTTACTGATTTGTTTGCAGTGATGGGCTCCAAGGCCAAAAGTCAGAACTGTGTCAGGCAGACTGTTTGGGGTTCCCAGAAGCAGAGGGAGATGAGGCAGTAGGAGAAGAGACCATAAGAGAATTGAACTGTAAGAGGCTGGCAGAAGTGGAACTCCCTAAGTTAGAGACCTTGACTTTGATCAAATAACATTCTTTTCTGCTTATTTCTCTCTTTTTTAAAAAAGATTTTATTTATTTATTTTTAGAGAGAGGGGAAGGGAAGGAGAGAGGGAGAGAA